ATGTTCAGATTTGTTTGTTTTGGGTTTTCAAATAAAACGGGACCCGCTACCGTTTATTCACTGGCTGTTTGTTCCAACTATCGACTATTTTTTTCCAATCCGCAGTTTGAACATTATCTATATTTAATAGTTGGTAAAGTTGTTAAATTATGATACTTTGCATGGTATTCAAGTTTAGTACAATTTTGTTGGAATGAAGGTAAACGATTTCCCTCCAAATGATTGAAATCGTCCTCTATTTTATTCCCCGGATCAGTGTAATCGCACTGTCGAACCAGTCAATTTCTTTGTTTGGACCACGTTAATTAGAAATAGGATCGTTAGCACTACAGAATAACTCAGTGATAGTATTCGACTGAATTATTAACAAATAAGCTTTTATAGAGTTTTATGGGAAAAGAAGGGCAAAAGCGTAACCATAACTTCTAATACTCGTGGCAACATATTCTAGATTAACCGAATTGAGAGCCAAGTACACAATCCGAGTCGGAAAAAAATGTACACCGAGTGGAGCAAAAAAAAAAAAAAAATCATTACCTATTTTCTTACACCTGTCTAGCGTCTACTCATATTACTTAATAAGCGATGAAAAGATGATCGTATTATTTTTTATATTCACCTATAACGCCTTGGGCCATGATTTGGAGCCCTTAGATGTCACGAACCCGTGGCTCATTGCCCGTCATGCCATGTGGGGTGTTATGAATTTACTATAATCTCTAAAATAATCATATTTTTGTCGTAAGACTGTATTGACTATATTTATCTCATCATTTATTGCTTTCTAATAAACATTAATATAAATAGGAGACTGGTTTTTAATATTATTCAGTATTAATATGATGTGTTTATTGATCATACAAGCAGTATTACTTTTTTTCTACTCTTGTATTTTTAAAATTCACAATCTACACCAAAAATGGATATAATTATATAATCGAATACAAATAAACAACTTTACTCTGAAGGGAAATATTAACTGTACACAAATTATAGTAAAAAAAAACATTACGTGTATCAAAATAAATTAATACAACCAGTCATCTGTAGTTTGAAAATCTAATATTTACCAAAATGAACACCGTAAAATATTATGTCCGCTATCCGATAACTGGTTTATGTCTATTTGAAAATCTCTTAACTCGTATAAAACATTGTTCACAATTTGTAGATTTAAGTTGCTGGTAAAAAAAAATGGTTGCTATACACTGAACGAATCCTGTGAAATGATTTTTGTTAATAGCATAAAAATATAAATTATATTATTTACCAATATATTCTAGGTAGTAGGTATGTATTATTGAACTCAAATTGTATTATCATTAATATTATTTTTATACCATCTTTTCCCGTGTCAATATTGAACAAAAAAAAAATGTGAAAAAATAAAACTGTGTTTTCCCGTGATTTCCGGTTCCACCGATTACCTATCATAGTTAATCGTTGTTGCCCAGTAATATGTTTGGGGATACCTATTTCTTTGCCCGTGACAACCAAATAAGTTAATAATAACGGTATTTTTCCATTCTTATCGTCAAGGTAACTCATAAATCAACAAAAATAATTTTTTTTTTTTTCGTAGTAAAAATAACAGTTATCTGGTTTAAAACCCCCCCCCCCCCCCTATTCTCTTTAGGGTTTAAATACCGGGATACAAAGTAGTGATTTCTGATCTAGAAATACGTCTATGTAAAGTTTTAATTCAATCCGTTCAGTAGTTTGGGCGAGATGTGGTAATAACATACATCCGAACAAACATTTGCATTAATAATATTGTAAATATGATTGGATTCATTTTAACTTTAATTTGTCTATCTCTCTATAGGCTCTCGACTATCATAACGAGGATTGCGTCCATAGTTATAGGTGATATAGCAAATTTGTGAAAAGGCGTAATTGTAAAAAGTAATACGACTAAATATAATTTAGGTATATTATGTAATCATTAGAGAGACGTGAGCTTGATAAATTTTAAAAGAAAATATTAACGTAAGCAAATTTTACCAATGTTTTTTTAACGTGTTCTTAATAAAGCAACGAATTAAATTAAATCAATTTTATTGAAAAAAAACAAAACAAAAAAAAACCTTTTAAGTGCATAATACAAATTACGTACAACTATTACCTACTTAATTCCGGGCTCTACCAAATAATTATTATGTAAGAAATACAATAATTTGAATACGATAGAAATACATTGGTTTGGTTGTATGATTTTTATTTTATAATTTTCAGTTAAAAATAACATAATATTACACTATTAAGACTATTATTTTCGTTAGACGTTGACGATCTATTCTAAAGCTCAATTATTTAGTTTTTCTTAGTCTTCAAAAATAGGTATTATTTTACAGAGAAAGTCGGAATTTATACCTAATCGTAATTTAATTATATTTGTCATTATTTCCTTAAGTCGATTTTATAAAATACAAATTAAAAATATTAAAGACAAATTGTCGGACATTTATTTTATTTTTACCTCAAGAAATACTTTTTCGCAGAATACTATAAAAAAATAAAAAATAGAATAATATTATAATATATGAGTACTTACATGAATCAACAAAGGAGACGACATTTTTGAGAGCAATTGATGATTTGCTTTGACAATCAAATAAAATACGTTTTACGATGAAAAAATTAAACAATTGAAAAGTATAAAAAATAAAATTCAGCATCGGAAAAATAAACATTGTCGTAACCATAGATTTGGAAAGCGTAGTACCTATCGCGTATTAATATTTTATAAACAAATATTCAAGTCCGTTATAATAATTGTGTTATTTTTTTGTTTATTTAATTGTTTATACCCGTAACTAACGATAAACCGTTGATAACGAAAAACGATTCGGAGCCAAAGTTATGGCCTAACTCAAAATTATTGTGGGTATCCACCCCGTTATTTACAATGTGGAGTCAATCGTTCAGCAAGCTTTTTTTTTCTGTGGACAATTTTTTACCAGCAATTTTGCTCCGATTTACAAAGCACTTTTTCTAAAATGAAATCTGACTCAAGAGGTACTCTAAAGAGGTCATTTTTTGATTTTTTCACTAGTTTTCCCGATAAAAAGAAAAACTGGGAAAACCGGGAAAACCGTAGGAAAAACGAGAAAATGGGTATACCTAATATAAAACAAATATTATTAAAGAAAATATATAATGCCTATTAAATTTTTTTACCATAATGTGGCATATATATTGTTGATAAAGCAACTACACTATCAACTGAACTCCACACAGAATCATTTTTTTTGTGAGCATTGGTTTGTCGTTGCTTACAGATATACATTAAATTTCCCCTCTACTTCTATCCCAACTTCTCACCTATAACAGTGGCTAAACCCACGTGTGACGTTACCCGGCTTTTTGATGTTGAGTATTGTCAATTATTATATCTAATATAATATAAATTTTATATATTTGTGGAATTCAGCTAAAATAAAGAATTTGTATGCACTATATATTATTGATTAATTTAAATCTTACTCACTATTTTTTTAGATAATTCATTTAATTAATACTTATAACTACGTAAGGACAATTATTTATTTATTTGTTTATTCAAATATAAGGACAGATTGTCCTATTACAAATTAGTAAATTCTAAGTGCTAAAATGTTGTGTATCTAAAATACAGTTGACAATTTCAATAGATTATATAAAAAAGTACAAATAGAAGAAAAAAGACAGTTAAAGATAAAGATTGCTAAGTGTAATCAAAAACAAATTTATTATCTGCAGACATTAAAAGATTAGCCGGTGAGATGAGAATAAAATTTGAAAGGTTTTGGATCTCTTGTATTAAGAGAATTTATTTTGAATTGAATAAGAGAAAGCATTTTAGGGCAATCAATAGTCCCTAGTGTTAAATTATGTAGAAATCTTGAAAGTAGAGATGAACACCTGTCAATGAGTGGAGATAAATTAACGAAGTTAAGAACATTTTGGTATGATCCGTGAGTAGGTCTAAGAACTTTAAATTTGAAGGGCACATAGCGTAGACAATTATTCTCCACTGATTCTATAGCCTTATTTTGCTTAAGAGTTTAAACAATTATCAGTGAACCGTCAGTGGACCATAGGTACTTTATTTTGCTCTAAAAAATGTTTAGGACTCCAGTATCCCCCCCCAACATAAATGACTAGTTATTCATATGTCCTGTTAACTACAAGTTCTGCACTGTATACAGAGAACTACAACAATGCAAGTATCCAAATAAAACAAATAATGTATCTACAATTAATTCTAATTTTAAACAATCGAATGTACAAGTAAGCCATCCATTATAGGATAGTGCACCTAATAATCATTCTTCTGATACAAAACATATGCCCAAACAACATCCAACGATCGCACTCATCAAAACTTCATTGATATGAAGAGGCTTCATCTAATATTAATATATTAATGTCAAGCTTTTTAAATTAATTCAAAGCGCTTTATTAGCCTCCCATACAAAAGTTGTATCCTAAACTGGATAAAAAAATGACTAGTCTTTCGCCCTCCAACGCATCTTTATTAATTCTACAATTTAACGCAAATGTCTTAAGAAACCATATAAATGAATTACAAATAATTTTACCCACTAAACGTATTGACATTGCTATTATTATAAATTAATTAATACCAACCACTCTGATAACACCACACACAGAGGAGTAGACACATTTATAAAATCCTCTATAGAGTGTCAAGTACTTTTGGGCTTTTGTCAAGACTATCTGCAACCTGTGCGTTAACAATAAAACTAAATTTTACACCGTTTACTATTGCAACTACCTATCCAAACATAAAATAATTAGCCAAAAATTAACTGATTACTTTAATACGATTAAACATAAAAATTATATAATTGGGAGCAGGCTACAACGCGAAACATCAATTTTGGGGACGTCGGGCTAATAAACCCTAAAACACTTGTCTTATTTAATTTTGTCTCCGATTTTAAATATAAAGTATTTGGGCTTTCTGATCTAGTTATCTTTGTCCCTAAAATTCCCAATAATGTACATAATACTATTAAAAACCTTTTAGATCTAAACTCTGATCACTTCTCAATACTTCTAATCTTAAATACTAGCCCACAAACCCGTTTCGAGTCACATAAAGTATTTTATTCTTACGCCAATCGTCTCCAATTCCACGATCTTGTTCAACAGGAAATCAATTTAAATGTTAAATTAAAACCTACAGACGACATTGACTCAGCAATTAATGATCTCACTAACTGTATACGAGCTTGGGCATCTACAAATGTAACTGATCTCACCAAGGGAACCACTCCCCTAATCATAAGACTCGTCATAGTTGAAAAACGTAGATCGAGAGATCAGTATCAACGGATTAGACTGCCCACGTAAATAATACGAATATAAAATCCAATATCGTTCGTAAAAAACCGTTATACTCTCTATAATAGAAACGTGTATTCGTATAGATTGTGTATTTTGTTCGCCGGCGCGAGAGCGACTCCGGGGTTTATTATATTATTTGCATACGCTCCGTAGTAGTGATATATATATATAAATAAAAAAAAAGTATATCATTATAATATATACGACGATGTGTATACGCAGTAATAATATTAAATACGAATTGGCCGACGCGCTTTTCGCCAACGATCTGTGTTTCCCGGCCGGCGGCCGCGGCGGTTCGGCACGTTTATATATATATACAAACTTAACAAAAACTTTCCGGGAGGAGGAAAAAAAAGATAAAAAAAAAAAAAATAAAATAAATATATATATACACATAAAAGCCGTAGAGAAAAAGGGCCGAGGGTTCGGTCGCCCGTCGCAGCGCATTATACGGGGGCCGCGCAAGCGTTCTAAATATGGATGAAATAGTGGCCCGGGGTATTTGGCGGCGGCGGCGGCACAGCTTTAGTCCTCCACGACGTGCGCAGGTATCAACACACGGCACCACCAGCCACCGACAAACGCCACCGTCCATTTGTTGTCGTCATTGTCGTCGTAAAAAAAAAACACCGTTCGACATTTGCACGCGCCCGTCGTCCTTCGTCCTTCGTGAAAATCGCCGAGGTAAATATAATATTTTGTTCTATCGATTATTACGATATCGTTTGTAATAATAATAATAATAATAATAATAATAATAAGAAGAAGAAGAAGAAGAACGCGCGTATAATAAGCGAATAATAATAATAATTATAAGAGCTAGGTAGGCATCGTGTTATATCGATTTCCCGAAATTCTGTCGTTTATTCCTCGTATTATATTATTAATACAAATTCGGTGAGTAGACCTTTTCGGGGAAAAAAAAAAAAAAAAAAAAAAAAAAATTGTTTAAATAAATCGTTTCGTTGCCAATAATTGCCGAGTATACGCGAGATTTTATTTTATTCAACCCGCCGTTTTATACCCACTTGTTTTATTTCGTATCGTTTCCGCCGGCACGGAGACGGTTAGAAAATTATATTACACTCTGCAGTCATTATATGTAATAACAATGATAATATTTGCCGTGGTGGTTTTATTTTTTATTATGATTGCTATTTCCTCGGTTCAATCGTTTTTACGATTTTCCACCGCGTCGGATGTTATGTATATTTATACTTGAAAAAAAAAAAACGTACTTTTACACTTTTATTACATACAGTCCTAAGTGGTATATATAGTTGCTAAATACGAAAATGTGTATTTTAATAACATGACGAAATAAAAAATAAAAAATAATAATAATAATGATTTCTTTCGAATTTTAAAGGAATTCCAAAACGCCGTAAAGCCGTGTACTATAACTGTATTTTTTTTTCGTATGTTTTTAAGCCCGAAGGGCTCAAAATAATTCATTATTTTTGTCATTTTTTCCATTATTTAATTTTTTATTTTTAATAAAATTGACTTGTACCTTTCGGTTAAGACCAAACATATAAATCGGCATGAATTACATCAATTTATTTAGGATCCTTCTAATATCACTCCTCCCGGACGTTTCGTTTCTGCAATGTCGGGAACATCGTCGCAAAATTTATCCGGGGTTACGCGGTAGGGGAGGAGGGGTGTTAATGTAATTGGCTGCCGTCTAAGTACGGTCGTAGAAGTTTACCCGATTAATGTCGTGAAACATTACCTCGACATATTATTGGGTATATTGTAATATTATATAGCAGTGCTTCCCACACTATTTGGATCCATGGCGTCTTTTTTGAACTACAATAATAATAATAATAATAATAATAAAAACTTATTCTGAGCGGAGCGATATTAGTATAGTGTTAGGCGTGTTTTTCCCATTGTATAACCGAGGTGACCCGGACATCCGCAAAAATAGAAAACCGACGTATCGATAACTGTTGTCAGTTTTTATTTAATTTATTATGAAAAAACCTAATCCAAAAATCGTTTTAGAATTAAGTACCACCGCGCAATAAATCCACATATTTTCAGGTACAGTGCCAATAGTTCGGAAAAAGAAAAAGTATTTTCCGAAAAAATAGAAGCCGTCGTAATTGTCATTATAGCGTCGCCGTTAGGGTTTCGAATTTAGTTTTAAACCCGGGAATATTCCGCATGGTGACGCGGCACCCCTGTACAGACACCGAGGCGTCCCATGTAGCTGGTACACACTTCGGGAACCGCTGTAATACAGTTTATATTATATGTAATTTACGTACTTACATATATAATAATAATAATAATATATTATTATAACGCGATGGGAAAATATACGACTGCGAACGTTTTACTGCACGCGTCGAACTATAGGTACCTACCTTAATCTAACCTACCTACTTACTTACCTACCTACATGGCGTAATAATATTACACGACCAATAAATTTAATACGTTTTTATGCAAATAATTCCATGTGTTTTTGTTTACGCAAATTTCGTGTGCGCTCTCGCATACCCATCGAGATTGCGTTTGGTCACGTGATGACGGCGACGTAGGTTTAATAATATATAATATAAGTACAAAAAATACAAATCGATGCGACCGACTATAGCGCAGGTATATGCAGGTGACTGGTGACCTGCAAGCAATTATATTATTCAAATAATATGTCGATCGCGAACCGGTATCACCGTTTTCGAGTCCCCCCCCCCTAAATATATGTATCGATCGATTGATGTGTCGACTCGAAAATACAATCTTTTTGAATTGCTGACTTCAAAGGGATTGCGGTCAATGAAAATGTCCAAAAAAAATGCGGTATTTGGACAGAAAAGCTAAACGAAAATGCATAGTTTTTGAGCTTGGATACAGAAAAATATCATATTTTTGTTTATCGTTAACACAGCTGAAAAAAAAACTGATAATACTGATGGGTGTGCCACTGCTTTAGGTGAAAAATTGGAACGCAGGATATATAACGAGTCATTTAATTTATATCTGTACGATAGACGATTGCTAACTAAAAACGATTCTAAGGTAAGAATTATTAGTGGTATTAGTGGTATTTCTTTCCTTGTTGTCAACAAAAGTTTGTCAATCTTTCTCATTAATTGAAAAAACTCTAAGTAAAATCAAAAAATAACCTTTTGAATGTATCTAGATCAAAAATTCTATAAGAAAGTTCCTATGAAGTTTTGTATTGGAACACAGTTTCTGTTAGTAAAATTGTTTACAGACATACTCATAAAAACCTATACCGAAAAATAGATATTTAATATACTCGTATATATATATTTAATATAATCTAGTAAAATTTTTAATCAATCACAATCCGTTTTAAAAATCAGAGTCTGTTCTAAAAATCAAAATCCGGTTTAAAAATTAAAATCCGTCAAATGCAGCCTGAAATTTTTGTCTGGCTCTTTGGTCTAAAACGTTATATTCGTTAATTTTAAACATTTTTCCCTTCCCTGCCCTTTAAACGGGAATCAAGTAACAAATTAGTAGATAATTCTATTATTACTAAAGTAATTATTCAAATTTAAACAATTTGTTTACATTTTAAACATTTGAGAATATTTTGAAAGCCGTTTTCATATGAATACTTCTATTGTATACACGACTGTAATTCTCGTCTAAGCAGTGAAGATTATTATTAGATTACCGACCGGATAAAAATCAAACGAGAATCAATATAGCACGTTGAACGAGGCAGAGAAAAACATTTTATAAAATATGAACGAGAAGGATGCTCGTTTGCGATTCTGATAGGGACACGTAGATGCGCGGTGAAAATGCGTTTAAAATGTGCCACAGCAACTCTTAAGTCGGATAGCTACTACGGAGATCGAACTGGGTCGACTTGGGATTTTTTTTAATAAGCTCGTAGAGAGGAATATATATTGTAATTACTAGCGACGTGAGATGTTTGGTGAGCAGGATAAGGCCTTACTTTGAACACGGTCAGTGACGATGCAATTATAGTTTACAAGATACGCGTAATCCGAGTAGTGCTGTATCGGATAATAAATCAGCTATTTAAGAAGATAGTTTGAATTCACCGAGAGGGTTTGAACCCGAGTATACTGTTTAAAGGGTTTTCGTACTTATACGCGTTTGAAATCGGAAAAATAAATACTTACACTAGTGTGCTCAACAATATACGAAATCTTTTAACTGCCTATAAAACCACCCAACAAATTCACTACTATATATTGACGTTTTACAATAATTGTTCAAGTGCCTTAAGAATTTAAGACGTGGTGAATGCAACACTCTCTATACATTACACTCGTATATGATGCAGTTTTGCACTTGGCATATGACTATACAATTTGCGTAACAAATCATTTTTTATTCCAGAAGAACACCATAATAAATCGAGTGATCAATCATCTACACTTAGCCGCCTAATTAATAAATATCGCAGATAGATTTCTATGATATCTAATTGAAATTCAATTCAACACTGTTATTCAAAAACACTAATTCTAGTGTCCCTTCCTATAATAATTGATTTTTATAAATAAACAATCGTGGTTGTTTTATTGATCTTATGATTACTTAGAACTTAGTATTTATGGTTACAGATTTCGACGATTCTTCAGCTTCTACGGTAAATAAATTTCCAAGTAGTTGTACACATTAAATTATGATAATCATTTGTAAATAACAATAAAAACACTATTAAATAGTTGTGTCTTAGAGGTAATTAATGAACTGTTTCACAGATTATTAATTATTCGTATTTTTCGATTATTTTTTCGGACAAACGGACGGTGTAAACAATAATTTATATCGGTATAAAATAATATCGATGGCACGGCTAAAAATAATCAATATAATAATTAAAAGACATCGACAAAACGGCTGGTTTTTAACGAATTACGGTTAAAAATTCAATTACGAGTATATTATGGTTTTTTTAACCAATAGTCACCGTCAGATTTAATGGAATTTATAACGCCGTCAATGTAGTGCGTTTTAATCAGCGGTTGATACCTACAATTACATTGTTATTTCGGCCTAGTGCAGTAGACCATTGTTATCGGAAGAGCGCATATAGCTGTTGTTTTAAACAATTCAATCGGCACGTTGTCGCGACGTCGGAGGTACACAATTAATTGCGACTAATATATTTAAGTGGTTTGATATTTCGAAAGGAAGAAAGAAAAAAAGAAACAGCTGTTATTTCGATCAATAATAATTATTATTGTTCCAGTCAAAACGTTATATACGGACGATTATTTATATTGTACTTTTTTTTTCAACTCCATCAATTCTACGTTCTGATCGATTGCTCGCCGCCTTTTCTTTTAGTTAAAAGTTTTAAAAGTTTTGAATCCTGCGTCGCTTTTAATTCGGCCCGCATACAAGAGTTACGAGGTCGCCTTGCGCCGTTCTTTTTCGACGTCTTGCTCCAATCTATATTATATATATAGTATGCTTTCCATTCGTTTTCCACTCATCCATCCGACTTATCATTTTCATGCCCCTCCACACGCACCGCATCTTAAAAGCTTCTGTATTTCTCTTTTCGGTATCATCATTTATGGCCAATGCGTTTTACATCCATGTTACCGCCGTACACAGGGTGATTTATTTAGCATTAATCAGCTAACGACAGATATGCAATGTACTATAATCTTTCTCTACTCCATCAGTCAACACTTTAAACTGTTATGACTCATAAACGGTAAATCTAATACCACTGTTACGCAGGTCAAAATTTCTAGAAAACTATTCTCTATTCGAATCTGTGATTGAAAGAGGTGGGGTTGCTAATAATCTCCAAAAAAGATACTTATTTGAGCTATCAGGGGTAAAAATGTAAAAATAGTGCTAAAATAAAGCTTAAATGATTTTATAATGATAAAAAAAAAAAAAAAACAAATAAAATTCACTTAAAATACTCCGAGAAAATTGCTGGTTCATGTCAAAAGAATCACTGTATATAAGTAACTTGCTATGATATTATTGAGACGTGTCTTCTTTGAAGTGAAATGTTTATTTTCATTCTAACATTTATACGTATAGCGAAAATATGATACTCGAATAGAAAACATTTTTATCATATATTGGGTCACGACGTAATCGTTATGTCATTATTTATTTATTTATTTATTTTTAATCCTCCTATTGATGAAATTTTTTTTTTATTTTACTGCACAGAAACGTGATGTAAACAATGTAGTATAAATAATTTCTCGTATGATATTGTTATTTAAAACAAAAATCGGAGGAAAATATATCGAAAACGTAAAAAAAAAAAAAATGCATATTTTATAAGACTAACAAAATATGTAATCACTCGAAAATAACTAAAAAAAAAAAAGATAAAAGAAAAAAAAAAGAAAGTAGACTAAAGGAATTTATTTTTAAAACCAGATACATTAACCGAATATATTGTAATATTTTTGGTAATTTTACAGTTTGTAAATTTACACATTGGAGAGAATATTTACGCTATAACAAACTCAATACGGATTTCAATGTATGCCGATAATTTTTGATATTTGTTTTCAATATTTTTGAAACGCGAATTCCAATATTTAATATACGATTCCATCCATTTACACGTTTCGAATATTTTCACCGTCGCAAATGCGCTCGCATTTAAAATTGTTAAATATATAAACTGTCGTCAAATCGTAGGAATTTCAACAACCTCGTTTATAATAGATAATTATACATATATACAATAATACAATTATGTAGTCGGTATGTTACATATTGTATACGTTGCAGATGGACAGTCGGTAAAGTAGGATAATTTAGTTAAATGCGCTACGATAAAAAAAAAAAATGAGTTGCAGTACTTTTTGCCTCGAGGCAACCCAATAATCCAATCGTCCAAAATAAAACCGATGTATCGACATCGTTAGTTTTTTAAATTGTATAGCAAAACCATTAGGAATATAGATATTTTTTTTGATAAAATACTACCGAACAAACATTTTGGCATCTCTTATTAGGCATGATTAGATTAATTCAGAGCGTTTGCCCGACCGAAAAAGTGTTTTAAAAAACAATAATTTGGGAAAAATTATTAAGAATATCGACAAATTATGTACAAATAAAATTTTGTAGAGCGAAAAATCGGCATCTTCGAGGTACTTACGATGTAAAAAAAAAAAAAATCTGAGTATTTCCACTGATATTCGCAGTATACGAAGTTAAAATAAACACGCCTTGGCGAATATTCGCTTCAAAGATAATTATTTTCGTAACTGCGTTGTGTAGTAATAATATCGTGCTGCGATTCTGGAAAATATTTTTCGAATAACGAAATACCGCGCCGCGCTCGCCTTTGAACACTTTATCGACATTTTCTTTACTGTTCGCCTGCAATGCGTCTTATTGTCTTCCAGCCGAACGAAAAAAACGCCACCGGCGTACGTTTTATGCACATCGTTAACAAATTATCCCTCTGTAACGACATCGTAGCAGTGTGTTCGATTCGCGTGATTTTTCACACTTCTGCTGTCTCGTAGGTATAGCTATATCTACCTGCCTATCTCTACCTACCTGCCTGCTTACCTACCTACCGCTCGTAATTCGTTTTGTTTGTAAACAGTTTTAATTAAAACGGGAAAACGAGCGAAGCGTGTTTACGAACAAATAATACTACAAAAAACAAATAATATTTAACAGAAACACTCGATCGATGGACATGTTTTATTTTTCTCACAGTATTGAAAATGGTGTTTTCGACCGAGTATACAATATATATATATATATATATATATATATATATATATAATTGTATAATATAGCTGTAATACGGTTTCGAATGAAATTCGAAGGATACGAATCCATGACATTTGAACAGGGGGAAAAAATTGATTGTAATTAATTAATTAAAAATTTTATTTTGTTATTTTTATATAGGTACCTGCTTATTTATAAAATGTTTTATACAAATGCTACATGAATATTAATCTGTAGTAATTGTTCCTAAAATTAAAATTTCTGGGAGATTTGAGCCACTTTCCAACTCGAAGAAAATCGATGTAGCACTTTTTAATTGTTGGTTAGGTTCAGTTAGGCCTAGACAAGTTTAATAATCTAGAAAAGTAAAGTACTAAGCTACGCTTTCTTTAAACATTAATCCCGTTTTTCTATATTAGTTACGAATGAAATGATTTTATTCTTCTCCTTTGCCTTCATCCCGACTTTTTGAAGTCGGCCAAAACGAAAGAAACTATATTTAGTTTTATAAAAAGTGGTTCTAATATCCCGGACTCGCCCCATCTGTAATAATTCGGACGTGGATAAAAAAAAAAAAAAAAATTATGAAATGTTATGTGTGTTGCAATAATAATAATAAAAAAAAAAATGATAAAAATAACAATATGTACTTAACGTATGTTTGGCAGTATAGTTGCAGTTGTTGCGAAGAAATAAAAGAGTGATTAAAAGTTATTGCGAATGGTAATAATAATAACAATAAAACCGTCTTGTTTTCAAAAATACCGGCCCACGGGATTTTTTTTATAACCTCAAAATACGCAAATTACCAAGTCGTTGCAAAAATAAACCATATAATATCATCGTTTATATAATAAGAGTGGGGCGTCTTCGAACATTTAGCGTTAATGAATCACAGAATGGTATAAACGGCATAGCCGGGTATTTTTGAAGGGAGGTTGGGTCACGTTGCTAAATATTAAAAAAAAAAACCAAAACGCTGTCTAATATAATTTAATACATTTATAACACTTAAAAACTGATGGAGGTGGGTGTTCAGACACCCAAAACACCCTGGTCGTGTCACTGAGTATTATAATGTACATTCCAAAATTCAATACAAATTTGAGAATTGCGTTTATTGTGTCGAATCGTGTAATTAAATTCAGCGTTGTTAAATGTCTAATTAATTTGTCCAAACCGTTTATTTCAACTATTTTTCTGATTGGTATTTTTTTACATTATACGGTCCTTACTCGAAAATGAAAAAAATTATAGATAAAATATGTTTGCAAATATTATAATAATTACATTCAACATTTTTTTTTTGGGATAATGGGACGCGTGATATCCATCGCAATCTAAATTTGTTCGTACCTATATTATATTAAAAATTCTTCCAACAGATCCCCGCTTTAAGTCGCGTATATTGCGCCAGGCGAGATAAGTGTCACGGTGTGAAAATATTATAATTGCGTACCCATATATATTAATATTATACTTGGAGAAAACGTGTAGGTATAGTGTTGACGAGCCAGCTTTGCGATTGGAAGACTTAATTTATAATAATAATAATAATAATATCTAAACCGTCAGCGCCTTTTCACGTACCTTTATGTATAGCAAAATCCATTAGACCCACTAGTCGTCGTTTTGACTTCTCGCCGAGAGGTTTTCTCTCCTCTCTGTTCCCCTCTACCTCCCGAAGAAAAACGTCGCGTTCTATAGCCGGCGGCGGCAGATGATAATTAATAATAATTTACGACAGAACGTTATCACAAAAAGAAGAAAGGTGTAACGAATTTTGAAGTATAGTGAGGAGTCGAGGAGTATAGTTAAATGTCGTCGTCGTCGTCGTCCCGGAGACAATATTAACTAACACAATGGATTGCCTGTTGATCTATACGACTAACCCCGTGTAAAAACAAAAAAGACCACGAGTTTGACGTCTTCAGATTAAATTTTTTTATCGCTTAAAAAAATAGATCGCCGCGGAAGTTGTGCCCTCGAAATGCCTTGATGGTAGTATCGAAAACGAGAAACCATCAATAAAACACAACGGACCGTCATGCGGAATTGATTCTATATTTCCCGACTCTATTTATGAGTCGTTATTAAAAACACTGAGCAATATTTGTATAAAATCAAAAGTTATGTATTGGTTTTATTAGTTATGATGGCTGTATTTTAGATTCGGAGATGTACGAAGGAGATCATTGGTTTAACTATGATTTGTGTTTGTATTTTTTTTTTTTTTGTGTTTCTGAGAGCAACTTTTCGAACAGAATACTTTTTTAGTTTTCATAATAATTGGGAAAAATAGAAAAAAGACGATAAATGAAAATTGATAAATTTACAATGCGCGACCTTACATTTTTATTATTTTAAATTTGTACGCTTTATGTGGTAGAAAATATTCCTCCAAAAGAAAAACGACAAGAAACATTTTTCGTTGAATTTCCGATCTAGTTGGAGAGTACAAAAGTCGTTTGATGATTTATTTTTTTTTTATATTTTTATTTTTAATAACAAAGTAATTCCGAAAAAATATGTAGAAAGAACGGGAAAATTTAACGATAACGGTATTTTCTATTTAATTTTTTTTTTTTGGTCAAAAATATTTGTAGAGACCTCAATTTTACCAAAATAATTATATTAGTATTTTTTACACGTGGAAACATTTCGAATTTTTAATAAAAATGTTTAATTTATAAATTAAATAACTTAAGTATTCTAGTTTCCTATTTATTCCCACCTACAACAGCATACGGTATACTGCAAGTATTATATTATTTTGTTATTAATTATTAATAATCATTACGATTACATTTCTAAATTAAAATACTTAACAATTTTCATAATTTTGATTTTTAAATAACTTACAGGAGTTAATACAGAAGTGGCCTTTGCCATTTCTTTATTATCTTTATGTTTCTACTTTGGCATTATTGGTACAGTAGGAAACAAAATTTATATTTTATACCTACTAATTCCATGAGCGCGGGCGCTTAACGAGTATCGCAGACGATTTAACCATGTTAAGTACATTTATTTTCATACCTAGGTAATGCGAGTATAATAATAAAAAAAAAGTTACGAATGGAGCAGCTGTGTGGTTTACTAAAAAAAGACCAAGGGGGAAAAAGGTTTTATGTTGTAGGGAACGTTTAAAAATATTATTTTATTTTAATGTAGGTCAAAAAAATTAAACACCACAGCGTAGGTTTAATATTTTATAATTAAATATTGTACAATAAATTAATAAAATAATAACAATCATCGTCAAAGAAATCCTTTTATCGTCGTTTTACTTGCACCTAAGCAGTATAATGATAATTGATTGATGCACACAAAAAATACCGTTGTTTAATAGTTTTAAAAGTTTATTTTAACATAATTATATACATACAAAACGAAATGATGCGTACAGTCTATTGTTTATTATTATTATATTTTTTATGGAAAGTCTATTAACTAAATAAAAACGTAGACGTAAATTATAAAGAAAAAAAAATGCCGGACGTACTTCGCACCGTGGGTAGGTCACTGTATACAGTAAAGGCAATGTTATAGTTTAATTTACCTATATACCGAAAGTATTGCAAATAAAAAACGATTATAAGTGGGATAATATTAGTCGTTTTTTTCCTCCTTGTTATCGGGGTAACTTAGAAATCAACAAAAATAAAACCGATATATAGAGATTTTAAACTTTTTTAAACGTTTTAGAAAAACTCTCATGTATCGCCATTCTTTGAAAAGTACCACAAGGTAAAAAATTTACATCTATTAATAAGTTTAATATGAATATGAATCATTTGCTCACAGTTTACGAACAATAGAAATCTTTTTTCAAAGAAATTTAATCGCGTATAGAGTGTACCTAACTTACATACTTACTTCTAAAACGTTAAATATGCATGCCTTTATGCACTTAAAACAGGCAAAATATGCTTTAAAATATACATTGAGAAATAAAAAAACATGCAAAAGCATTAAATTCACAGCCCTGGTCATTGGTGGACAATTATTATACCCATACAACGTTACTACATTGAAATTCGCGATCGGAGACTAAATTGAAATTTATAAGAGATTTCTTATAACTTATAAGTTATAAGGTTTGTCCAAAACTGTACCTATAAGCAGGTTTCCATTGTTCATAATTTTGTACACAAACGAGTTGTCGTAAATTTAAAAAATATATTAATATCAGCGAAAACGAGTCTCTACCAATAAATTTGATCTGCATGAAGCCGTTTTTAATGGATACCGAAGAATAGTCGGAAAGGTTAATATTAAAATTTTAATCCGTATTTAGATCAAAAATCAAATTTAACAAATCTACCTAGTATTCGAAATCACCGGTCCGCGATAAAGAATCACTCTGCATACGGGGTTAGCGATGTTATTTTATTCACTACGAAAAATCCCCATGTGACTCGACAGCAAATATTCATTTTATACAAATTTTATACAAGAACGGGATGCTTTCGTCGTCGTCCTGACGACAAAACTAAAATTAAAAAAATAAATATAGCGTACGAATAAATCCTGCAGGTAGATAGGTAGGTACAAGAAAGTTTCAGTAGAATTTTTACGGAGTTTGAAATCCCAGGCGTCCTCATTACGCGCGACGTCGTCGTGACGGTAAACAAGACGAACATTTATTACATAACATTCAAAACGATTTTGTTTGATTTTTTCTTCTCGTAAATTCACCAAATAAACGTCAGGCTCTTTTTTTATCGATATTATTATTATTTTTTACTGAGGACGTTTTGACGTCAAAGTGACGATCGATTAATTGATCGACCGGACCGACGACAGCGTGACGGTTTTCAAATATTATTCAGGTGTCTAGTACAGGTATCTTAGGTGCCCACTTTGGTCAGAACTTTGCGCGCGGGTCTTCGTATAAACAACTCGCGTTATTTTCGTCCGATTTGGTAGAAGTAGCAACTATTATTGTCGTCTCAATAACGTATTGTGGAAAAGTTTTTAGAACGACGGGACAGAAGATATTGTTTCCAATTTAATAAGGAAAGAACCAATTCATCAGCTCTTTTCTGGTTGACTGAGTAACGAGAAAAAAACGTCGAAAACGTTGTCGTATATTAAAGATATTAGTGACACATCCAGAAATTGTCGACAGGAGGTAGTAAATAATTAAATCACGAATAAATCGTAAGTATACGTATCTTTATTTGTACATCACCCGACAATGGGAACTTAAAATCCATAAAAGCCAACTCTTATTCAATAAATCAAGCTTATCCTCGTGACTTGGCCGCAACATATCATTTTAAGATTAAATCGCCAAATAAATACTCATATAGTTGTTGTATTTTTTTTGGGTGGGAGGATATAAATCCTAATATCTTTCCACTGCGCACGACACTTATAGAAACGTTTCAATAAATTATACAACATATAAATCAAATATAATTATTCAATGCTGAAAATAATATGTTCTCTTTTTTTATCAGCTCAACGATCTGCTATAAGGATATGCGCTGTCACTTCTAAGCTTTTCCACCTATTTCTATGCAACGTCCAATTTGCATTGCTGAATTTCTGTCTATCAGTCTCATATCTTGTTCTACAGTGATTTCTCATCCGGCGCTCGGTCTCTCTGACCTTTTTATTGTTTATTTGCTCTATCAGAACATTTTTTAAGACATCTCCATTAGCTTTTCGCATGTATTCTGACCATTCCAAACGTTTATACGTCTTTTTGTTTATGATAAATTAATAACACCGACGATGATAGCGTTCATTTACACAGGGGTTCTCAACCTTTTTGTCTCTATGGATCACTTAGAAAATTTTCGATAGGTTGCGGATTTTCTTGATTTGCTGATGACCTTTTTTCTAATAATAACATAAGTGACATTATGTACAATAAATGAAAAATATATAGATAAACGATGTGATAAACTCAGACAGTCACTATAGCTTTACGTTGAATACTTTTTTCAATTTTATTGGTATATCCTTGCGAACAATAAGTTCGGAATCACTAAATCGTATGTTAATCGTAATCAGTAATTATTTATGTACACCGTTTATAATTGAATAATCATTCGAAAAGAGACGGTTATTTTACCGGTCGGGCAATGCATGATTTATAACACGACGGACGTGACCATGAACGGAAAACTGAACTCTGAAAATATAAGAATACGGAACAAGTGTAAAAAAGCGCGTGTACAAAAAAAAAAAAAAAAAATTCCCTAATAAACTTTAGCGTAGGTATGCATATAGGAGGTACGCGGTACGTGTCTTATTGAGATACGCACGAAAAGCGTTGCACGTATTCCCATTTTCAGGAACGCGCGTTTTTTTTTTTCAATATTCCAGACTTATTGTATTATAATATACAAATGTGATGTATACACGGTCTCACGGATTGTAAAAAAAAAAAAAAATGTCATTTACATTTATCGTTATGTACATAATATTGTATATGCAGTATTTTATCGGTTTATTTATCTGGGTGAATTTTTTAATTTGAACCTACGTACGTCAATATCATTTGTATGCGGTATATACTTCAGGAGTGAATAACGATTTTTACAATGGGGGTTTTTTTTTATCGTCGCTCCAAAATAGCGGCATAAATCAAAAAATATCACTAAAACACTAAAAAAACCTATCCGTATTGTTATCGCCTTATCTGTTAATATATAAATCAGTTTCAGCAGCGTCTGTTAAAATGTTTTAATACGAAATCGATTTCTAGAGATTTATGACTAGTATAGGGTAGATGTTTATACGCTTTTGCATATTTTTGTTGGAAGGTAAAAAGTATATCTAGTTTACATAAGTACCAAAATGCATTTCACAACCTATAACGACTCTATATATACATTATACGGCATTTTATTTTGAATATTTTTCCATTTTTGGATGTTTATGATTATTTTTTATGATTTTGTATATTTTTAGAGCATATTTTATTTAAGTATTTCATACATTTTTAAAACATAACGATTCATCCGGCGTATCCTCTCAGTTCAAATTGGATCTCTCAATAAAAATTATTTATTGTTTTTTAGTCCGACCTATACTTGAGTACAGATCCGTTCTTTAGGACCCTCATTCATCTATTGAGGTCATAGCTATTGAAAGGGTTCAACGAAAATTCCTATCATTTGCTGTTTATTTTTTTAAAAGTTCCTTGTCCTTCACACGATTATGAACCTATTCATACAATTTTAAATTTATCAAGCTACGCTGATCGTAGAAGCTCTGCGAATATATCATTTCTTTTTAAACTTTTATATAATTCATTCGACTGTCCTACACTTTTTTTAGAGATCAATTTTAAAGTTCCTCCTCTTTATACTATATCTACTTGTTCCTTCGTCTTCTAATTATAAGTGTATACTAAACAACCCCTTCTATCGTATACTATGCGTCTTCCTAATGAAGACCCCACTTTTAACTACCCATAAACTGTTTTATCAACTGTGGTTTTTTTTTGCTGTTATTATTCTTTATTGTTTATATTATCATATTATGTCATTTTATGTTTTTGGGCCTCGGATTGTATTATTATAAAAATAAAATAAAATTAAACACAATGTTTATTTTTATTTTTATTATTATTATTATTACTTTTAGAACACATTTCAGTGTTTTTAATGTAAACCTGAATACATTTAAAGGGTTTTTAGGGAATTTAAATATCTGCTATGATAATAAGTACAGGTATAATAAAAGAGAAGCCGAAATTTAATATTTCATATATATTTTGGTGTAACTTTTCGGTGAATTATTTTTGATTTTCTATTTCAGATAATATACAAAATGAGTTTTTCGTCCGAAGCAGCAGCATCGTCGGCAGCGGCAGCCGAAGCAGCGGCAGCAGCCAAGAAATTGAATTTGGAAAAGGCCACTAACTTTATGAAACAGTACCGGGATCCGCACAGCCGAGAATTGAAAAAACTATCTGCCAACCAGTTCATGGACGTTTGGAGCCATTACGACAAAGATGGTAAATTTACGGAAGTTTTATTTCACCTTATAAAAAAAAAAAACTGGTGGAAAAGAGGTAAATGAAAATTCTGTAATAATCCAAGTAAATCGCGATAGCGTAGGTACGGGTAGTTTTAACAGACAGTTGCACTCGGTTTTCCAAACATCCTTCGAATTTGAAAGTTTGAAAATTAGTTTTAATATTTTTATGGCCATCCTAATGATAAGACTTTTCTACTAATCTACTTTCCGATATGAAAACTATTTTTAATTTTTTACCTTTACTTACCCCTAAAACCTAACTTAGCCCGTTTTGAACATAGAATTAAACAGAGAATATTTTTCTAGATATTTTGATAAGCATAATACTATTTAATAACAGCTTTATTTTTATGAGGTATAACTAAAGTATAACTAATTAATATTTTTGAAATCGATATGAAATTTTCTATCTCTAGGACTCCGATCTAAACTTCAAACGGTTATAACTCATAAAAAAATAAATCTGTTATTACTTATTTGTAAAATGCGTATCAAAATTGATCGAGGTACCAGGTATCTATTTGAAAAACACTTATTTAAGGCACATGGAGTAGGGGTAAAAAATTAAAAATGGTTTTAAAATAAAGCTTAACTGATTCCATAATGATATAATGATTAAAAAATAACAGAAATCAAATCCTTAGAGATAATTGCCACTTAATGATAAAAAAAAGAACCACTCTGTATTGATCGCAAATATACGATATTATCACGGTCATGCTCGATTAATCATCGATGATAATATCGGATGTGTATAAATGAAAAAAAATCACACACCATTGTAATAATAATAATCGTCTCACCGCCGAAATCTCGTCGTGTCCGCACGAGTACATTGTGTGGTACGATTTTCTGCAAAGATCTGATGAGCAAGTGAAAATATGATGTATTATATCGAAAAAAAAAAAAAATATGTGAAAAATCCACGGATATGTGTTTTTTTTATGAAAGACTTATCGCGATGAATTTTGTCATAAGAAAAAAAAACTGTCAACCCTTATAAGAAGCAAAACGTCACCAACCCTTATATAATGGTAGGTAAACGCGTTTTATATTGTAAAAAGTCTTGTCCATCAACTGAATATATCCATACATAATTTACTTTTAAATTCTGAGTACCTTGAAGAAATATGTTTTACGAAATGGTGTTTTTTTTTCTTTCATAAAATGCTCAATATTATTGTTTACATTCGTCATAGTTGATTCGAGTTTTTGAGTGATTTTTTTTATGAAATAAAAACAATTTTGATTAGATAAATTCTAAAAATTTTTCATTCAAAAAGCTGCAATGGTACTTTATTTTAAATATTTATCGCGGTTCACATCTTAGGTTCTTTAGATTCGGAGCGTAGTGCTCGGAATGTATTGGTTTCACAATGATGTTTGTTTTTTATTTTTATTTTTTCTATGAGCAACTTTTCTACGAGAAATCTGGCTCTGTTGTATCAAGTGTATTACTTTTTCTGAAGGAAAATTATATTTAGTTAGTCATTTTTTTGATTTTCTAAGAGGTTTATATAATAATTGGAAAAAACTGGAAAAATCAGAAAATGTACGTATACGTATTAAATAAACTCGCTCTGAATCGTTTTTCATCAGAAACGGTTTATCGTTGTGTACAGATATAAATTAAATTTTCTTTGCATCCTACCTTCCCAAATTTTCATCTACAACAATGGCCCACCCATCGCGCGAAGTATGTCCGTATTTTTTTTGTCTTCGTTTTTGTTTGCATCTAGCGCAACCTATAAGCTGCATATATATAGTACTAAATATATCCGGCTTTGTTTGCTCTTTTTCCTACAATATTTGATATGGCGTCGCCCTCGTGAAAATATCGAACTTTGTAAAACCCAAATAAAATATGTTGGCGATCGAAAGTTTCAACGGTCCGTAGACTCGTGCGCGTTGTGTGTTTAGCCGCAGGATAGTTTTGTAACAGTTTTAACGGTCCGTATAAAATTATAGTGGTCGGCATTATAAGAAACTACACAAAGTAATACCGTGGCGATTTAAAATACTGCACACGGTAAACATTTTTATTAATACCACCAAACTGCAGCGGCGTTAAACCCGCAATGCGAAAACAATTTTGGCGACAAGAGTAGGGAAAAAAAGCGGCAGATTTTATCGTAAAAATTACACTTTATACACGTTATTTATCGTTATTAAAAACCGTCTACTACGACGCGTCAGGGTAAATAAAAATGGCTCGACGTCACGCGTTTGCCCGCTCGTCATCGTCCCCTTTCGAAGCGTATATAAATCGATGTCGTCCGATAATATTTTATGCCAATCACGGTTCTTCTATAGACGACGCAATCTCTGTGACATAAAAAAAAAAATGAATTGTTACCTATCCTCCTGTCGTGTACTTGCGTTAGGTGTATGTATTATACCCGCGTCTCGTTTCGAAAATGATTTTCCGCCCGTTTTATTTGTATGCTAATGTATTATGTGTAGTTTTTCGCGTTTGCAATAAGTATTATTCAGAATTTCGGGATACTAAATGATTATACGTTTAAAATAATTTTTTATTCATTTGTAGCCGGGATTTTTCTTTTTTTTTTGCTAATACTCACTGCATACACAACTCCCCCCAAAAAAAGCGTCCTCTTAACGTTTAGACTTTTCCCAGTTACTCCTTATCCTACCATGGTGATTAATTCCTATATAAAATAGAGCGTTTTGTTATATAATCTACAAATCCAATTATATACCATTTATTTCAAAGTGAACACACAGTAATCAAAATCTCACTGTACGCTAGGTATCCAATAGCCACAGAAAACATTCATAAATTCCCTGCCTCCCAAAAAATTAGAAACTCGATGATTTTTTTTTTTTATAACGTTCTATCTTCCGTCATACACAAAAGATTTGAAAGGAGCGAAATTAATATTTTTGGGAGTTTGGAAAGTGGAGGTGCAGGGGACGATAAAATCTCTCGAAAAGTTTCATAAAGTAATTTTATAGACTGATGGTCATTTATAAAGGCTAACTTTTGGAAATTTCTAACCTGGTATTTTATTATACGAAAATGACGATTTCCCTTTCCGCAATATAAGGATTCAAAAACAAAGTTTAAATTTAAATTAAGCTTCCTAAAAAATCGTTTTATATTTCTTATGCGATACTATAAAAAAAAAAAAAATGCCATTCAAGTGCTGTATTTTTTTTTAAACTTTTTCTTTTAGGTAATTGGGTACTTTACTTTTTCAAGAAAAACGTTATAACTGCAGCCTTTTGAGCAATTTGTATAAGAGATAAAATAAAATATAAGCTGAATAGTGTTGAAGGTATAAAAGATAAACAAAAAAATATTCACAAACACTATACTTAGCGGGCCGTGAATGAATGGAACAATAAATACAAAGAAGTCGTTTATTCTCTGATGTTTCGTATTTTTGCCGTGCAGTAGCAGCAGATTGTGGTAGTTATATAATTGTAGAATTGGATAGAAAATTAAAATTACAAAAAAATATTAATTATTCCATATAGTATTTTGGTAGATTTTTTTGATCTGTACTTAAAACCGATTTTTATTATTATTCTTATTATATGTACTTAAAAATACGAGATTTTTTTCCCCTCAATAATCGGTATATTTTTTATTTTTCCGGTATTATATTATACGGTATTAATAGAAAAGAAAAAAAAGATAGGATTTCTTTATTATGTTTTTCCAGCGAGGATAAATCCTGTTCGCTCTCCATACAAAGATATCTTGTTTAAAGTACTTACCTAAAATGGTTCAAATGTTTTGATTTTAATTCAACGATAGGTAGTAAAAATTTCAAAAATCAATATCTACACGTCAAAGTTGAGTAAGTAATAATATTATAAAGAAGATGTCCTAGGATAATGGAAACGAGTACAACCATTGTTATAGGTAATTTAATATACATCTGTAAGCAACGATAAACTATTGCTAACGAAAATACTATTCTGAGCGCAGTTTAGTTTATAGCGATGCTTTGTTAACAATATATATTATGTTAAATTATGGTAAAATTAATTAAATAGGCATTATATATTTTCCTTAATAATATTTGTTTAATACTATACCGATTTTCCGTACTTCCCGGCTTTCCCATGTTTTTTCCTGTTTTTTCTTATTTGCTGGGAAAACTCTCGGAAAAATCGAAAAATTACCTCTCTAAAGTACCTTCCCAGTCAGATTTCCTTTACAAAAAATGCTATTATTGTAAATCGGATAAAATTAGCTGGTAGAAAATTTGTTTATAGAAAAAAAAAAAATCAAATTTAGACTTTTAATGAACCTCCTGTTAAATTTTCAAGTATTTCTGTTAAGTTTAACAATTTTACGTTTTAATTTTAACGTTTTATCCTGGTTTTCCCAGATATTATGAAAACTGCTTGGAAAATCAAAAAATTACCCCCCAAAAGTACTATCTGGACAACATTCCCTTTTAGAGATGGTGCCGCGCGTATATATCTGAGCAAGATTTCTGGTAGAATTTTTGTACACAGTAAAAATAAAAAAAATTTAAGTAAAACCAATGCATTCTTCGCTATATTTGGAATCTAAAAAGAAAAGAAAGAACCGTAAAAAAATTTAAATTGCATTAACGCGGTGAAATGCAAACGTTTTAATTGCATATATTATATAGACGTCTACGTTTTTTTCAATTGTGCTTGGACGATATACATTGTTCGAAAAAAAAAGGGCGGAATTCCGTTGTTCGAAATACGATCTACCTTTGAGAGTATCCCGCATTATCGAAAATGATTATAGCCAATTCTACGAGTGTAGCCTGGTCTATACTTTAAAGGTGACTCCATCGTGATCGTTATGAAACTCGCAACTGTGATAATACTACTACCTTGATTTATCGCCGTGTGTATAAGACAATAGTTACTATTGAAATATCCTGAAGGCGTATTCCGCACACTATTAACTATTAAACAAGCATTATCGTGTAAGACCGTAAGAGTGCCAGTGAACTCATACTATCATTATATTTTAAAAGCGTGTCGCATTTCACAGACGATTTTATATCAAAATTTTGTATTCATGTGTACGATGGTTTTGCGATATTATTACCTGTTAGACAGTTTCAACATCAATTATCACTTTACTAAATCATCGTGTGGACCAGGCATTAAATACAGATGTTCGGCAGCCGAAATACACAGAGAGCAAACTGCATTGATTATAATATATAATCTATGAAAGTGAAATATGTGTTTATGTGACATGAATTATAGGTAATAATAATTATACAAGTAGGTATTTCTGTGACGATATGTTCAAATAAAAAAATATCCATGAGTTAGTTATTGTCTTATTGATACCCACAGATTTGTCCACTTAGTATACGGCTGCTGATTTCTATATCTTATGCATCAGTCGACTATCCAAATGTTTTAAACGTCTATATGGTTTAACGAGCTAAAAAAAAATGCAATAAATAAGTCGAAAAAATCCGTCCATGCCATATAATTTTCAATGGAACGATAAAATACAATTGTACAGGTAAGACTGTTATTATAAAACGGAACGTTTTTAAAGAGATTTTGATTATCTTTTTGTCGAGAGGAAAGCCAAAACGTTTCGAATATATCGAGAGAAAAAGCCCTACACGAGTATATACTTACGGTAGAAACCGATATGTGAAATTCGGAGCTTTGAGCGCTCGGCATTTTGTATTTTATATTTTTATTTATATTTTTAATAGCGTTTCTTTGTTTGACGGTTGCCCGAATATTATTGTATATTATAGGGTAGCGCCCATAGACTTTGTCGGGTGAATAAATAAAACCAAACGACAGAAACTTGGCATTGTTCGAGAGTGTAGGAGAGGATAAAAAAAAAGTGCATCGCCGAATATACAAATATTTATACGCGCGAACATACCCGATTTCCGTGAAATTCTTCTCGTGGTTTGGATTTAATTCGACGACGTGCATGAGGACTGTGCGAACCAACATAGACCACCGGTTTGTCATTGTACCGCTGAAACACCATTATATTGTACCCAAAACGATACGCAATATAATTATCCACTCATACGTATAGCGGTTGAATATATTATTTTATTAAGCAATCGATATGACGGATAAAAATAATATAAAAAAAACATAAACCTGACATAAATAGCTATATAATAATATAATTTATTATTTTGTGATCAAGGTAACCCGAAAATCAACAAAAATAAAACCAATGTCCTTTGTCCCTAAATTTTTAAAATTTCTTTTAATAACCGGTGGTAAAATTACAAGCGATTTTTTTAAAATTACCGTATATTCAAAAGTACCGTCGACCGGGAAATATGACATATTTTGAAGTATAAAAAAATAAATAAGATCATTTTTATTAACCGAAAATAGGATTTTCCATGGAAAAAAACACATCTTAGTAAAACTAATATAGTATTCTCGCCACACTAACAATTTAAAATATGTACAAGTAAAAATTCAATTGCGTTTTTTATTTTGCCATTTTAAATAGACCCGATGTACGATACTTCAAATCGAAAAATACAATTTAAACTAACAATTTACAACTCTAAGTAAACAATTAAAAACTAATTAACACAACGTATCAATATTTTATTTGATTTTTTATTAATTTCATATTTTTCGTCTATTCTATCTTGTAATTTTTTTTTATTCATCCACGAATCTTCTCCAGTTATCTGGCGCAACTAGGTGATTGTTAAATTGTCTTTAACACTCACAACAAGTTTAAAATGACCACCTCCAAAAACATCCAAAAAGGTTTTTCATAGTGATGATTAAATATTTTATCCGCGAATTATTCATAATTAATGAACAGATCAGAATACAGATTTCCTACAGCATATGTGTGTATGAAAAAGAATGTTAAAACAGTTCTGATAAATTTGTATAATTGTAAATAAAATGTGTAGTTACCAATTGTAAGAGTAGCGTGAAGGGGATTGTGGGGGCATTGATCCATGGGTGTTTGATGTGTCCATAGTTTAAGCACCCTAAAAGTTGGTGGTCTAGTTGTGGCTATGCTCCAGTATATTATAATACGTACCCAAATGTACACTACGATTTCACTAATAACTGTTTCGTTTCGTTTCACTGTCCCAATAATATTTCTACGTTAATTGACGAAGACGTGGCTATCTAAAAAAAATAAAAATCGGACCCAAGCAGGGCGTGGTAAAAAAAAAAAAAAACGAATTATGCGGATAGCGTGCTAATGTCAAATCGCACTAAATTTTTTATTATTTGTTTTATCTCGAAATAGCTACTATCTATACCTATGAACCCGCATAATAAGTCAGCGCGTAAAAAACTATTCTGGCGATCGGCATGGAGTCTACAAAAGTTATATAACGAAGATGATTGCGTACCGGAAGTGATATTTTTAGTGTCGGAATCGCAAAGACGGCGGGCGGTACGCGTAGAATGCGGTTCGTCGACACGAATACACAGTTTTATTGATTTTGATTTTTTTTTCTTCATTCTTTAAGTTTTCCCCGAAAATATAAACACTGTTGCACTGTATTGTGTTTTATTTGTTTTATAGTTACATATTTTTCCTCCCTGTACTTGTGAACACTCGATGAAACGATACAATTTTGGTTAAATTTCAATATATATTTCAGCACGACGTTGTTTTTTACGGAGATGGTGTCTTTTTAGCTTCGAAAACCCCCGCGTACTCCTCAAATAAAGCCAAGACGATGCAATTTTGTGTGTGTTTTAAGTTAATATTAACGACGTGCCTTTCGGTGGTTTCATTTTTTAAGCCCCGTCCCTACCAATTTAATGCTCAAATTTCACCATTTCTTTGGAAGTAGTATGACTGCAGTGGGAAATATAGCCAGGTATTTCGGCGTATTATAAAATTCGGTTATTTTTTAATTTTTTATAGAATATTTCTATAATAGAAAATATATGAGGTAGAATTCGACGCTACATGGCGGCGCTTTGCTACTCACGGGTGTTTTTTATTTCATATTTCATTCGAACTACGGATTTTTTTCACTGCAGCATTTTCCATTGACGATTTTGTTGCAGTTAACTTGAATAGCAGATTGAAAAATAAATCGTTTATGTTTTATACCAAAAACGTGCCTTTCAGAACTTTGTTGGCGTTTGAAATGTTTTTTTTTTTTTGTGAACTTTAAATGCTAAATGTCTCTAGTCCTGTTAATTACACATCCGGGGGCTGGAAATAAGTTTTCTGGGGATTTGAAAATTGTATATTTTGTTTTTCTTCGGGTAATCCAACTTAGGCAACGTTGCCCGGATAACAGTTATACAGAATAAATTTAAAATGTTTATTTAAAATCACGTATGTATCGATCCGTTTTTATTTATTTTTTTCATATATATATATTTCACGTATTTGATTTATAACTGTACCGATTTATTATGATTGCATGGACGTGGCGTTGGCAATATTACGAGTGCATACAAATAAATAAATATATATACATTTTATTTTATCGTCATCGTCATCGTCGCAAACATAGCATAAGCCGGTGACGAAAATAATTCCAAACAATCAAATTATAAAGCGTTACGATGTCGTGTCGCGGGCGCAACGTCAATCATTACCATACTTTCCTATATAAATATACTCGTACTATAGGTATACGTATAATATTTTTTCATTGCAGTCCATATCGACTTTATTACACCGTATAGGTTTGAATGCGTGTATTCGTTTAAATATCCGTACTAATAGTACGAGAAAGAAAAATGTATTATTATGAAATTCGTACATCGATGACTTTGAGTTGACATTAAAATAAAAAATAGATAAAAAACGGTGTACTAGAGTATTACCGTGCTACAATATGATGACAGCCATATAACAAAATTGCAAATTTTATTGATTGGCCCATGAAATATTAACTGTTTATGCCATGAATTATATGACAAATTCAATTGAAAATACAAATTGTAATGGTTTCTAACGAGTTAACCTTTGTTACTATATTACCATCGTATAATTTTTGGCAAAAACTAAGATAGTTATTTTATTGGTTATGATATAATTTTGTTCTCTTTGTGAATGGCTGCCAAACTTTATAACTCTTAATCAGTGCCATGCCTAGCAAAATCAACACTTGGTACTAAGATTAATTTTAAGCGCCTTTCCTGAAAAAAATGTTGTACCTAACATATATATCTAACTTTATACGACCAACGCGGTAGCTAAAACCAAATTTCACGAGACAGGAGATTAGTTCGTTAAACCACTTTTTGTGTATTATAATTTTTACGTTGGGTTTTAAAATTTAATCGATTAGGTGAATTGAATTCCTAACCCTCCAACCATCTACGGCTCTACACCTTATCTATGGGTTGTATGTGGTCGCATCTTATTGTTTTTAATCGTAAAGTTCAATGTATATTAATGAATAATGATGTTGTAATTCAGTTTTAAAACACGAATTCAGACGATTGATTTGAATTAATATTTATCGTGTATTATAAAATAACGACCCCCCCCCCCCCGCCCGTAGGTACGACTCTGTCTCGTATAATGGGATTCCATAGCATATGTATTATGTAAGCATTATAGTACAGTCGGCTATCTGTTTATTTCATTTAAGTAATATTATATAATGAACAAAACGATCAACAAAGTAAAAATAAATATAATAAAACCGCGGTTTACATACTTTTAGGGTAATGTACGGAAAACGGACGGAAATCTATTGTTGGTTAAATTATTTCCGTCGGTTATTTAGGTGTAAATGTTACACTCAGAATCATAACGTTATGCGTTCACGAATTATTCGGGATAAATTGTTCAAATTTCCGAAGCCACCGAAACTTTAACGCATTACTCGAACGCGCATTATATTTACGTCAAATCGATAGAATATTTCGCTTAGTCTATTCGTTTCGAATACTGCACACATAAATCATACGATAACATAATAGCATATTATGCAGTCATTCCGATCGTTTCGGCGTTATAACATCAGCGTGATTAATTTCGAATTTTAATAGAACATTAATTTCGGAAGTACAATAACGGGACATTTAATTCATTTGAAAAATTATATATTTAGCGATTTCGTAAATGCATCCGTTACGAGCGACGGATTATAAACCCTAAAATATAATATTGCTATTCAAACAGTTTACAGTGTTTTCAGCAATAAGATATCCATTGAAAATCGACAATTCGCAAATTGCGTGTACTCAGTCGTAGACTGGATTGGGTCATTATTTCACGAATTCGCTTCAAAAATACAACCGTTTTTTTTGGGGGGTTAACTTATCGTGTTATTCTTTTTATTTGTCTACCGCCATACTTACTCTTCGAGAGTTTAACGAGTTTTTAACGTCTTAACTATATTTCGTCAACTGTTATTTGTCACTATTTTTTAAACACCTCTCTCGAGTTTTAAATTACAGATTTTTTTTAAATCTATCTTTTCTGCGTCTTCTTTTCCGGGTTTTTTTTATAACATTTTTAGTGTTACGAGATCCATTCTCGAAAGATCTACACCTTTTTGCTATCTGTTTGGTTGTCGTTGAAACCTCGTAAAAATAACCGTTGGCCCTATAATAGCTATACGTACTATTTTCTTACTATTGTTTTTGTTCATACGAATTCTATCTTTGAAAATTCTCTTCGAATTTCGGTAAACGTAATCATATACGGTATTAGCGAGATAATTCGCGTGTATTGAAACTTTACTGACTGCGGGTAAACGAACGCGTCACGTGTATGATGGTACTTGGAAGAAACAATAGCCGTGAAATTAAACGGAAATGTTGAGAAAAAATATAACCGAACACAGGTGTAAATAATACGTAGTTTAATAATTGTAATATTGTACGACCCGTTTAGAATCAACATTTTTAATCGGATTAAAAGTACTGTAGAATTACATTATCGTGTTTCATACCGAATAATGTGCACTTAAGTACATGCACACGTAAACCGTAGAATGTTTCTCTTCGTTCTAACGGTACCGTTTAAGAAACCAATAAAATCCGAACAATCGTGAATAAAAAAACAAAACAAAATTCAACCATAAAATATAATACTACTGACAGAAATAAACGTACCGATTATTTTTAGCAGTTAAAGTACAATAGGTATACGTACTTTTCGTTTTTGTAATATTTTCGAAAATATCACCCACGGTTTTCCAATTAAAAAAGTAACAAAAAAAATAGTTTCGATTATAATAATACTGTACGGAAACCTTTACGGATTCACCGACGAATCGTAATTTCATTAAAAATGAAACTTTTGAAAGTATTGACCCCCATCCCCTCCCTGATTTATTTTTATTTCTCGTTGCCAATTAATCAATATTTTTTTTTTTTCAAATAACCGAGATAAATATGTATTTTTTTAATCAAAAACCACTACCTCGTATACAATTAACCAACGTATTCGTTGATAACGACTACAACCACCTTAACTTATATTTATTACGTAAAACTTTCAAAAGTCATCATAATTAATATTTGCGTAACACCGCGGGGCTTCTTACATTATACAAAGAGAATGTTGGGAGGAGGGGGTCGAAATCGAGAAAACGTTTTCGTTTAAAATATAATATTACCGTAATGTAATAAATAACAATCGCGTATATTTTATGGACTAAAATTTATAATACGTTCTACGCAACAAGAAAATGAAATTTTGCCAGAAATCTGATAATATTTTCATCAAAGGTATTTCTCGTGCGCGTATCCGAGTGCAATAAATTAATAAAGAACCTGGAATTATAATTTATTATAATAAGGCCGGAAAGATGTTAAACTTAAATTATTATAATTTTTTTTTCTAAAGAATAATATTATTCTATATTTTTACGATTTCCACTATCTATAAAAACAGGTTTCTCTTCGATAGTATTATAAATTGGATGGTTTTTATTTTTGACATACACGGTAAGTTAAAAATTTTAATTTTTCGGCGATTAAAAGTTTGAATTTCATATTTGTTTTCATTAGTTTTTAGAATCGATAGTTAGTACTCGATTTTTTTTAGTTTTCTCGAGTCTCGAATAGACAAATATTTAATTCTACTTGATTCAATTAAATTTCAAAAAACCAATATTCGTTCAATTTTACTACTTAAAATTATGAGCGTGGCGAGGGAACAATTATTTTGCTCTATATGAGTATTTTCTATTGTGACCTGTCCCGTATGCACGTACGAATATGTAGGCTTATCACTTTTTCACAATATTTTATTACTTGCTATACCAATAGTCTTATTATTGTGACCTCAGACCTATCGCGTATTATCATGATTAAATAACGTTATGATATCACATTTCTCACTGCAATAATTTGCCCGAAAGTGGCACCATTAATCGCGGTGTAAAGTTTCACTCGGAATTGGCGACATATAAACCGAAAAATAACTTTAAAATGTGACTTTTCGTTCTTCACACAAAAACCGTCCTGTTACGTTATTTATATTATAACTACTGCGTTCGACGTTGTAAATTCTCGCGCGTAGCGAAATTGCCTATACGAGACGCCGTGTCACGATCGCCTCCGGTCATCGACGTTCGGAAATAATAATACTTTGTTATTAAAATAATAAAAAAAAAAAAGCATTCGACAGATACATTCGGTAGATAGACGGTTTTCGATAGGTTTTTTTTCTGAAACGATTTTTTCTTACCCGCGATTATTGCGGATAGAGTGATGAATCGCTATATTATATTGGTTTAACAAATGATTCGTATGTTTTTTTAATAATAATACTTAACACATAATCGACGGGAAAATTTCGTGTCGACATTTTATTTTCTCTTCCTCCCCCCCCCCTTACTTCTCCTGGAGTGCGCGTAAAGGTAGGTTATACATAAAGTTTAATAATACGTCGACGCGAGTGAATCCGCAAAGTTCAACGGCTAATTTATGTGCACGCGTACAATTTGTTAAGTTAGGGACAGACGGGTAATGTTTTTATCATCGACTCCGGGACGGCACGACGCGACGGTGTTGTTATGTTGTTTTCGCGACGTCTCCGGAAGGTTATAAGGAAAAACAATACGTTTTAGCGACGAGTTTATTTCGGTTATACTATACACGGAAACAAACACAAACCGCGAAATCAATATAACTGCGTATAGCGTGTACAAATGTCGAACACAGTTTCTACCTACCGATGAAGTACGAAGTCGATTTTGGAATCGATTGCAATTTTAAAAAAAAAAACAACCCATTGGCCGATTATGTTTGTCGACGGTGTATCAATATTGAATGCGGTTTTCGAGGAAAAAAAATAAACTTGATGCAATTGCATTATTTTATGCCTTTGCTCTAATACCTTACATGTATAGAAAACTGTTTCTTGGAATGTAGCAAATAGAAGCAAACGATTGTTTTTTTTTTCATTTTTAAGGAATCGCATACTGATATACTGTCATTTATTAATATCATTTGATTATTCAATACTTTTTGTGAGATTATATTTGCATTTTCATTACGCGTCCGGTACGTAAAACACGTGTATTCAAATTAAATGTCTTCCTCTTCAAATACTTGTCGTATTCCATATTTCTTAATCTCCTGAATCTAGGTCATTGTACCTCGACAATAAATAATAAATATCAACATTATATTAGGGTGTAATAAAAACCCCGTTCTTCACAGATAAAGGTGAACCGCTAATCTACTCTATTATAATTTATTCCAACAATTTCTGCCGGAATATATACACGTTTAATGTTTTTCTTTTTGTTTTTTTTTTATGTTGTTTAACATTAAAATGTAGTTTTATAATTTTTTTTTTTCCTGTAGTTTACCATAGTATACCGGAATGATAAAAACTCGGAATATAAAATTCCAAAAAGTTAGTTGAACCTCTGGGCGCGATAATTCGGAATGTTATATGCTAGTGTTTTTTATTTTAGTACATTTAGTTAAACAACATTCCAAGTACTCAGCCACACGAATATTCGTCGGATTTATAATTTAACGTCAGACTAAATTACGCACAGATCGATAAACTAATTATTTTTCTGCGTTAATATAAACTATTAAAAATTCCGTTTTTAATATATGTTTAGCTAAATTGTAGTCGGGATAAAATTTAAGAATAATTTTCTTTTGCGAAAACAGACCCAACGTCACGCGACAAATTATGTCAAAGGAATTATGTTCGACGAACGTCCGTGGAATAGTCAAACGCGATTTTTCGCATGTTTTACCGGATTCCACGCTCGTTTTCGCCCACTGGCTCGTTCCACTTTCAGCGAATTCCTCAAGCATAATGAGTGCAACTAGTTTTATTATAATATTATTCAAATGCGAAATTTCCCCGTCGCCTTTCGTAATTTTATCCCCGGGCAACGCTGATTTTTTAATTTGATGTTTTACGTGTTGGCCTATTTTCTCTTATTGTATAATAGTATAATAGTTATAGTTTTATTTCCCTGTTAAATTTTTATTTTTTTGTCTCTTTATATAATAATACTACTGTGTGTGATGTATTACGTGCGGCTGAATCGATTCGCGTCGGAAAACCTATTATAAATAAGAAATAATAATATTATCAAATTGTATTTCGCGTAATACGCAGATACGAAATAATATGTAAGCGATAAAATATACAATATATTTTTCACTATCTCGCGTTCGTATTATCATATACATAATATTATATTATGTGTGTACGAATGGAAGAAATAAAAAAAAAAAATAATAATAATAAAAAATTCTATACATTAGATTATATATTTTGTATTGTATAGTTCTATGGATTTATCGAAATGTATTATTTGAAACTTTTTTCCGTACATATATATATATACAATATAATAATATAACATAATCTATTATACACGAACTAGGTGTACATAATTTATAATATCGAATGAAATTTAATAAAAAAATAATAATAATAATAAAGAAAGAAATTACAAAAAAAAAAAAAAAGGTAAATAATTCTTCGACTCGACTGCGACTGCTGCGACGTGACTGCGTCCAATATACTATTACGGTTCCTACGCGTTTTCAGAACATCGTCGTAACATATATCACGTTCTTCATTTATTTCGTTTCCAAAGGAGAAAAACTAATAATAATAATAATAAATAGCAAATATTTGTAGTTTTTCGCCGAAACCGTATATACAGTTATGGCAGTTCGTGTTACACATACACGAAATCGGATCCACGTACGTAAGCCGCGTCTCAAAGGAACAATCGTGGAATTCGAAAAGAAATCCATCGCGCTGCGACGAATGTATCGAAAATTGAATAAAATATTATGCCTTTTCGAACGTCCCACAGAAATTCGTTAAAGGTACTGCTCGTGATATTGTTTACAAATTATGCGGTATTATGTTAAAAATTGCTTATAGGGAATTATTAACATTTTACAAAGACTTGACAAATAATTTAATCAATTTAAATTTTCGTACTAAGGCTATCTCGTTGTTTTACCCAAAACGTGCTTAACATAAATAACTTTCATGCAACAATGCGCGTAAAGATACATTTAAAAATATCTGTATATAGATAAAGGATATTTACTAGAGTAATTATTATCTAGATGAAGATATGAGATACCGGAAAAAACTTTGGATTAAGAATATTTCATTGTTTGATTATGTATCTATAAACCGGGGGGAAAAATATGTACAAAAAAAAAAAAATGGTTTTTATAAATGGAAAAAATGGATCATATTCTGAAAGATGATGATATTATTTAAAATGTGTCTGTAAGAATTCTTCCACTTTCCACGAAAAAAAAAATATATAACCAAAATCGGTTCACTTTACGTGATATAAGAGTCTTTCTTGTAAGATACAACAAAAAAACATTGTTCGCAGGTCTTTAAAATTTTAGATTCTGAGTGGAGCGAAGAAGCTTATGGTTTTATAAAGATGTATATAATTTTTTTTTTATTTGTGCACAACTTTTCTACAGAAATGTTGCTCCGATTTTTAAGTTTATAGCACCTTTTCTGAAAGGCGTGGGGATGTACTTTAAAGAGTTCATTTTCCGATTAGTTTTTTTTATTAAATGTGAAAACCGAAAATAAACATAGGAGAAACGGGAGGACCGGTACATTAAAAAAATATTTTTAAAGATAATATATAATGCCTATTTAATTATTTTACTATAAAATGACAATATTAAATTTTAGTATTATAATGTATAGCGTATTGAGTTTTATAAATCTGCGTACTAACGTTTTTTGTTAAATACTTCTCGTAGTTTTCCGAAACCTAAAAATAGTTAAAAATGTGAGTTGAAAAAAAATTAAATATTTTCTCTGTTATAAATGCGAATGGTTAATATATAAATTCGTGCTCGGTAACAATATATTACCGAATGCTGATTCTTTGGAGGCGTAAACAGTAAAGATTCCACGAACAAAAAACTGAATAATTTGTTGTCATAAAAAATAACACAAACTTTTAAGCGGGCTTCCTCCCTTATGACGGCTGACAACCGCAGTAAGTTCTTTTTAAGTGGATTTTACTATCAAAACACTTTCCAAAAAGTATTTTGTTTCTTTTATTTTTTTATGAGCTTTTAGTGTGTTTTAAATTTGCGTATTATTTAATATTTTTCTTTTAAAAAAAAGAAACAAAGAAAACCCGTTCACAGATTATATTTGCAATGTATTCATAAGAACTTCTGTTTTTTTTTTCAATTTTCTAAAATAGTCTGAAGTCAGGCCTCGCTCATTCTATCTGCAGATATCCGAATATTTGATTATCGTACACGAATATAAATTCGATCGAAAATATTTAAATAATAAACGATCATCATGTTGAAAAAAAAAAAAAAAATTTAATATTTTCCAGTCGTATTTTTATCTGTCAATATATGCGGGTATTTTTTTTTATCGTCATATCGTATATATGTAAGTATTGTATTATTCTATGTTCGCGCTAATGCTGTTTGGGTTTCTACTTAGCATTTATTATTATTACTGTTATTCAAAATTTCAATTTTAAATTGCATACTTTGAAACTGAACATTTTTCACAATACACGCGTGTATTGATTCATTTATTTATTTTATTTTTTGTGTATACATTATTTATTTATACATTTATTTATTATATTCATTTGCTTTATTTATTTACGAATATTAACCATTTTAATGATTTGGCTTTTACTTTATTATTTTATTATGAATAAATATTGTTATTAACCGTTCGAGTTTTTTGTTTTATTATTCGTTCGCGGTGAACAGTTTGAACTGCCGCACCGTGCTTCTCAATATTTCATCGCATATACAAACATAAAAAAAAACATCAGAATTTTTGAAAAATACATTCGAACCGACTTGTACAAAACTAACGAATTCATGAAACATGTACGAATTTTTGGCACCTCGTTAAGTGCGCAACATAAATAATAAAACAAATTTACACAATTTTGGTCGTACGATTACACGTTTGCATGTACATTGCACACGAACCCTGTAATTCGTCACACCGAAACACACTTTACTTCTTACTTTTCCTTTTTACTTTTGGATTCACTTTGTGAATATTATTAATATGCATTTAGTTATTCCATTGTCATTATCAATTTTATCAGTTTTATCGATATTATTATACCAGCTTATTTTACCATATTACATCCAACTTATTTTACCAGCGTATACTCCAGCCGTAAAAAAATGAAAATTTAAAAATCACGATGATATATTTTTTTCATAAATTGTTCGAAGGTACATATTCCAATATTGTTTCGTCTTGGGGCCATTGGATTACGTAATCATTAAATATTCGCATAGACGGAGATACGGGATATGACGGGTATGCTTTAACGCACTCTGAACGTCAAAATATTTTTCAAATCGAGGAAAACTTATTTTTGATTTACTATATGCAATTAAATTCATGCTGAATCAAAAAAAAAAAAAATTAAATCGTTTACAGTTATTACGTCTGTTAACGAAAAAAATATTATCATTTATTTCGTAAATCTTCTACACTATAGGTAATATAGTTATGACCGTAAATGGACGGGGAAATTATTATACACAATGTCATTACATACAGCCGTTAAAATAAAACCTAATTATTCAAAATGTCGTTTTTCAGGTAACGGATACATTGAAGGCACCGAGTTGGACGGCTTTCTGAGAGAATTCGTTTCCAGCGCTAATACTGCGGACGTCAGCCCCGAGGTATGTACCCATATACATATATATATATATATACAAGATTTATTTTACGCACCGTTTTAGCTTTTGTAAAATATGTATACTAAAAAAAAAAAAAAAGACATTAATAAAAGTCGAGACACGTACCAACACGGAGTAATCTAAATTACTTTAACGGATGCTGATGTATATTCTTTGTTCCGCTTCGGGAGATAAAACCGCCGGCAGCGCGGCAGTGTGAACGAAACAAAAGCGCGTAGAAAAGTGTTGAGTGCAAAAAAAAAAACCATACAGCTACTAACACGATGCCACACATTTTGTTCGTGTAGGCGTTTATGCCGATGAAAAAAAAAATAAAAAGTCTAAAAAATTAAACACTTTGTATTATATATACATACATAATGGTAATTTGGTTCACATTTTATGGCTGAAAAACTGTAAAACTCGCAATATAATGACGTAAATGTCCTGTAACGATCATTTAATAAGTGCGGTATCGGTGCACTATGAAATATCTACTTTTCGTTTTCGTGCTTATAATGGTTGGTTTCTTTTATTTTTAAACTACATATTTAAACTGTTTTTATTTTCAAAGTAATAATAACGGGAAGTAGTAGACGACCCCCTCTCTTAAAAAAAAAAACTAATTTATAAAAATGACTGTATTCCTCACTTATAGTGTCGTATTTAGAATTTTATCGTTGGAGTGGAGTAGGAAAATATATTTCATTGACCCGAGAAAATTATTACGCATTTTATCCATCAAATTTTTCAAATAAAACGTCTAACTATAGCATATAAATAAAAAAAAATTACAGGGCGATTTGTTTTGGTTTTATCATAGCCCGGCCTTATAATATCTTATACAGCGATTTCGAGTAAAATTAATGTCGAGGTTTTTCACACTATAAATTGAATGATTTTATTTTTTTAATGTTACCCTTATTCTGTAGTATATGTCATAATTAAAACTAGACACTTTTGATATTTTTTAAGTAGTAAATATTGTAATACATAAAATATGTATATTACACCGTTTATAAGTAACAGAAGTAAAAATTAAGACCGACGTTGTAGGGCGATGAGTTTTAACATTATAAACGGATACAAAATTTATTTTACCATACAGAAATCGCATTTATTTAAAATCATCCGATAAAATCGTTCAATCGTGGTAAAAAAAAAAAAATCATCACTTTAAATATCATTATAATTTCGTATTCTTTCTTTTTTTTTTTTTTTGCGAAATTGACTTGTCAATCAAACGATGGCCCTTTTTTAATGGTGTATAATTCGAATGTTTCGACGATCACACGCTAATCGAACAATACACCTGGCAACAAATCAACCGAATTGATTCGTTTTAGACATTTCGTTAGAATGTCGTCTTTATCGAAAACTATAATACAAAACAATTAGTCTTTGTTGAAACAGCAACAACAAGAAGTAATGCCAAAATACTTTTATATAGATTATTTATGTATACTCGTACATATAAAGTGATTTTTATTTTATCATGAACCAGCAGTTTTCTTGAAGCATTTTAAGTGAATTTGTTTTTTTTTTTATCATTATAGAATCGTAGATTAAGTTTTATTTTTAAACCATTTTTAGTTTTTTATCTCCACTCCGTGTATTGAATAAATATATACTTTTATTTTTCAAGTAGGAAGGTTCCTTTTTAAACACAGATTTGATTAGAGAATGTTTTAAAAGACATTTTGATACACAAACGCAAATATCATATTTACCGTATATTATGAGTTATGACCTTTTTAAGTTTAAACCGGAGAAGTAGGGACTCGAATACGGTAAATCTGATATTAGCGTTTTGTTTATCAAAACATGCAAAAAAAATATTCTCTCTGTTTAAATTATGTATTGTTGTTATTTATTTCGGTGTTCTTAAATTTATTATTTGAATTATTATAATATCAAATATAATAATGATAATATTTAATTATTTATAATCGAAAAACAAAAACAAATAACAGAAATATAGACTAAACATTTATATGCTTGAAAAACATATAAAATATAATGTCTGTGAAGAAAAACACAAAGGGCAAAATAACACACCAATTATACATAACTAAATAAATAATAAATAATAAAAATATAAATAAATCACTCAACTTTATGATTATGTTGTTTTTTTTTTTTAAATTTAATCTCAATGTTTATTTTTTATAGTATAGATACGATATCTGTTGTTTTTTTATTTCGATAGCATATGCTGCGCAGTGGTACTAATGTTATTAGCTATAGGTATAACATTTATTTTTATTAGGTACGAAAATCAAAAATTTTTTATACACTTTTTGAATTTTATATCGATACATATATATATAATCTATAGTAGAGGGTGACGAAATTATTTTTTATTATGTAGTAACGGAGGAAAATGGTATCACATTTACAGAGGAAAATGGCTACGGCCGAACTTTTACCGGTATCGTTATTTTTCGAAAGGGTAAAAAACTAAAGTACCTACGTACCTATATAGCTGTACAAACTATCGACTGTGCACACTGACCCGGCAATAATTGTTCGTCTCTCGACCGGAACGCACAGTCTATCGCCTTGATTCAAAAGGTCAATAATTTCACTTCCTTTGCTCGTTATTATTATCACTAATATCAGTAAGCCGCCGCGCCTCGAACGCTCTCGAAATAGTCCGTATGAAAAGTGTTAGGAAATTAATTTTCAGACCGTTTCACACGGGCACTGCTGCAGCTGTTATTTTTACGGAACAACGACTCCGTTTATTTACCAACGCAACAGTAATAAAACGCAACAGTATGGTACGCTAATGTCATTATAAGGACGAGATGGTTAAAAAAAAAAAGTCTGAAAAGAATACGATAAAAAAAAATTTCAAAGGTGTGAGAAAGATCGATGGCTAACCGCGCGTGTCGACGATTCATTTTTGCGCGGTTTTTTCTTTTCTAAACATAAATTTAGTATATATATATATATAGTGTTTTTGAGCCGATACTATTAGGATTTTTATCTACAAGCTTCTCGGCGAGATAGTGATTATAGTTTATCGGTCACCCCGGGTATTTTTTTTTTTGCACATTTATTTACGGCAGGGAAAACATTTTTCAAAACATATATTATACTCATTGGCGTAGGCAAAAGAAAGGAAGTAAGAGGATCAAACTCTCTCTTTATTGATATTTTAATCATAGATCTATAAAAAAAAAAAAAAAAATCATAATTAACGTAGGAACTGTTATTGCGTACATTTCCCCTTTTTCCTGGTTCTGTACAACAATTGTAATAATTATTATTAAAATCAAAACAATAAAATGACCTTATCTATATTTTGTAAAAATTTGTAAATTTCTCAAGTAGTACAATTCAACAGAGTTTATCTTTGCAATTGTATTTACAATAATATTATATTAGTCTCAATAATAGTGTGATAAAAAACTTTATTTTACTATACATTTTAATTGTATTATTTTGTGCGTGTATGCTTATTATTAATACTTAATAAGGAAATTTATAATTATACATTTTTATTAGGAAATCGATCCTCAAACGAAAAATATATTCTTAGTAGATCCCTACCAAAAAAGTTTGGCCACACCCTGGAATGTACACCAACTAGACACAATTTTCCATTGCTGAAGTTTATGATCGAAGCAACATTTTTGGTTTAGAAATTGTTTTAAAACAGACAAAATAAAAATAATAATTTCATAATATATAGGTAATGTAAACAAAATTCACACCACAGTAAAACTAATATATGCTGCGCTCTGAATCTAAAACGTAATTTAGTTTCCACTATTTTAACATAACAACTGTTCGTTCATTTGTATTATACTTGTTGTGTAAGAACGACTATTATAAAAAAAAAAAAAGAAATATCTGTCCTGCGCTATTTAAACGAAAATTAATGTACTAAAAACCGAGAAAAAAAATGATACAAACATGTAAGTTAATTAAAAAATACTTATTTTATATCTTGTACTTATAAAGTTTCATAAAAAAAAAACAAAAACGAATTTCGTAACCGTCGAGGCGTAACGTTATTTAAACATGCTTTGTTCATAATAATAAAAATAATAAAAACATTTATACTTATTAAATATTAAAAAAGAAAAATACAGTATACGATTAATTATAAATAATAAATAATAATTTTTATACTTGAAATAACATTTATAATATTACTAAGTCTTTACTGCTTTAAAGACAAGAACCATAGTTAGAGTAAAATAAAACACCCTATCAACATTTAATTTCTAAATAAAAATAAATAGCGTGTTCATAGAATAAGAGAAATTGCACTTTAAAATTAGTCAGTGGGTAAAATAATTGAAGATTTTCGAATTAAAGCTGGTACTATATAAAATAAAATAACACTAGAAAATACTGCTTTTCAGAATACAAATTATCTACTGACCATAATATATAGGCAGTGTGATAAAGTGATAAAGGTAAAGTACCGGATAGTATTATAATATACTAGTAGAGCACGAGTTTGGCGCTAAACAGTTGAGTATATTTTTGACAATTGGTATAGGTACCTATTTCGCCCGAAACTGTACAGATAATCGATTTTAGTAAGTTATAATTATTTTGCCAAAAAAAAAATTTAAAAAAAAACCGTAGGTACTTGAAATTTCTGTTACACCGACGACGATGATGTTCGAGTGTATTACATTCAATGTTCGTCAAATGCAGGATGATTACGTATGATAGCTATTTCATTAAATATAACGTCCGAAAAAGCATTTATGTATAAAACAAATAAAAAAAGCGCAGACAAAAGGATTTCGCTGCAATGAACGCTCGTAATTTACCAGGTTTTATAAGTTTACTTGATTATTTCACTTCGAATTTCAATCCCTTCGGACCCAAGAGAGAGTACTAGTGTCCTTAGTGTATACGTATAAAACAAACATCAGGGTATATGATAAATCATCAGATATTCGAAAAAAAAAACGATTTTAGGAGAAATTTGTGGTTTAGCGGTTAGTGGTGTGAATAAAATAGTGTTTGCACATTCATGTACATTAAAGTTTTGTTATTGATATACCGTCGCCTATTGTGCAGAGTAAGCAAATATTTGAAAATATAATATTACGAAAAAACGGAAGGTTGGCAGTTTTTGAGGTTACTTACCTAATTATAATTGATAAAACCTAATTATAATTAAAAAATATAATAGATCTCTAGCACAGTTAATTAATTACTGGGAACTTTTTCAATATTGCGAAATATCCGTCAAAAAAAAAAAAGGTTCTTGAAACTTAGGTTTGGACATTTTTCGATAGTAAATTAACGATTTTTTTTTTTTATATAAAAATTATGACCATACTACACGTTTTATTTTTAATTTTGTCTTGTCTTCCTTCTCTATACGCATAATTTTTAATCTATTGCGTCTGTATAATGTATGATAAAAATAATTATGGTACCTGCTTTTTTTGTTTTTAAAATATAATTTGAAAAACTGCGGTTTATTTTGTAAGATAAAAAAATGCGGTTTTTGTGTTTAAACAACCCAGCAACATATTATACTTTATCAAGCCCGCCGCCGTTCGGGACGTGAACCACGTGTAAAAAGCCTATTCGAATAGGTTCAGATAATGGTATAGTGTATATGTAGGTACCTATACTAAGTTTAGTTGCCCGCGAGGAAAAGTTATACCCGGAGTTGTTAAGCAAAATATCATATTTTAATTATTGCAGTAATATACTTCACGAAGTACGCATAATAGACGCCTACACCGAAAATTCATATTAAAACAAAATGGAAATTGAATCGCCGCCATTAACGAAAACCTATAGATATAAACCTTGTCGCTGATGCAATATTATTAAATTATACGAAAACGTAAACTAAAATAAAATACAATAAGAGAACACTGTCTCGGTCTTATTTGCATGTTATAAATTGCAGCGTTTAAGTTGAAATTAGAGTTTGTACACATCCCGGGCAATCAAATCTACCGGAAAGTCCACACTCTCCGGATGAGTTCCCGGTCTCTAAACGCATTTTAAACAACGTACAATTTAGGTACCTAAATACGTAGATAATTTTGAAAGAATTCGGTAACCAAGTGATATAACAATATGATAGTGATATTATATCAAAATGCCTTATGCTGAAAAACCATAATAGAAAAATAGAAAAATAAAAATAATGCAAAATTAATCGACGTTCTCTCTCTAGATATTCACGACGTAATTATTTTAGTCTCCAAATATAATTGAACCTTCTCACGTGCCTACCAAACCATCATATTTCCTACCTTATATTTTTAAATAATGTTTTATTGTACATAATATAATTTAAATAATATATATATATATATTTTTTTTTTATAATAATAATGTTCCTTATTAATAATGCACACAACCTAGAAATTGCAAGAATATATCACGTGCCGTGTACTATACTATGTATGATGTACAATTTATGTGACGTTACGCGATTTCGCTGTGTTGCCCGCAAGTCGGACCGAAACATTAAATGCGGGTAACGTATCCTTTTAAATTCGTATACTCTCTTTTATAGCAGCTACGGGGCGAGCAATAATTTTGCGTTTTTCTATTTCTAGTCGCGTACAGAAAAGAACTTTTCACTTTTGTCTGAAACCTAAATAATTAAATGTCAACTATACGTTATACATGTTATGTACTTAGGTAATGTGCCGTCAAAGAGAGAATTGTTTAATCCCGCGCGAGATAACCGAAATATTTCAATTATTTTCAGATGTATTGCGTCGTCATCAGGTTCGCGCGCGCAAAACTCAGAAAAATGTCATCGTGCCAAAACTCACAAAAAATGTAAAATAAAACGAAAAACAAAAGTACAACTATAATACTCTCTCTCTCTCTCTCTCTCTCTCACTCTCTATACATATATATAATATAATAAAATGTTGAATTGCTAACTTTCCAAAGTCGCGGTATAATAACGACATGTGACCTATGCTCGTAGAGATTGTGTTATACCGGAACTTTTTAAGGTCATATTAGATGATTTATCGGGTTTTTCAAAACGTATATATATACATTATAATAAAAGAATCGCACAGAAAAGCGAAGACATTTTAGACGTTTTTGTTGCAATTATTCTAAATCGAATATACATATACAGAGTGTTCAACGAAGATGTATCCATTGCAATATCTCCTGAGTTAATTAAGATAATTAAATTTTTTTTTTTTTTTTTTTAAATATATTATTAAACGCAGGAATGAACACTACAAATATTTATATTTGAATTTCTTACACCAAATATTTACATTTTTATGTTTTGGTAAAAAAAAACTAAAACACTGACTTTTTTTTTTTATTATGTTCAGAAGAATAAACTCATTAAAATGATTCAATCTTAAAATTATTCAAAAATAATAAAACAAAGTGTCATTTTTTTTAAGTTGTTTACCAAAAGATAAAAACTTAATTGAAATATAATTAATATTTAAAGTCCTTATCCCTGTGGACTGCGAGTAATAAAAAAAAACAGAATTCGATTATCTTTATTATCTCCGGGTATATTACAATGGGCATATCTTCGTGGGACACCCTGTATATGGGTACCGAACGGTATAAATTTATACCGACTAAATAAATTTATCCAAGTATTTCCTATTTCTGCGGATCGAATAAGATTTAAAAAAATATATATTTACCGTACACTATAGAGAAACCCGACGAATGTACAATATTATGATGAGAAATCGATTTTGAAAAATACTCTAACAATCAGACGGACTTTCGAACCGACGGCGTACTTGAGTACGCTGTCTGCTAAAGGACCGATTTAAAACCTATTAAATAGGCCAGACGCGTCCGTCTCATACAAAATGAAAAAAAAAATCGGATTTTTTTTTTCTCTATACAATCAACATAATATAATTGTACGAAATCAATCAATCGCGACGGTACTCTCCTAAGATTAATATACATTTAGGTATTTTCGCAATGAAAAACATCAAATACAAATGGAATGAATAATATAATATAAGAATAAAAACGCATTTATACTCGTACCTAGGCATATAGTTATTATATATTATCGAAACCGATTTATTTTTACGTCGAGATAGTTATTTCCTGACGAAAATTAATTGCACGCATTATATATAGGCATACTATTAATTATAATGTCGAATGGGCAATATATTATTGGATGTCTACTTTCTTCACAAAAAAAAAAAAAATAAAAAAATAAAAACACCTAATGCCGACACTTTTTACGAAATACCAAAATCGCCGGTCTATTCGTGCCAAAAAATATAAACGGCCGGCGGTATATTATTGTTATTTTTTTTTCTGGCCCACTCACAAGAAAATAAAAACTTATACCGCTTCCGATAACACTGAGTTATCCACGTCAATTTGTGATCATAATATATGGGAACATATGCATCCGAACGGGTGATAAACACATTTTTGATCGGTAACCGTTCTGATTTTGATTAATCGCGTTGTTGTTACGATTTTATCGCGTAATCAATTTGCAAAATCGGTAAGTGATTCGAATTTCATGAACTTAAGATCCAAATTTTTCAAACAATTTTTATGTGCTCGATTTTGAGATCCCCAGCCATTGCCTAGCCACAAGCGCGTGTCTATCCGGCCTATATACATTAATACAAACGAATTGCAGGTCGCCGGATCATCTATGAGTAACACGATTAACAAAATTTTAGTTTCGTTGAACTGCCATTATGATGAATAATAACAGAATTACAAACCAACAACAGTTCTCTGTACGTTCGTGTAATGCATTTCATAATCGAACATCGTTATACTATTTTTTTATGTACTTGTGGGTTTATTTTTGGAATCACCTTGAATATACATATTACACCGCTTATTGTTATAATATTTTAAAAGCGAAATGAATAAATAATATGACAAATACCTACGATAATTTAAAATATATGAAAATAATCACAACATTCTTATCGAGCATGGGCGAATTTATTATATTATATTTGTTTATTTATTCAAATAAACTACGGCAGAATTTACCGCCGATTCAAATTATTCGACAGAAATTGAATTCCTTCTAAATTTATCCATCAAACGCGGTTTTATAAACAAAAATTTACATAATACTAAACTTTTTTTTCTTTTTTACCAATAACATCAATCTTAATTTATTAAAAGCACTCGACTTTTTTTAGATTCTGAGTGTAGTGAAGAATTTATTGGTTTTACTAAGAAGTTTATTTTTTATCCTGTGTACAAAAATTCTACCAGAAATCTTCTTGATCTCGTTAAACCAATTATGTTTTTCTTTCTTATCATATATACTTATTGTGCATATCTGTATGGATTGTGTATTTTCTTATCATTCAACAATAATAAAAAGAAAAATACTATGTAAAAACCGTTGTGAATCTAGACATATTTTCAAATAAAGTACTACTGGGCAATAATTCCGCATCTTTTGTTATACTGTTCAAAAAATTGAAGCGTTTGACTAACTAAAAGAATATCTAAAATAGAAAAAAAACATATAAATCAATTTTTCAGAAAAATGTTTAGGGAATCCGACAAACATATCGAGTATAGTACCATTAGTTGAATAATCCACATCGTTTATTGTACGGCGTGAAAAAAAGTTTAAGCACTAACCGCAAAAACGTTTTCCGAAAAAAAAATCACTTACATTATAGTGAAACACTTCGCTTCACTCGGAATCCGAAACAAAAATTATTATATAAGTTACATGACATATTATTTTATTTTTTGATTTATGACTTGTGATAATATTTCTGTTCGTGAATTGAACCGCTTTGTAACAGTAGTACCATAAACGTTTAAACCGAACGTATATGTGCATAACATTAAAAAAACGTTTACTGTGTAAAATAATTAAATATCACATGTACGTTCTCTGTCCGTACGTTTTAAGCACAATATTGCGGCTGTAGTAATGGTATCGTTACAAGCTAATAATTATAAATGCACTTGAAATGAAAAAAATATATACATATAATATATTCTGATCAACCACCGGTGCGCCGGCGGCAGCGGTCACTCAGTCATCTGACTAATAAATTATTAAAACGAACACTTCGGAACTTTTAAAAAAATCAATTACGTGTACGCGGTGTATTATATGCTACCTATGTATTTATGTTACATATTACGTTTGTATAGGTAGCTAAATTAAATTTCGCCGACTCCAAACTGCGGTTCTCTTGGCCCGCCAACAACAAGAATTAAATAATTAAATAGCGAAATAATACCAGCCGGGTAAATTAAAAAAAAAAAATAAAAAAATGACGATGCCATATTATAAAGGTTATACCTGTAATACTGTGGCAAAACGAAAAGGGCGAAAATATTTTCCCGCCACATCTTATATTGTTGAATTATTTTGGTCGTACCGGATAGTTATTCACTATCTAAATAATATATACAAGGTGATCCATTTAAGTGGGTACACTCATTATATCGGAAAGTATTAACTTTTTTTCGGAATTAGTTGTCTAGAAAATTTAAGAAATAAGCAGCTCTACAATTGTATATTTATGTTATTTTGTGTCACTCTGAACTTTCGGGATAAAACCACTACCTACTTTTGATTTTCAAATGACAACCTATATAAAAAAAATTCCATAAATACGTATTAATAAAATATTATTAGTATTAATAAAAAATAAAATGCCGAAAAAAGTTAACACTTTCCAAGATAATGAGTGTACCCACTCAGTTATATATTTTATTCTGTACCGCATGATACACCACCGAAAAACAAATAGAAACTTAAAGCAACCCGAAAAATTAAATATTCCGAGACGTGTCGCTCTATATTCGTGTGCCCTTTCTAACCTACAACACGGTTTGATTTTTAGCTAAAAAATATGACTCTCGTGCAGTGACATCGGTATGTCCAAGAATTTTCAACGGGAGGGTATAGTAGTAAATATAGTAATCGTGAATGAATCGTATAATCTTTTTCTATATTGTTACGAATTTAAGGCCACATCTAAAAAAAAATCAATATCATAATGGCTTTTTTCTTCTGGCTAGGATCAAATATATGTACACTACATAGGTTTATTCAAAAGTTGTGTTACAGCCATTTTATCATGTAAATACATATTAATAAATAATACGGTAAATTTTTAGTTTTTTACTCTCATTTTTTCCGTGGGTTTTGAAAATTCGAAATTCATCTGGTGCGCCCGGCATTACTAAAATTGCTATCACCACAGGATATTTCTAAAATGTTTAGAAAATATAATTAGTATTCGAAAATATCGGCTTAAAATACACTTAAAAATGGCACAAATCAGAATTTTCAATGTATGTAAAATTTAACCGAAAAAATGGGGTGAGCACACTTAGTGAATCACCGTGTATACAAAAATCAAAATTAATTGAATTGTTTTTTTTATGATTTGCAAAGACTTGTTATAATAATAATAATCGTGGACGATTACAATATTGGTGAATATCCACGAGCAGGTCTCCTATTTACCGTATTGTAGAATTGACATTTCCGAATGAAATACACGTAATATTCCGTCTGAAAGTGTATAAAACCGGACAGTTTATCGGATACACTTCCTACTTTCTCTTTCGTGTGTGTGTTTATACTGACGACACAAATGTCGCACGTATTTCGCGTCAGACGTCTCAGCTGCGCTCCAAAACAAATATTACATTACAGTTCCGCATTGGCGTATTTTTCTAAATATACATATATAAGGTAGAGAATTTCACTACGTACAAAAAAAAAAAAAAAAAAACAAAGACCGTTCATCCCTATGTTCCCTCGTAACCCTTTTTCATGAAATATTACCCAACTAATATTATACCATAATAAATACGGTACCCGGATATATTTACGCGATAAACGGTTGCAGATGTTCCGAAAATGTTTTCGTTTTTTATTTTTTTTTTTTATTTTCGCTGTTCATAATAACATGTGCGTATAGTCTGTGACATTGCCAAATCCCTGGATATATAAAAGATACATATCCGACCGCTCGCATACTCGCATCTTATACATTTATATATATACACATAAATATGGCACATATAATTGTTGTTTTTTTTATTATACTTTTTACTTTGTCATTTACGCGCGATGATTTTCGGACCACGTTCTACTCGTAAATCCCGCAGATTTCGCGTTCGACATACCGCGACAAGATCTTCCGAGAGAAATGCTCCGCGACAAACGGGTAGAAAAAAAATGAAGACATTTCGAAATCGTGCGCGGTTCTTATAATAATAAGGTATAATATACTTGACCGGCCACTAAGTCGCTCCGAATCGAAAAATCCCGAAACGCTTCGTTTGTTTTGGATTCCGAGTGCCTAGCGAAAAGGGTATTATATATTTGTTTTACTAAGACGTAGACTTTATTTCTCGGAAAACGTTTATCGGTCAGTCTAAATACTGCAAAATTATTTGCATTGTGTATATCCTAAAACTATAAATATGCTTATTTTTCGCCCGGCGATACTTTATTTGAAAAAAAAAAAACGTCTATATTCCCAACAGTAATTCTTCCATAAAATTAAAAATAAAAAACGACAGCAAATCGTTTGTAAATTTCTCTTAGTCACTTTCAGTGTACAGTTTCATAGATCCCATGCATTCTATATAGATCAAGGGGGCGGCTAAACGGTCGATTTCAATTCCGATCTCTCTTTGTTAAAGTTTATTTGTATGCAGGTAGTAGATAAATCACAGTTTTCGATCATTTTTTTCTTAATAAGTCGTTATTTTGTTTGTCCGGTTTTCAAGTAATACACTCCAAAAGCATTTAAATCTGAGGCTTTATTTCTGGTTAACGAATTTATGTGCGATTCACTCTGAAACTATTCAATCGATTTTGATAAGATAATGCTTGATGTGTGTAATTTGGTCTAACTTAAAAGATAGGATAGTCTTCAACGTTCCATTCTTAATCCCGTGAATTGTATAGGTATTTTTTTAAGGTATTTTCCATACGAATGTTTAATTTTTTATGTAAATTTATTTATTTTTTTCTTGTATTCATGAGTAACCTCGGTGATATAGATGATAATTTGGTTGTCAAAGATAAGAAAATTACTATTATTATTTTTTACACTATTATCTAGTAACAGCAAAACATTGCCAGGTTAGCTAGTATTATTATAATAGTATAGAGCCTTAATACAAGTATGATGAAAAACATTATTTAACAATATGGTCAGGTTTTTTTATTTGTATTTTTATCTTCATTATTAATTTTAACCAATCAATAATTGTACATTATTTTTTTTTTTTTTTTTTACGGAAATCGATCGTAAAAAGAAAAATATATTTTTAGCGGATCTCTACCAAAAAAAAAAGTTTCTTCGTCCCCGTTACAGAAATTTCGAACTTCCCGCGTTATTACAGTGGCCTACGCACGACAGGAAGGAAGTCCAGCTTTTTTCAAATTCGATTTCGTTACATCGGATCGAAATTACTATAAATTCAATGATCCGATAAATACTATAAAACGAACCTCTTAGAATATTATATATTATACTTATTATATTGGACGCTTAACTCGCGGACTAATCTTACACACCCGTCCGATTCTTACGCGTCTCGAGATAATTACTTCGCGGCAGTACTGCGCGCCACGCTCAAACTTTATCAGGGCTTATACTTCAGCGCGGTATATTACCCGGGAAAATCGTCTAATTTATTATTTCACCGCACTGTGCTCGCTACTATATTATTACAGCACACTAAACCGCGAACACATATCATTGCCGCCGCAGCCCGCAGGTAATCCGCCCCCGGACGTCCTCAGAAACCGAGATTCGCTCCATACATTTTCTTTAAAAATAACATGTACACCTATATGACGTATTCTATTGAAATCCACGAAAAAGATTTTCTCCCTTCGATTTTTATTTCCTCGTCGAAACACGTCCGATAGAATTATTATTAATAATAACGTTAAAATCATAGTACGGTAAGTATTAGTGTGTAAACCGAATATTCGTACTATGTTGGCCGATATTGAGGGTATTTTTTCAGTACCGATATTTTACTTTGACTCTGGTACGAAGACCCGTCGTCGGAAAGATTTATTATACACAAAAAATTTGACGATTTTCGTTCGTTGTTGAATTTACATATATAATGTGTTTTTAAGAAAAGTGAAAAATTCGCTTATATGTTTTACAGTTGTTTACCCGTCATACACGTGGCTAGTGCCAAATCTAAACGCAGCAAATGTTAATGGTGAAAACTATTTTGCATTAGAATTATTAATGAAATCAAATGTATTTATGAATGTTTTATTTCGTTATCATAGCATTGAAAAAATCATTGTTGCATTTCACATTGAAATATAAATGCGAATGATATTAAAATATTAAAAATCAACTGTCAATAATTTATTGTACGTCATTTGCAATATCGGGTAAAAGTTGACTGCTACTTCTCTCGGTATACGTTTACAATAATTTAGAAAACTGGGAGCACTGATACTATTGCAACGAAGAAATTTTAAATATGTGGGACGTGGATATAAAAAATACATAATTTATAAATTGTCGGTTAAAGGATTTCATACCCGCATGGTTTTACCTCCGTCTTAATAATGAATGACGTACCGAAATTACGTTAATAAGAACATAAACCGTAATGTTAAAATTGAAAGTGTAGTTTTATTACAAATAGCAAAATTTAAAGAATTAAATCTTTTCGAAACATATAAAAAATAACACGATTGTAACTTTTTTATATGATTATATATATTTATTATTGTTTTTTTTTTTTTAAATTTATCCAATATCCCTCGAAAATATTTTCCTCTTTCGAAGTTGTTATTTGGTTAATTTACGTTCTGAGTATAGGAGAAATAACGTTACAGACATACAGACGCATTTTATATTTAAGATATTATGTTTTCGGTGATTAAAAATACAGCGTCATTGTGTGTACATGACACGGGTATTATTTATAACATTATACGAAGAAAAAAAAAATACATATCGATTAACTTTTAAGTAATAAATAATAATCCGAGAGAGAAAAAGAAAAATACTTCACTCTGACGGTTTTATTTTTACAGGCCGTTTCGGACGCAATGTTGGTGGAGCTCAAGCAATGTTTCATGGAAGCGTACGACGATAATCAAGACGGGAAAATCGACATCCGCGAAGTAATGAATTGTGTTGATAATGATAATAAATATATAGCTGGTGTAATCGGCCGTTTGGCGAACACCCGTACTAAAATATACTGGTATACTGTCGTGCGAGATGATTAATCGTTTTCATACCTTTTACAGCTTGCTCAACTTTTGCCCATGGAAGAGAACTTTCTACTCTTGTTCAGATTCGACAATCCATTAGATTCTAGCGTCGAGTTCATGAAGGTGAAATAAAAATTCTACTGACTGTTATATTTAAGAGAATAATGAGATCACAATACTAACGCGCAATGTGTATAATACGAGTATTAGACAATTTGAACGGAAATGTTTAAAAAAAAAAAAGAAATGGTATAAAATTAATCATTTCAAAAACATTAAAAATTCCACTTTTGTATAATTTTTTTAATTTGAATACGGTAAATTGTGCTGATTTTCACTTGGTATTAAAAATACTACATTTCAATAGATTTTCTCGGACGAAAAAGTATATATAAGATAAGATTAAAAAATGACATTTTTTTTTTTTTTTTTTTGCAATTATTAAAACACCGAAACTTTTTAAAAATTTAATATTTTATTTCATTAAATCTACACAATATATACTATTCTATAGATAATAGAGTCATGTTTTTCATTTTTCATTATATGCTGTTTAACGTAAAAATGTAATTTCCTCCCCTCCCCGATTTGTTGAGTGGCGCAATGTGTTCTTCCACTATGCTCTATCCGTAGCGACTTTCTTTAGCTGCTTATAAGGGTCCTTTCTATTCTTATATTTGCAATATCATTTGTTACATAAATTACTTCTGCCTTGATCTTTTCCTATCTCTGGTTTCCTTGGATTTTCTTTTTCGGAGAAAACTAGAGGGAAGAAGACCTCTAAATCACTCTAAATTATACATAATATAAACTGTCAAAACGATTTTTCTACTCGAGGATTTTATATTCAAAAATGCTAATACACTCGTATCCTCTTAAAACACGCGTTTATATATATTTCTATACGAATAATACAATAATAGTAATATTTGGCTTTACGCAGATATGGAGGGAATACGACACGGACGGAAGCGGTTACATCGAAGCCGATGAGCTAAAGGTAAATACATTAAAGTATTAATATTATATATTTTTTAAATTAAGCTGATACAAAATATAATAATATACTGTTTTTCCTTCTTCTGGCCTTATTAACTCCTTAATAATCCGCTAAAAGGACATCGTGTCACGTCTATTATGTAATAATATTTAAATATTATTTTACGATCATTATTTAGTATATAACTTAAAAAAAAAAAGCAGCTGATATTGATGACGGGTGTGCCACTGTTGAAGGTGGGAAGTGTTAAAGGTAAAATATATTAAGTTATTAATTTATATCATTCTGTAAACAACGATAAACAATTGCTAATGAACAATTCCGAGTGAAGTTCAGTTATACATGTTTTGAAATGCCATAAAAAAATACTACCTTACGTTCAAATTTTTTTTTTACCGCTCACTAAGTACCACTTATAATAAACCTCTTGTTAAATACAAGTTTTCTTTCAACATTTTAAGTCTGATAATATTTTTAATTAAATCACAATAAAAAATTTAAAAAAATTTACTTTTCGTTGCACCAACTATAGATCCATAATGGAACAAGAAAATGGTCTATAGTCATTTTTTCGATCGGAGCAAATTTCCGGTAGAAAATTCGCTCAGACACAAAAAATAAAATAAAAATTCATCATAATAAAACCGTTAGATCCCCTTGCTCTGAATCTAAATTCAATTAGTCGTATATAGGCGTATATAGTACGCGTGTACTTTCGCGTTATTTTTTAAACATTTTTTTTTTTATGTATTTAAGTCATCGTCGTTTTTTGTTTTTCATGTAAATTATTTATATGATATTATAATAACATTTTCGATTCGGCTACTGCGTTTGTTTCGCTAATGATTATTATTATGATTATCGAAAGACGGTTGCAGCAGCGGTGACGTTTTAATCAAAATTTAATACATAATAAGGAACCTGGAGCACCGCCGCAACCGCCGACCGAGGACGCGTCATTGTCGTCGACCCGACTCAGACTGCTGCATAATATACCTGTATACAGTACAGGTATTTTAGGGACCCACCTCTTTTAATACAACGCATCAATAAAGAAACCGTCGCACAGCAATAATTATTATTTAAACGAAATTATAATAAATAATACAGTATACGCACACGCGCATATTACATTGCACTCGTGACGAAAATATTAATTAATGCGCGTGTCCCACTGCGGACGCGAACGCAATATTTTCGACCATAGTTTAATTAACAAAAAAAACCACATAAAACAATAAAATATATTATAAGAATTTCGACGCTTTTCACGAGTCGCAACGACGACGGGGTGGCGGTTTCGGACGGTTTTCGGTTTTACAAACTTGGATCGCAGCCGACCGTCGTCGTCGTTTACGACAATTATACGGTTTTTGGCATCCAAGGAACGGCGAGTTGGCTTTATGTATTTCCCCGGGCGGTCGCCCGACCGTTACGTTAATTCCTATTTACGCGAAAAGAAACCGCAAGTGACCGAAATTCCGTCCAAAATTTCGCCCGGGCCGCGTCATTGCAGCGATAATATATACGAGTGTGCCTAGGTAATATACGACGACTATTACATCGCGCAAGAAAACATAAATTTAATTTATGCGCAAAGTTTAATGGTTTTTTTTTTTGTCCATCTTCTATCGTTCGTCCAAACGAAACTTTTCAAAAGTCCCGATACATAAATATGATAATGCATAACTTTGGTTTTGTAAAAAAAAAAAAAAAAAAACCGTATCCAAGAAATTTCACCATCAGTGTTATAAATTTATAATATAATATTTATATTTATTATTATATTTATATTTATATTATCATTACAACTATCATAAAATGTTTTTCTCTTTTACTGTTATTATTATTTCGAATTTTATACATTTTTAATTCCTGAAAGGATTATTTCTCTACAAAAATATTAGGTAATATAATAAAATAAAAGAGGTAGTTGTAGATACCTGTATTACCGATTTACGATATTTTAGAAACTCATTTTGTTAGTATAAATTAGAGAGACTATGTTGTATTTATACATAAAATATCGCTAAAGAATTAAAAAGATAAGTTTTAAAGGTAACAATTTAAGATAAAGTACCTATCATATACATTAAAATTTGCTTAAGACGCTCGTTAAGGGATCAGCTTTCTAGAGTATCTTAAGCGGGAAAGCGTCTTATGCGAGAATTAAAAAATTAAGTGATTGAAATATCGAAATAAAAAATATTTTTTATTATTGAACATAATTTAACGGGTTATACATTGTTTCAATTGGTTTGACTGCAGTTTTCCGTGTTTTTTTTTGTAAATTCATTCCTTCAACACCTTTTAATTATTGTAGTACTCTACTATTTCTACTATTTCTATTTTTTAAAATTTTTTTTTACTTTATCTTGGTTTCCTCGGAGAAGACACCTGCGAATTTAGATATTAAAACTACTTATCAACGTTTTATTTCGTAATTCTATAATCATTCTCTAAATCTATATTAATTTTAAGTGCTTTTGGAAATCACTGTTTCTGAGAAGAACTATAATAATATGTAATATGAGTCGCACTTCAAGACCTGGAAAAACTTGCTTTCGGAAATCCGTATTTTATACTAAGGTGTAGACCCAAGTGGAAAACACGCGGTTCATAACACTTTACGTGAAGCCACACTCTCGAATCTTTGCACGTTAGAGTGGTCCTTAAATAGGATATAAAGTTGGTTAGTCGTCATTCGGTTCGAAATTTTGAACAATTTGTCTAATTGTTTTGGATCTTTGTTTCATTCCTTTCATCTCCCTGTTTCTACGTTAAATTTGCATTCATAATAAGAAAATATACAGATTTAATATAGATTTAACCTCACCCAGTATCTCAATTGACTATAAAAAATACAAGTCACGGTAAATATTCGAATGAATTTAAAAATGTTAAAACGATATAAACCGATTTGTATGAAATACAATTAAATTATACAATTAATTTTGTTTTTTGTGGGTGAAATACTGCATATAAATATCAATTAGAGCAATACTTCATACGACATTTTTTCTCCAAATGTCTTTTCTTTTTAACGTATGGATTCGATTTGCATAAAACTCTAAACCGCTATAGCGTGCTAGTACACTGCACTCAGGACTTGTGTCGAATTGTGATTTTTTTTTTTTTGATTTAATGATTAATTAAACATGAATACAGGGAGACGAAGGAACTGAAATAAATTTCTAAAATTTTAGGGAAATTTAAAATAGTAAATATTTAAAACTAATTGATGTCCAACGTGAAATTTAAAATAAAAACTATATAAGAACCATCCTGTTGTACATTTTCGGTTACCTACACAAACTAGACTTGGTTTTTATTTCTCAGAAATAACTTGATGAATAAATCTTAGAACGGCAGAAAAACCGTTGGAATCGTTTTCAACGATCCATCGGGCTACTATAACTCAGTAAATAAAGTATAACTTCTAATTTCATTAAGTGTTCTTTATTTACTTCAAACCTAAATATCACTGAACACTGAACAGTCGTTGTCAGAAAATTCCTTCTGTCATATTATAGTATTGTACCGTACCGTTATATCAAGCTCACTACAATATCCTTATCCATGTGATCATCATATCTATCAAGATTTTTTCCTCTTCCGATATCACCTTTTAATGATATATTTTGTTGAGCTATAGCAACGCAGTAGATTTCCTTTTATGTTGTCCCTTCTGACTCTTATACTGTGGCAAAGTTCTCGTTTTTCTTTTGTTCTGTTCAGTAATTTTTCATTTGTTATTTTTTTCTGTCCATTTAATCCAACACGTTTTTCAATAACATCACATTTCAATAGTCTCTAGTTATTTTTTCGCTTCTACACCAATTGTTCGAGTTTCACAGGAACATTTTTCTTAGCGGTCAGGTCTCACATTATTAATAGTAAATATAACAATTTTGTTTCTTTGAAATGCGGTACACAAAGAAAAGTCTGGTCGGAAAACATATTGATATTATAAACAAAAAAAAAAATTAACGGTAAAGGCTAAGTTAAAATACCTAAATAATTTTAATTAAAAAAGAATTATTACCAATATAAAATATGCACAAGGACAATAGGAAATCGAAAATGTCCTATTGGATATCGCGATCGTGCCTGAAATCAAATCGTAATATTTTATTAAATGTCTCGGAATAAACCGAATCGCGATTAAAACGCCGAGAGTTACGCTAAACTATTTCACAGGGATATTGTTACGAGGGACGCGATGACGTGAACGATCAGATACTATTAACGAGGTTTTCGGACGGAATGTGCTGCGAAACAACAATTATTTCAACCGCCAATTCCAAAATAATAATTTCAAAACCATAGGTGAAATCATATTATTTTATTGTGAATTCATGATTTGTAGGATGTTTTCGTGCGTCAAACTAAACATATATATATATATGTATATAATTTTCGATAAAGAAAAATTTTGAGAACGACAGTAGTTATTACATCATAACGTAAAATTCGAAATTAAATATTAATATTGTTTGAGAATAGCGTTCATGTGTACCTTTAATGCGGAAAATTGTTTGAAAAAAAGAATGGCGGTATTTAAAAGGACCGCGGGTTATATTTCAAACCTCGCGATTCGTTAATTAAAATTATCCGTCAGTCGTCTCTCACAGCCTTTGGGGTTATTACAAATTGAATATATACTAGTATATCATATACATTCGAGAATTTACGCGAATATTAGAGAAGTAGCCGCAGGGATAACGATTTTATCATTTTTATGCGACGTAGCGAATTATTTTCGGTTTAGAATACCCTTTCGGTTACAAAATTAATTTCCATATCTCGTGTCCCTGCAGTCGCAACAAAATATTCGCGCATCTATATACCCGTCGGCGACTACCTGTTATTAACGAGGAATTTTATTTTATTACATACAGAGATTTATTATTTTTGTGTACCCATTAGCTTTTATCGCAAAATTGTAAGAATTTAGTATTTTGTTTAAATATTACAAGTATACCAATATTAGGTACTTGTTAAACTTTTTTTAGATTCTGAGTGGAACGAATTGTGATTTTACAGAGATGTTTATTTTTTTTTTTTATCTGCGGACAACTTTTATACCAGAAACCTTGCCTCGTATTTTAAGTGTAGTTTTTTTTTTGAAAGTAAATCTAACTGGGGAGGTACTTTAAAAAAAGTTATTTTTCGATTTTTTTTAAAAAATTTTTTCAACAAATGTAAAAAAGCGGGAAAATGTAAAAAATATATTAGTAAAATATTACGATCTTTTTTTCCTTGTGAACAACTTTTCTATCAGCAATTTTGTTCTGATTTACATTGATAGTACTTTTGCTAAAAGAAAATTTGACTGGGGAGGTGTTCTATGTGCTTTCTACCCTTATATTTTTACCAACTGAACAAAATACCTATTTAATATCTTTGTCGAGCCATCGCAGCGTGTATGATAAAAGTCATTAATCGTACAATCCTAAGACAACAGTTTACCTAAGTATGCAAATACGAACCGTGCCATTGCCACAGCTGCAGACTACTCAGCTGAAATTTCAATTAAGATAATTGATTTTCGATCCGGCGACGTCGTTACCCAATTGGACGATTTTGTACTTCGAACTAACAAATTAAATCGATCTCATTGTAAATAGTAATCTCGTCGTTTAATCTCAATAACGTTCAACGAAACAGAATTGTTTCCGATTCGATTTCGTAATTTATACAGGGACGCGCATATACTGGAAATACATGTATTTAATTAGAATGCACAATATATATATATATATATGTGTATAATATAATTTGCATTTATTAACTTATTTCCGTACGTACGATATTTATAGACGATTTCAGAACGTTGTACGGCGTCAAATGGAAATAATTAATTTGTTGTTTCTAATATTAAATTGATATCGAACAGACTGAAATAGCGATCGGTCTCATTAATCGAACGATATTTTAATATCGTAATATAATAAATATTATTATATTATCGTATTGCCGTTGATTTTAATATCATTTAATTTTAATCCATTTGAAAAGTATATTTATTCTAATACGGAAACACGATTATTAAAAATTATCGCTCGATTAAACAAAATAAAATACATTTGATTTCGCTTGAAATATTATAGTTTCCTTTGATTCGGTTTGATGTCGGGTTAAACTCATAACTCTGTTAGAAAAATGTTTCAAATATTTGACGCTTTTTTTTGCGCCTTCAAAAAACATTAAGTATAATAATATTATTATAATTCGTGTTTCTGTATAGTAAATAAAAAAAATAACAAGACCTGAGAAATATTTTTCAAATTCAGTGGGACAAAAAACTCGCGTACCTAGTAATAATATTTAATAATATAATATGTTCGGTCACCCAAATCTCATCAATTTTTTCCACCTGTTTGACACTGATTTTAGTTTTTATAAAATCTATTTTTAAAGTCTATTTTCAAAAGTTCCTATACATTACAATGTAAACTCTTATACGATACTTAAAATAATAATAAAAACAAATAAAACTACAAAATTGTTTTAGATTTTGAATATAACGATAAAGTTTTTAGTTTTTACAAAGATTTGTTTTTTTCTCAAAAAAGACTTATACGGTTAGTAAAAATGCTTCGATTTCTTCATGTCGTATATCAAAAGACGTGGAATTAACTATTTTTCAATTACTCATCCAATAAATAAAAACTATAATTATATAACTTTGTATTTATACAATGAAATAATAAATCTTAAAATATATATTTTATAATTGTATTATATTTTCCACAAAGTCCTAGTCCAAACGATCAAATGTTCCAATTGACGATTAATCATTGATTAGGTAAAGTCGACCCTCAGATTGCCTAGGCAATCCAATCATTATTCTGTGCTCGGACTAAGGATGTATATTTATATATGTATATAACTTGCATAGATAATAAAAATTAAAGATATCTTCATTATCTATGACAATTATTGTATGTATTAAATTTGTGTACTTGAAAACAATTTTTTTTTTTTATTTTGGCGACGGGCACAGCAATAATGAAAATATATTACTATCAATATTTCAGTTATCATTTATCAGTATACGCTATGAATGACGTCTACGATTTGTGTATACCCTCTAAGACACCACTGACGGTATATCACAGTGACCGCGTCTAGTGTACACTAGTGTAGTCAGATGGAAAACACTAGAAATATCATAACTATACTATGATAATACAGTGTTATTTTTATTATTCGTACGAATGTATGACGCTCCAGAGACCTCTGATATTTATTTAAACTTGTTTTTGTTCAACGTCGTTTTATAACTGAAGCACAAAAATTATTTACCGAATGTTTTTGAGAACTTATCGTAACGAAAACCAGGCATCACTCGATAAAATATGTCTAAAAAATACGCTTGCCCGACGTCGCGTTCGACGTTTATATTTTGTCTTCTCACAGTAGATGCGTAAACAATATAACATGTCTACGGTAATTTGTAAAAAAAAAAAAAAAACAACAAAAAAAATCAAAATTCGAGCCAATATAGTCTTTATACAAAACTGAACCAGCTCAACGTGTTCGCGTCGTATAGTTTTCGGTATGAGATACGTGTGGCGAGTGTAACATTACACCGCCACAGCCGTCGATGTCGTGATAGTAATATTTATACAAACTTTATCATAACACTCTTGTGTTATATTATGTAAACTCGTTTTAATAATTTAAAACTATTTATATATATATATATATTTAATAACATAAATGTAGGTTAGGTACATATAATCAATAGCCAATATAATATTGTATGTTAACGGGTAAACTTCATAATCGATCGACGATTAAATTCGATACGAGAAAAATATTGTAAAACTCCGTCGACGACAACACCGCAGCAAACAAAATCGATTTGATTGTAATACATTATTATGTGTATGGAAAAAGTCTGGTCCTCGAAAAACAAGTTTTGAATTTACCGTCTGGGGAAAAACTTGAAAAAGGAACGTTTTATAAAGGAGCCAATTTGACGAATATCACACCACCTGCCGCGTCTGCAGTTTAAACCATAGTCGTAGAAATTCGTACGAATTGAGTACTAAAACTACGACGCATAATCAAACCCGTGTATATAATTTTTAACCACGAACGGTGCCGAAATCACACCCCTCCGATATGTACATGAAGCAAGCTTCAAGCTTGAGCACTCGTCGAAATATTTTTAGGGGGTAAAACACGGTTAGTCGTCAGACCCGGACGTTTTGGCACGGTCACTTTGGCGTAAACCATTTTGGCGTGAGGCTGTTTTGGCATGAGACTGTTTTGGCATACAAAATACAAACATTTTGAATTTAAAAAATAAATATAATTAATATAAGTAAAAAACAATCGGCTTTAGTAGCAACTTATATTTCGGACTATGCCCCTTAAAAATACTAACTATGTTGCGTTTGTTGTAATTCTCTACAATTTTAAAAGTTCTTTCGCCTACATCAAACATTCCTTTTTTCTAGGACTATTTCCAGCTTCTAGTTTTTGATAAAATATATCACATTCTAATTGAACCTTTCTGAGGTTAGTAATAAATGTTCACAATGTTGAATGTTGTACACCCATTTGTAGAGATTCAGTCGTCCTTTGGCTGCTTCAGCTTGATTATTTGTTCTGTCTTTATTACTCATTCATGAACATTCCACAATACACAAAATATTATTGAATAGTAAAAATAATTTTTACGTCGGATGTTTTAAATCGATGTACGAATGCAACAAAAATAATCATTTTTATATCGGCATCTCCAAAATATTTTACTTTATTATAATTAATACATGCATCAAATTTATCCATCATGGATGAATATTTTTCGAGCTCAGATGCTCTTTATTATTTGAACCATTGTCGATTACAACTAATCAGTATAAGTATAATTTATGGAAATTAGACAATTGTCTTCCGTTTCTCATAGTATTATTACAGGGTTTTTTACTCGCTTTACATTGCGGAGAACAGAAAAATTCATGCGCTTTTATTAGCGGCATTTTTTTTTTATTTTCTGAACGAGAGCCACGATATATAATAATAATACGTATAAAATATGTAAAGAGGTCGCGAAATGTCCCGAGTGCGTTGTCGATTGAGGTGCACATAATTTTTTTATTTTTTATTATAGGTCAGGTACAACAATATACGGATTGTGTACAAACGTAAATAAATAAAAAAAAAAAAAAAAAAAAAAAAAAAAAACACTACCGTAATAAAACGTAAACCGGTGAAAACCGACGATATTTATGTCGGTCCTAAACAAGCGCGCGGCGTGCTATAACACATTAATTAATTAGCATATTATTGTTATACATTTTTTTTTAATATTATTTCCGTCGCCCCGTCGTTATCGTCAGGATATCATATATTTTATTTACAGCGCGATACCGAAAAAATTAAAAGGAATAAAAATACTAACTAATATCATAGGTATACACGAACCTATCCAAGGTTAGGTTTAACCTATATAGTATATATCATAAATACTACGTAATATATAGTTTTGTTTACAACGTATACTGACCGTTCTAATGGTTCGATAAACATCCTCGGACGGCTATAAACGACAACTTTACGAGATGCGATAATCGACATTTTCGGCTTGTAGCCAATAAATCCGAACCCGCGGTCTTTAAAAATAATATATCGTATCTCCGCGGAGTAAGAACGTTACTACATTGTGGAGGGGGGTGGGGAAATTAAAAAAATCCGAAAAACTGCAAATTTTCAAAACATTATCTGTGAGAGTAAGGAGTCATGTTTCTTCTATACGTTGACATTTTCATTATAAATTTACTAGCGTACTCAATGTTTTAGAAAATATATAGATTATACAGAACTTTTTCTAAAATGAAATTGATAAGGAATCTATGGATGGAAAAACGACAATATTTACGAAATTAAAAGGTTTTTTTTATTTTTCGATTTTCTTTTTTGCTGTTATGAACCGATGGAAAATAACCGTAGAGACTTAAAACTTTCATCGAATACTAATATCATATTGACAATTTCAGGAGGCCGTACAATGTTTAAAAAGTCTCATGTTTTTGTGTCATAAATACGATGTTTTCTAGTTTTTTTTTTTTAAGTTTGATATGGATAAAATTGTTTTTGAAATTGCTCAAAAATACATAATTTATAAATTAAACTCCCTTATACATCTTTTCACCCAATTATTGATCTATCCTCAGATCGGTTTGAAACTTCACTCTTGACGCGTCTACTTTATTTGTCACTATACACATAGTTAATACGTGAATCCGAAAAATCCACGGAAGAAATAAAAATGTTTTCCCTCTCTCACTTAGTTGACGTAGTTTTGCATAACAAATCGATGGTATTTTCGATTAAGTTTCACTGAACGATCGCAAATGGTTGCAGCCGATGGCTCCGGTCGAAGCAATACATGGAAAATTTAAAGTTATGTTCGGTAAATATCTTTTTCGTATTTTGCGTACGAGAGAAAAACTGATCCCATCTCTGAGTCAGTTCCCTTGTAAACATAACCTTTTTTAATAAATGTCTAATAACATTACCGCGGGCGAAAAACGTCGTGTTTAGGTAAGTGATAAACGACCTGAAGACAATTATTTGATAAGGTAGGAAAAAGGTTTTGGCTACAGTGCAATTTGAAAAGGTTCGCAATAATATTATTGTTTATACTAGTTTCGTAACTTGGTACTTACCCGGTGGTTTTGAAAGAGTTTAGACCCGTAGTTGTATTATTATCGTATTTGGAGAAAGTAAAGTCCATATTCAAATATTGTTGTTGGTTCTGTAATTGTTTTGATATATTTAGGTTAGGTACTTAAATTACGTCGTGGGTTGAACGATAATTTATACTTCTTTACAGTTTATCTCTGGTAGTTCTCTCAGTAAAAATTATATGGTTAATGGAAATAGAGATGGACATATTTCGCAACATCATGTTACCAACATGATTAGATTACTGTTGTGGGCGAGAAGTTTGGAAGTTTTGAGATAATTTATAGTTTATGTACTGAAAGCAATGACAAACCGATGCAATTTGAAAATGATTCTGAGCGGGACTCGATAAACCGAAAAGATTCTATTAAAATATTGGTCGTGGGTTTTTCAATTGTAACAACGACGACGTATCGTTAGTTCTTAGTAGTTTTTATCTAATTTTTTAGAAAATATGCAGACAGTCTAAAAAAATTTTTTAAATAAAATTGAACAAGGAAACAAATACGCATCTTTTAATGTACAGTGTGAAAAAAATAACATTTTACTTACCAAAAATGTGTTAAAAAAAAAAAAAAAACATAAATCGCAAATTGTCAGAAAAGTATTGGGAATTTCAATGCAATATTAAATTTAATTGCTATCAGTCGAAAAATTAAACATGCGAAAGTAAAAGCTTTTTTTAATAAACGAAAAAACGTTTCTGAGAGAAAAAAAAACACGTTTTATTAGTTTAAAAATTAAATCATCTAAAATAAATTTTCAAGCAAAAATGCGTAGAATTATAGAATTTAATTTCGTTATTATAGTTCTACAGCCAGACACAAATCTAAAACAATTCAAACGCATTTTTCATAATTTATTATAATATTAAAAACAAATTAATTTTAATATGTAAAAGTTTTAATTTGACCATTTTGTTCACATAATAATAATATTGTAGTTCCGCTCTTGACAGAGAATTTACGCAATAATTACGAACGGCTTATAATTTCGTATAAAAACATTTCGACTACGTTTACATAAATAATTTTGTTAAGTGGGTAGTAATTTTAGTTTTGTTTATTAAAATAATTATTAAATCCATACCGGTGACCGAAATTACTGAAAATCGACACTATAAACGAAAATAATAAATACCCATACAATATAACTTTTAAATCCAATTAATCTTACCACTTTCAATTTCGATGTTCCGGACAAATCACGTTTTTCTATTTTTATTTCAGCGTATTTGTGTTAAACCCCGAACCCCGTTGATTTTAAACTATAGCGAACTATAATTTAAATAGACCTATATAACGGTGTGGAACATTAGGGTATCCAATTCCCACCTCCTCTCTTGGCGTATTATATCGACAGTGAAGTGGTGGGATTGTGGGAGTATACCAACATAATTTTAAAACCAATGTGTTCTGGTACGAAATTTGTTCGTTACACCATAACGTCGGTTTTTTTATTTTGGACTGTAATAATAAGGTTACGGCTACATTAGAGCCGTTTCCATTCCGATCCGACAATCCGACTAGTTCGATGCGTCGGAAGAGAAACAAATCGATTTAATTTTCTTCCGACAAATCAGGAAAAATTAGATTATTTGGGTTAAATAATCGATAATTTATAATCAATAATCATACGTTTTTATGCTTATTCGAAAGTATTCTTTAAATTTATCAGGATATTCTTGAAGTTTAATACACATCTTAAAATATTCCCCATTTTTAAAATCATTTAATAAATTATGCATCCAACAGAAAATTGTATTATTTAAATATAATATTTACTATCCAGTAAATCATTCCATTTGTTTCCTGAACTGTTGAAACTTAAACACATTTTGAATAAAAAGCACCAATGCATATGTGAACTCTATCAATACGTGGTAGATATATACTAATAAATAAATGTCAGAGTAGATAATAAGTTCACGAAGTTGGTGCGAAATCGGAAATAACTTAGCCACAAATATCGAATAAAAGATGTTGGTCGAGTTGGTCGAATCGGATCGGATTGAAAACGACTTAAATATAACCGTAGCCTAATTTGTCAGAGAAACACGTATTACGAGATAATAGTTATTATTATCGTGTGCGAGATCAGATATGCCCGAGCACAGTTTCTTTTGCAGGCAATGCTCGTACGGTTTTAATTAAAACTTCCACTACCGGAACCCACGTAAAAAAAGGAACCTAACGAGTTTATTTCCCCAACAATTATTTTACGTTTTTATGTCATGCGTTCGTGTAAACGGCCGAACACGATGTACTGATGTTTTATTTATTCGGAGAACAGAACATAATATAGACTTTCAGCTTAAAAAGAAAATCGTGCACCGTATACGGAACAAAAATAAAAAAAAAAAAAAAACCCCGAGAAGTTTGATATTTTCTCCGTGCTCGGCATCTAAAATCAAAAACTGATATGTCCATCACATTACATCCATCACGGTGTTTAGAGAGGAAAACTGTACGGTTTTTGACATAAATATTAATAGTGAAAGATAATAAAGAACAGGACATAAAAAAAATCACATAGTAGCGTTATTACGAAATATTCTGTCTTTTCCCATTATTATGAAAAGGGTATTTCAAAAAAAAAAAACTTCCCCTTTAAATTATCGCCTAAATATAAAATTCCATAAAAATAAGTCCCTATATAAAATTTTTGATTAGAGAAAATCTTCAAGTCAAAATCCTGCCAAGATATAGTAAGGAGGCCTGCACTCTATGCTCGTTCATAATAATTTTATCCACTGAATTTGCAATCAATGGCGTCATTTCGACGATGATTGACCAAATTTGGAGGATGAGGGGTTACTTAAAGTCAGTCTCCGCGAAAGGAAACGATTTTACAAGGAATTGAAGAATTCACAATATTAACCTAATCAAATTTGCAATTGGTTCTCGACTGTTCGACGCCATTTTCAATCGAATCGAACGAGTTGGGAGGGGAGGGGGTTAACTTGACGCGCACGTCATATCGATCATCAGCGCCGAACAAAAGCTGCCGTCGTCGGATTTGCGTAAGTGTAATATATTATTATCGTCATAAAACATTCGGATTTCTCTGAAAAGAAAAGGAAAAAACGGTCTCGTCGGGCCAATAAATATAATATTATATACATAATAATAGCAATAATAAACGCCGCGTTATATATTTTATGGTCTGGGCGAAAAGCGGAGGTATAATGTATAGAACGGTATTATGGTCGTTCTTTTTATATTTATGATTTTTCTTTTTTTCGAGATTTTCTTCCCTTGGTTTTTTTTTTTTTTATTATTATTATTATCGACTGCAGCATTATCGTTATGTCGACCGGAACACTTCGCCGTCGTCCGCGTCATCGAGATAACCGGGCGCGCGCGTACAAAATAATAATACGCATAATATATACCGATATCGAAAACGGACGTGTCGGTCGGACGTAAATCGTCTCGGGTATCTGCGAATTTAATTCTCGCTCGGCATAATAATAATAATATTATTATTATCATTATTACTGTAAGGCCGCGTTAACGTTATTATACAGGTACCGTCGCGGCGGTAAGATTATACGTGACTTTTAGGCTTCGGTGGTTTAAGTAAAGACGAACAAGTCCCGAGGGAACGCTTCGTGGTCGTCGGCAATAACAAACCCGGGCAAAAAAATAATCGGAGGCGGATTCCGGCAGCCGAAGAAAACACGGCCGACCCAGTTTTCCAGAGATTTGTGTGTTTGAAGTTTGTTACACGATTTTGGAATTATTATGTAGATAAGATCAGCCGATCACTATTGCGGCGATAGTGTTGTGAACGATACCTATAGTTTAAAATACTAGAAATCATAAAACAATTTGATTGTGTTCTTAAAAATTTGACTTAAAATATTTTGCATTTTACTTATGATTAAAACAATAATTAAAATGTCATAGTTCACTAAAGTCATCATTTCTTCGTACGATTCGAAAATTTCGTATTACACATAAAAGTGAATTTTCTATTCGTATACACGAATGGGTGGCGCAACCACGACAACAATCTTCTTCGCCTTTCCTTCATTTTCATCCTAACTACCTGGGATCAACTATCCTCCGCCTAAACCTCCATTTGACCCAAACTCCCCCTCGCATGCACTGACTTTTCTTGAGTATCCTCATATCTCACCATCCAACAAACTCTTTTTCGGTCTTCCTCTTTCTCTTTTTTCTCCGGTACGTATATTGTTTCATTACGATTCTTACTGCTTCTGATTCCTCTTTCCTCATGACATTCCCAAAACATTTTAGTTTATTTTCTATCATTTTTCGACTATCGGAGCCACGTATATTTTACCTACTTATCCTTATCCTATATCTTCCTCGTCACTACACCTTATCCACCAAAGCATTCTGATACACACATTCTCTGTTCTATTTTTCTTTTTACAATAATAATAATATTTTATTGCAAAACGGTTCGCGTGTTTCGTCGATTTACCTAACTTATTATATTGTAATTTGCCTAGTATATTATAATATATACATTCTGTCGATTATAACAATAATTTACAACTAGGTCTGTCATAAAAAAAAAAAAAAAAATCGTTACGTGAATTGTGTATATACGCATTTTTCTTGCGCGTTTACTTCTAATATTGTACTATTATATTATTGAACTCTGTATACTGAATGCGCGTTGTAAAATTTATAAACGTACACATTCGCGTGTAACAATAATATTATAGGTAAAAAACATGGGTGACGATACGTACCACGACGGACTTCTACTTCCTCGTCCATCGCGCGACAACATGCCTTCAAACGACGAACCGATAAATCTACTCGGGGACATGCATTGTAAACTACGTCGAAAAACGTGTAATCCTGCATTTCTTGTCCTACCCTTAAATTATTAACCTACCTAGACACCTGTAATAATATATTGATCGAACCTATTCGATGAATAATTTACAAATAAAAATTGTTTAATCGGTTTCCATAATTTCACACATTACAATGAATTTCCTTTTGAACTATAATTGAATGCGTCGAATTAAATTTAAAGTCCGTCCCAAATATTCCAGTTCTTGTAAGCTGAATTTAACGTTAGACTAATACTGATAAACTAAAGCCTAAAGCGGCGAAATAGATTTGACCGATATTTTTTAATTTGTTTCTGGTAAACATAATATTTAGCTTTTTCAGTGCCACTGACGTACGAATGCGTTATCAACATAATATCTCATTATTTATTAATGATAAATATACAGTCCTGATACTGGCATCTAGTGTTCATTGAGACAAATACAACGTAATTATTTTCAGATTTGTAACAAAATGTTCAAAAAAGTATTGTATTTAAGCATAAAATTCGATCTTACCAGTACACCGTATGTAACTAAATTAATTATATTTAAAATAATTAAATTAAGAATATCGACGGGAACCATGATTGTGTAGTTCTAGAGGGAACAGTAAAAAAAAAATATATATAACAATAATACTCGAACAGTGTAATAATAAACGGAAAGTCTGACCTAAAGATGAATATTAGTACATAATGATACTAAATACTAGAATATTATGTTCTGATTCTATATTTATAACTCGAATCCCTATGATATATACGATTATTGTCTGTACTTGCCCTGTCATTCATCTAAAAACAATATGTTCTTCTTATTTCATGTCATTTAGACCCTATTCTAGTAAGACTTACGACTTGTGCCGTTTTGTCATTCGGAGATTGTAAACGATATTACGTTTCATTATAGTCTCGCCGCATTCGCAGTTATATAGTTTTCTCTTCTTCGTACAGTATATTCCATTTTTTCTGAGCTGACTTTTCACGTACGAACCCTGTTCTCAGTCTGTTAAGTATATACACTCCAATCACTCCAGTTCCAGTTTTGTCCGTTTGATATTTCTTCCTTTACATTTTACAATATGGGGCTCTGGTTATTATATTCTTTTCATATCATGGGTTTGCTGTTTCGTTTCTTGAGAATCTTTGTAATGGTTTTGTAAGAAGGAAATAACGATTAACAATGGCAATACCGTTGAAATGCACGAATACGCACTAAAATATTATTTTGCATAATAATATAGTACACTGCAGAGATAAACGTAATATTATTCACACATTGCGATTCTCATTCCAGCGCACAATATGATTTTGTCGCGTAATAGAACGTCGTTTCCTCGCGATCTTATATTATAATATACTGTTATCATTTCACATTATACAGTATATGGCAGGTAATAATAATAATAATAATAATAATTATTATTATTATTATCGTACACTCGTATCGCTCGTTTGCAGGACGTTTTGGCATTTAGGTATAAACTCCTCCCGAGAGAGAGCCAGGATTCCGTTTTCGTCGTTTTACGTTGCAAACAACAGTTAAGCTACCTCTATAGAAACACACTATGATATATATTATTATTGTTGTCAAGTTATGGGAAATCATGTGTTGTCCGATGGACGGAAAAAATAATCGTGATATCAAGGTCGGAAACGTACCCATACTGCATTCGGTCGTGTTTTGTATTTGCGTGTTACTATACGATGTATTTTTTTATTTTAACATTCAACACCTTTTTTTACCAGAAATCTCGATACGATTTTCCAGTGTAGTGTTTTTTCTGGAAATCAATTTTGTTTATCTAGTTTTATGAGGTAGTAATTTTTTTTTTTTTTATTTTCCTTGTATTTTTCTAAATAGTTAGGGAAAATGTATGAAAAACAGAGAAATGTATTTATTATTATTATTATTTTTTTTTTTGTGATTCAGTTGAGAATAATCGTAGAACATATTTGAACATTTCAAAAAATAATATTAGTTTTTTCTAGATCTTATAATATTTTCAAAACATATTTGGCTTATTAATTGTCGAGTTTTTAGTTGGGTTTATACGGATAAAATTGTTTTGGCAGAGAAGAACGCTTGAAAATTTAACACAAGGGATATCATAAGTTGTCATTGATGATTAAAAAAAAAGTAGAACATTATTCAATTATTTTGTTTTATAAGCTTTAAAGATCAAATTTTTATGAAACTCATAAAAATCGTGACATTTTAAAATGATTTTAATCGAACTTGTCAAAAAATCGTTTTTTTATGAACAATTATTCATCGTAAAATACAAATATAAATTACATAACTCAATGTGGATACTCCACCTTTTCAAATTTCTATCTATTTTTTTTTTCGATATTGTAAATATTGTAATAGGTACATGCAGAATACAGAGTATACCTATATATATAATATTAGAAAAATTTTTAAAAAAGTTGGGAAGGTAGAATACATAAAATTATTCAATTTATATCAGTACGATTTTGAGTGAAGTTCATTTATACATGTTTTAAAATGCCGTGATATTTACGATTTTATCAAATTTGATCTTTACATGATTATACAAATATAAAACGGTACAATTTTACAAGTACAACTGAAAATGAGACCCGTGTTAAACTTTTAAGCATTTCTGTGTGGTCAAACTATTTTATCCACATAATATCTACCAAAAAAAAAACTACCTACGTAAAACAACTAAAACACTTTTAAAATGCCTAAAAATAGATTCAGAATATTTTTAAAATTTTGGCATGTTCAGAAAAGACCAATAAAAGTTTTCTGTCAACATTTCAAGTCTCTACGAATATTTTTAACTGAATTACAACAAAAAAACAAAATAAAATTAAAAATAATAAATCCATTATGTCCAAAAGCTTTCCTATTCTTTCTACGTTTTTTTCCGATTTTTCCCAATTGTTATAAAAACTGGTCATAAAATCAAAAAATGAATTATTTAATCACCAACCAAGTTCCAAATGCAACAAAAAAGATCTTTTATAATATTTCGACTTGAACAAGATTTCTGGTCGAAAAGTTGTTTACAGACAGAAATATAGTACTCATTCATAAAACCAATAGATTCCTTGTACGCTGAGAATCTAAACATCTTTTTTTGTAATATTGCGTTTCTTCATGAAATTCGTCGTACAAAATCTGAAAGCAATACAAATCAACATCAATATAAAGTCGTGATGTGTAAAGTGATTACTTTATTTCTTTATTGAAATCAGTTTCGGAAAGAACCAAAAAGCTGAATAATTACGATTCACCTGTAGTTTCCTAGATCCGAGTGATATTCGTACGTTTTTGATAGATAGGTATATTTCATCAGTTTAAAAAGAAAAAAGAAAAATGATGATGATGATAATAATATTAATATTATTATTTTATTAATAATATAAAAGCTTCGGGACGTGACGCTGAAAACGTGCGGACGTTCAGCAGAAAATAAAAACGTGCTTCTATCGCACAAAAGTTTCGGCAAAGGATTTCTATAAGAGAAAAGAACACACCAACATAAAATTCAATAATAATAGATAATTTTGAAGAAAAAATCAATACTTTACCAACTCTTATCAGCTATATAAAGCTTTCGCAATGCCGTCGCTGGACCGTATTCCGATTCTCACGTGGCGATTTGATGGCAATTGTTTACAATGCGACGGATCTACAACGGTTGACTTCTGGCTTTTAAGTCAGTGATCAAAATGTCAAAATATCAAAAAGAAAAAAAAAATATCGAAAAGATTACAATTTAGTAGATTAGTATTTTAAACCGAATTACAAATTAATAATAATAAAATTGAAAATTACAAAAACCGTTATCGCTTTAGTGTTCCCGGGTTTTCAACATTTTTGCCGATTTACCCTCACTCTATTAAGGTGTCAAACAGACAAACATTTTAAAAAATTACCTTCTCGGCGCACCAACTAGATATACATTTTGATTGCAGCAAGGTTTCCGGTGTAATTAATGTTGTCAACACACAATCGCTCTGGATCGTTGAATGCATACAGTATAAGGTACCTCTCTACCTATATAAATTAAATTGCCTATTGTATACCTTCCCAACTATACCCACCTATACAACAGTGGCCTGCCCGTGAGAAATATCGAATTTTTTTGCTTGTTTAATATACGAGCTGCGGTGCGACTATATACGAGTAGTACATAATACATTTTCGTACATCGTACATGACTTTATGCTACACGTGCGTATATAATTATATTATTATTATGCGTCCCAGCCCCGGAGGATTTAAATTATAATTATAATATCATTATTATTATCAGTGCGTACACAACACAGCGCTATATAATCAATATAATATTATATTATTATATTGTTGTCATTATGATTTATTGTGTGATGGCGTTTTATACGAGTTCGTACTTTGTGTTCGTATATAATAACGTGCAGTATGGCGGAGAGCCCCGACGAACTTTTTAACAGAATATTATTTAACTCTGCGTATAATATCAAACTGTACAACGACCGTCGTACTATAACGTATACAATGTCGGACACGCGAATGCTTTTTAGCGAGTGAAAAGAGGCACAAAAAAAAAACCGACAAATTCGTAACAAACACGCGCGTTAAGTTCAAAATAACATTTTGCCGAGAGGCGCGAAAAACTTTAACGATTTTGCATTCCGCTGGTATATTGTGTATAATAATAATAATATATACACTGTATATATTATTATTATTATTGTATTTCGCAGACCCTTTTAAAATTCCGTTCGGGTCAGAAAGATTTCGGGGATTTATTCACTCGACATCGTGACGTTTTTTTTTTTTTATTATTATTATCGTTTATTTTTTTACTGCCCAAGTCCGAATTTTCGAGTAGTGATTATACTCGCGGATAATATGAAAATCAGCAATAGGTATACTCTCCTTTATTGGCCAAAATAAGGATATATACTTGACATTTCGGTGATCGTGATTCATCACAAATATCCGACTATTTCAATGTATACATAGATAATAACAGATTACTGGTAATAAAATTCAAAATTTTTATACTTCACGATATTTTGGGCCTTATAGGGATACTTCAGTTTATTTTAAATATGAAATATTTAAAATGTTTTTTAAAATTTCAACGGATTAAAATCGTTTTATTTAGAAGCTGAAATCAGAATTCCGTGATCTGAAATCCGGATTTACAATACATTTTGGATTGTTGAAAGCAAAATCCGGATTTCTTAATCATAATAAGTGATCAGTGTGGTCAGTGTTTTCAATATATATGTAAAACTAAATATGTATTCTTTTACAAAGTTAATAAACGTAAATATTCTTCGGGTGTCTTATGAAACGCATAGACAACCCATCAATAGCAGAGTATGAATAAATAAATAAATAATTTAATCGAAATGCAAATTTTTTTTAAATAAAACTAACATTTTTACGAAAACATCTTACTATAATATTATATTAATGACAGTAATGAATGACAGTAACAACAACAGTAACAGAATGATCGACTTTTAAATAGAATATACTCTTAGCTATTTTTCATCGCGTTTACCGTTCGAAATCGACTAATTTCGCACTTACACGAAATCATTTACAAACAACAAAAAATATATAGTATGTTTTATGAAAACGTCTTTTTACCGGTAACCGGCTATTAGTGAATTAGTTGGCAAAGTGAGAATCTGAGGCCCCGAAGCAAACCGAATAAGAGTATGTATCAGCAATAAACAGCAGTTTTATTGTGTTTTTTTATAATTTACAATATTTTATTTTTATCAATCATTCAGTCAATTTGTTCCTTATGGATCTACACTCACCCCTATCTACCACAGAAACTTTTAGTTTCTTAAAAATTGTTTTTCCTATGTCTTCCCTGATTTCTGTATTATAAATCGAGTTCTCAGTGTACTCTTCCAGTTTTTCTCTCTCTCTCACCTTTCATTACTGTCGTTATTCATGCATTGTTTCTCCATAATATATGTCCTATCCATTTTTTCCTTTTTTCTCTGGTTGATTTCCGTTCGTTCATTCTTAAGTTTGCATCTTCATTTTTAACTTTCTCTGTCCAGAGAACTTTCACTGTTCTTCTCCAGCACCATAATTCAATTCTTTCAATCCTTTTTATTTCTGCTTTAAATTTCTTATATATTTCTGTCCAATAAAGTACTATACGAAACTCTTTATAAGTGTTTTCACAAGTGAAGGGAAAGACAAGATACTAGCCGCTCCTCTGGAAAAAATAATATGAACTAATAATTTTCATTTTCAATTTCAAGTTCAAAAACTTCATTTAGAATACATTTTGAGCTTATTTTTATATGTTGCCTTGAATGTTCACCCGTGCGCTTTGTTATACGCCTTAAAGCCGCGCTTTTTTACGCAAATTTCCTTAGAACACAGACAATAGTAACTACACCCGTCGCGTGAAAACCGACAATATAATGATAATATATACCTAGAACTATATTGAAAAACAAAAACCACTTGGAGTTAAAGGGGTCACGACGATGATACCGGTGCAGTGGTCTTTTGACTTTATATCTGTGCTTATATATCGATCGCAACTTTACTGTAATAATATAAATCTGTATATATATATACAGTAACTTAAACATATTATACAGTAACTTTGTAGAGGTAGATAAGTAACCAGGTAGATGTAAGTTTCACCCCGATGAACTTCGTGTCATAAATATTGAATATCATCTGCCCGTATAAAATTTAATTGTACGAAATGCGCTGCCACCGCAGTCGCGGTATACAGTCGACTGCTGTTTATCCGAACTCGCGTTCTAAATTTCGGCGAGTCCCATACATTTTTTATGTAGGTTCACATATTTTCTTTTTCGGGATATATAAAAGTTTAAGTACATTTTCTTCTACTGCTGTTTGCTGTTTATTTTTATTTTTTGCTCGTCTCGACTGAATAATATATTTGGTAGAGATATATGCATCTCGTCGTCCCGCTCTATAAAATCTTCCCCGCGGAGTCAATATCAAAAGAGAAAAAACAAGACAGAAACAAAAAACCTATACTAAAAGTTAAAATACTTGCACGTATTTATTTCAAAAAGAGCGTACATTTAGCTATTTAGAAAATGTATACAAAAAAAAAAATAGAAACCTAATTTATCTCGTAAAATACAATTTATATAGAGCAGGGCAAAAAAATAACTCGCAAAAGAAAAAACATCCGCAGCAATTTCCCGCGAAATTAATTACACATTTTTAACTGCAGCGCAAACAGATTCGCCTGTAGATTGCGGGAAAAGAGCGACTCGCTGTTCTCATTTCGCTTCGTTTTTTTAATATAAAGGATTCTTTTATTTATGTATAAGGAAATCTTTATTATTTTTTTTTTTTAATACAATATATATTACATAAAAGTACCGGTTAAAATGTATAAATCAAACGCTCGTATAATTCATCGCGATACACGTAAAGCGTTCGCAGCGTACAAAACGAATACGAACCGTTAAATCGATATAATTGTTTATGTAGCCGCGGTATATGATGCCTTTATAGGTTTTTCGTCGACTTTTTCGTATTCATTTCAAAACTTTTGCCCGTTTTCCTAACGAACGTCTCGGATACGTTATAATTCATATACGGCGAGGTACCCGATGCACACTTTCCCGAAGTATATATTGCGCGTCAGTTTGTTTTCCATCGGTATATCCGCGCGGCTATATGTATACGCAACAAACTTTATATACACACGCAGACAAAACGTAACGGTTTCCGCGGTAATTCACGAGTATAACTAATTCCGTGCCAGGCCCACGACGAAATATATTTCAATAATATAATATACCCGTGTGCACAGTCGCTGCAGGATGTTTCGGTCCGCGGTTCGCAAAATATTATTCAGTCTCCGAAAGTTGCCCGCGCGATTAAATATTAAAGTTTATAATAATATACACGCATATGCGATATTATATTCTCGAGAATAACGAACCCGGAGATAAAATATACAGTATATAATAATAATAATAATAATAAGCAGCGCACGTCACATACAGCCGACGAAGACGACGACGACGACGATGCCGCAGGATCCGCCTGCGAATCTCGCGTACAATCCGTATAATTATTATTACATTATTATATACGAGTATACACACGAAGTATCCGTATTTATTTTACGCGTAATACAATCACCGACGACGACGAGAGTACCTGTAAAAGCCTCGGGAAATCTAATATTATTTTCGTTAAAATCGCACACGGTACCCTCGATTATTAGTATCGTCGATGAAAACGAGACGATAAATTAAACCGTACATGTGTAGCTTGGATAATATTATAATATTATATGTTTGTATTAATAATATTTCACGACCATTTTCCGCTTGTCTATTACTTTTTTAAGAGTGGGAGCAACCCCCCCCCCATCCACCCACAACCTCCGAAACAAACACTGGTTCTAAACACTCGAATACTCGAATAATTTACCGGCTCAAGTCGTCTATATATATTTGTACGTATATAATGACGTAGTCATTGGTCATCATTACACGATGGTCGTAAAACGATACTAAGTTGATAGGTATTATAGCCCGGGTTAGACGTTAAGGTTTTAGGCGGGTTTACTTAGGGATCCGTGGTTTAAACCCGACAGTGTCGTAATAACATTGAACGAATTTTTAGCCTTTTTCATGGATTAATAAATACTTGGTAAACATGTTTTTTTTTCTAATACTGATTTATAATATTAATTATAACAAATATGTTTAAACAATTATTATCTAATATGACTAATATAGCATAATATCATTTATTTACGGAGTAAACTCCTATTACACATTAATTATACAATGTTTAATAATGCAATTTAAAATGGAAATGAAATATTAAATATTTATATGCAATGTGCAGAATTCTATACGCATATGATAATGATGATAGTTTTCAAAATATATCTATTTATCACTATTCGATCCCGCTAAAACGTTTCTAAAACAGAATACTCGAACCGTTATATAATATTGAAACAGTCACTCCCTCATCTATACTCCGTCTCATGAGAAAAAGATTTCATTTCGCGCATTTTGAATGAGCTAGGTATATAAACTGCTGTCAGACCGCCAAATTCCCTCTACGCGAGCTATGTACAAACGAAAACGTGTTCAATTGTTACAGTAGTGGCGTCGTCAACAATCGTAAATGTCGTCTAAACAAATACGTTAGGAGAGGTATTACAAGGCGAGGTGTGCCATGGGAATGTGCAAACATAAACGCGATTTCATCATGGTCGGTTACCGTTCTGTCGTATGTGACATCGTGTATCCAGTGGCGACTCGTGAGCCTCGCAAGTGATAATGCAAATATTTTGAAAATTACAAAAGAAGGGAATGTTAATAATACACATAAAGATATATATACTATCAAAATATAAAACGAAATGATGTTATCATTAATGTTATTATTTGTTGATTTTAGGCTTTAGGTTATTTATAATTATTTTTAAAATTTAAAAATAATCAGTAGGTAAATTTACACGTTTTTCGGAAATCAATCAATACTATAATTTTGAACGAAATTAATTTTAAGATTTAATTAAAAGTGCCATTTATAATAACCTATGTTTATATCTACATGTACGTTATATATGTATATTAATTGTGATAAGAAAATTGTCAATAAGGCTTTGCTTCACTTGCATCGTCTGACGAGCCACCACTGCGTGTATATATATATCGTCTCCACAGATATGGTGTACCGAAAAATCAACTGACTATTTCAACCCAAATAAGATCAAAGATAAGTTCAATTCAACTTTGGAAAATTTCCGATAGATCTTTGTTACTGGATACTGTTAACGACCAATCATATTAAGTGGCCTGCGATGGATTGTTTTTTTTCTTAAAAAATACTTTACAGGAAAACACTCTCATGTCTCGCATAGTGATTCAATAACGATAATATTTTCTTTTGAAGAGAGAAAAATTTCTTTTAGGGCTCATGGGACTCCGATTATAGACATATGTAATCAAAAACGACAAACAGTTCTAAAAAAAAATGAAAACTTGTCCTTCATCTAAATCGAATAATAGCATTTAGAAATATAGTTTTCAAGTTCCAAATTTAATGTACCACGCAAGAAGTTTTTCTTTCTCCAACTAAAAAATACATAATCGAACTGCTCTATGAGACATGGTACTTTTTCCTGTATTAAGTATGTTTTCAAGTAAAAAAAAACCGAGAATATTAATAATGATTGACGTGAACAATGGCCCTTTTTACTGTTGAAAGCTATTTAAGCTTGGATAATGCATTTTGAACAGTAAAGGTAGGTGTACCAAATTTAAATCAGACGCGTATATTGTGTTAAGCAAATTGTCAATGCGTTTCACACTGCAAATACAATACAAACAACAGTCAACAATAAACTATAAGTATATCCGAAACGTCATTTTTTTCCTTCATCTCTACGCCTGCAAGACGTATTTCTGCGCTTTTCCGCCGGGAGCTTAACAAAAACACATTTTATATTCCGTCCACCGAAGTGAAAATATTATCTGAATTCCGCAGCAGTCTCGAGTATATCTAGGCTGCAAGAAAGTAGTTATTCGATTTTGTATATTCTTATCCCCGGGGAGTATTTAATGGATATTTCATATGCAGATATTCCTACGCGGCTACAGACGCGCCAAAAACTTTTGAGTTTTGACTCAATCAAAATCGAATTTATACATCATAAAAAAAATATAGGTAACAACAATAGCAAGAACAACAACAATAAGATCTTCGTGTATAATAATATTCACGTATAAATTGTTAACGAACATCCGAGGAATTCAACTGCTCGTGATTGATTTATGCTTGGAAATTCAAAATAATTTATTCGACGCAAGAGAATAACCTTAAGCTCCGAATATCAGTTCCGATGGCCAGAATATGCGGTTTTGTCTGAAAAATATCAAAAACATAAAAACATAAATATTATTTCACTGCCTATACAAAAATATAGAATTAAATATTTTCCACAATTTTAGATAAAGGAATTCATTTTTCCAGTGCATATCATTAAATCTTTATATATATTTCAAAAAAATCGAAAAATATAGTCTCCCTTTGAAAAAAAAATGTATTTAGAAATCTGTATTAGTTAATTATTAAATGAGTAACTTAAAATTAGTAATTAACAGTTGGTTTTTGTTATCGCTCTATAATATTATAATTACCTGATTTTCTTTCGGTTCTTTTGACGCGAAGATGTGTACAAAAAATAATCACTTTGAAAGCAATGCAACTTCTCTGTAATTTATATCAGTTTATAATTATCAGAAACTATTAAAAATTAATATAATACTTCGTTTTAATATCATCGATAACTCGTCAAGTGGCTTTTTCAATACAAATGTTTTGACAATTTCTTTCGCGTGTATCTGGCGAAAAATACTAAAAAAAATTGAATTAAAATTACCGATTTCCTTTCAGAAAAGGTGCTACACATGAAAATCGAAACAAAATCTCTGGTAGAAAAGTTTTCCACAGAACAGTAAAAAAAAATGAATAAATAAATAAACGTCTTTGGAAAACCACAAGCTTCTTCGCACGACCTAATATCTAAAATAGCCGGAACGTTTGATAATAATAATAATATGAAGACTTGTGTTATTTACAGGCGTTCGACGCGTTCTTTGAATACTGAATACACCTACTCGTTATTAAATTCAGAAAAAAAAATCCGCCCTATTTTCATCACTGCGACAACACAATTATATTCATTGTGAACCATATAGCTGCAGTGACTAGATAATAATATAGCCTTTTACGAGAAATAAAATAATTCATAGGTCCACGACCGGCAATAATAATAATAATAATAATAATAATAATACTAATATTTTAATCTCCCGGTCGATTATTTTCCGGTTCGGTGGCGGCCGTTAAATCCCGCGGCCGACGCCGCTCGCAAAGGTCCGAAACCGTTTCGGACTTACCACTAGCGGCACCACCTTCCAATACGTATACACAATATAATCCACAAACCGTGTCCCGCCCCTTAACCGCAATAATCCCTTTCGTTTAATATACTCCGCACTGCCAGCGCGATAGCTCTTATATTATTATAATAATACGCGCTTCTGCTTAGATAGGTAGGTACGTATTGTTTTTCGTCCCGCGGGATTAATTTGGAAGGAAAACGTCCGGGGGGACCCGAGATTTATAAACCGCGATCATTTATAATTATTGCCCGTAGAATACTATTTCCGCCCTACAATTAAGTTTGACTAATTATTGTATATAATATTATGTATTATATTATATACTTATACGTATAAACCGTGAGCAGACACATTAGTAATACTCGATTAGCGTGCGCAATTATTATTAAAAAATTATACTCTCGACCGGAGAGATTTGAGCGGTAAATACATAAGACGAAAATATTTTATATTGTCGGGTCTATTGCAAAAAAAAATATTAATAATAATAATAAAAAAAAACACCTCTGAGCGACAAAGCTCTATCAGCGATACAGTTAATAAGTCGAGTCTTACACCACCAACTATTTTGTACAACATAAATACTCTTTGCGAAACAGCGATTATAACCAGTTATATAGGTACTATATAATAATACACTAAAGTATACAATATATTGTACTGTAATTATTACACTCGAGAGCTACTCGAGCTACTCTCGAGAAAATGGTGACATTCGGTCGTATGTAAATGTACCGGGGTTTATGTAATGGTGAGAGTTCAAAGTTTTAACTCCCAAAAAGCATATACTTGACACTAACGCCGTGCGTATATAAAATTGCATCCCCCTGGCTTTATTTGGATAGTGTATAAAGACGTAAAAAGCTATAAAATACTCTACGGCCCGCAAAAACTATGGTTAAATTCAACCCAACTTTCATCACTTCAATGCGCCAACAAAACTACTACGATTCCTCAGTTACAGATCATTTAGTCTAGAGGGAACCGCTAGAAATGTCCAAAAGTGATTGTTAAAATGTATATAATATACACAATACAGTGGCATTAGTTTTTGCGAAATCTGACAGAAATAATAACAATACAATGTCCATTCCGTAATCTCCTCTAATTTGTCTACAAGACATAATATTAAGGCAGTAATTGTCTGTGCAGAGACGTATTCACACAGTTTTCGGGCCCCGGAGCCGTGTTCCTTTAGCGCCGTTTCGTATAAGAACTCAATTTTTTTTTTTTACAATACGCTATTTTAGACCCTGCTGAGCAAATGTTAATTGTGGGGTGGGATTAATATTTAAAAAATAAAAATTATTCCACCAAATTAAAAATGAAAATATTTATTATGTTTTCTATACAGACATTTTTTAAATATTAATTATGTATACAAATTTTTATTAAGATGAAAAAATAAATTATTTTTAAAGTTTGAAGTATGAATAAATTATATAGGGAATAAATATCGAAAATTTCCCTTTGAACACAATATTTTATAGTATAATTTTTCGTTTTCGACTAGCTAAAATAATTTTTGTTTAAGATCTATATCAAATCCAGAGTACTGTTGGATCTATGTAAATACGAAAAAAATATTATTTTTGCTATTGGGTCCGTTAGACAGACACAGACAATTGTTAATAAGATGTTATTTTGGCTCTTCACATGCACAATTAATCATAAAAAACATCCCCAGAAACTATAATATTATATTATTATATGTAAAACATATTTTTCAAGCGCGCGTAGCTTTTTCAACTATAAACCTACTAACCTAACCTAACCTTGCCCTCTCCTTTGATATTACAATGAACACTGTCACGTACGAAAATCATATAATAATTATTATTTTCCAACAGCAAAAGTAAAGGTCGTGCGGCCTGGAAAAAACAAATGCATGAACCATAAGCGCAAATACGCAATTGTACGGTGTGTATTTTATTGGTGTTTGCCAAATCGAATACAATATTTTAATGATTAGAGATTATGTGCTTACCACAAAAGGTTGTGTTTTTTTTTAATAATTAATTAACCATATTATTTATTACTCAACTTGTTTATTTTACGCAGTAAGTGAAAGTATAAGAAAGTTTGACAGTTTGACACAAACACGGTTATAAACTATATTTTGTTTTTAATTAGCTTTTACCCCGTAAGTAATAATTATTTTAACATAATACGCGTTTCTATAATTTAAAACTATATTCGTATATGATAATTATTATTATTGTTAACTTTGTACGAAACAAAAAAAAAAACGGCTCGGTCCCGTGTATGTATAATGTATATTGTACAAGTTAACACAAAAACGTATTATCGACGTACGTGTGGAAAAAAAATAAATATGAAAAAGAGACGAAACTTGATAATGAATGTCTTTGCGTTGTGTTTTCTAGTCTTATACTAAATACATATTTTTATATTCTACATCTTATGAATGTCCTCTGCAGAAACATCCTCAACAGTAAATTTTCTTTTTCAGGATAGCCGCCACAGTTTTAAATTTCAGAAAAAAAACTATTGTGTTATCTCAGTATCTTAGTATTGATATAAACCTACTCGTTGGAAACCTTAAACTTTCGAATTCATTTTTCGAACGCGCGATAATTTATTTTTTTTTGTTTTCGCGTAGTAAAAGTACCAACTATAGTTATAACTACCGATTATAAAATCTTTACCAATTTGCTATTACATGGTATATATATATACGTGTATATTATATTTCTTAAACGTCCATCATAATAAGTTTCAAATTTACTATATCTCGAGTACCTATACCTTTTAAGTTTTAAGCACAGATATTATCGACAGATTAACATAAATAATCACAAGCGTTTCGTACGAATAAAAAACACCACTGAGACTGCAAAAAATAATAATACCTTATGGGATTACAGTTAGCTACTAAATATTATGTATCGTGGTATAATATTATATAGGTGACTTTTTATTTTAATCTATGTCAGTAAACTTTTAGTGTAAATTACTGCAGTTGTCGGAGTACATAGTATCATGAGTACCTATTTTGTCTTCATATAATATATTATGTCAACACAAATGTAATCTTTGAGATATTCAATTACTCAAAACGATGTTTAAACAATTTTGACGTTGTAAAACTATGAGTAACTACATAATATTATTATGTAGTCGACACTAACTAAACTGTGGGTTATATCCCCACAAAATACATCACCCATCTTTTCCCTTTAATAGTTTAAGGGGAAAAACGAAAATAAATTCATCTTCATAACATATACTCTATTATATTTTATCAGAATTTTATATTAAATGTGTGTATCTTTCAGAATTTCTTAAGAGATTTGTTGAAAGAGGCGAAAAAAATTAACGACGTGTCCGAAGACAAACTCATCGAATACACCGATACTATGGTGAGTAATGAAAAATCGAAAACATATTATAATGTTATAGATGTTATATAATTTATATTATTTTTTTTTTTTTTTAGTTGCAAGTGTTCGACGCAAACAAGGATGGAAAGTTGCAGCTTTCCGAGATGGCCAAGTGAGTATACACTTACCTACACGGTACGAGGGCTTGATAAATTAAATAATGCCAGAGCCATCATCGTGATAACTATAACGAAGATTTTTGGATTCGATCGCGCAATGTTTGCCGAAAATTAATCTTACTTTTTTTTCTTTTTTTTCTGTCTATCTGTCTGTATCTCAAAGGTTGCTGCCAGTCAAGGAAAACTTTTTGTGCCGTCAAGTGTTCAAAGTAAGACTTTATTTTCGATAATACCCACCCTGCCTATCAGCTATGTCCTTAAAATATAAAAACTCAGAAAGCAAAAGAGAGAGAAAGAGAGAAAAATAGAGAGAGGGAGAAAATAAGAAATCGACAAAATTCTATCCTCCTGGTAATCGCGTGTTAACAATAAATATAAATAAAGAACACCAACATAATACCCTAATACTATCTAAAGGATAAAACGAAATCGCGGGGCCAAGTCCATTTATTTATAATAGGTATACGCGTTCGCTTATTCAGTTTCCGCCGGCGAACAAAATGGCGTCGACAACGATAACGACGAATAGAACAACAATATATAGGCAAATGATATTTATTGTATACTTACCGGTCGTAAGTATAATAATGGGCGCGGTACCTACCGAATTATTATATCCGAAATTCTACCATCACTGTTTTTACTACACATAGGTACGTGTAGTAACCTATATCTGTATACATTATAATATAATAATATGCACTTTCGTCTCTCCGAGGGTTTTTTTTTTTTTTTTTTTTTTTTGTTTTTGTCCTTGATATATAGACGCACGTTTCGTTGATAATATTGACGTATATAAAGACAAAATATGTTAAAAAAGACTGATCGCAGGGCAGAATGTAATTTTGTCTGGACGACGATAAAAGACACCTACACAATAATTTTAATTATCTGTGGATTTAATAAAAATAAATATTTGGCTTCGATAGATTAAAACATTTTTTTTTTTTTTTTTTGGTGACCTGTCAAAATACTAAAATATGATAGGTACACGTCATAAATTTCAAAAAAGTCGTACGATTACGCTGAAAAGTAAAAAGTAATTAATTTATATGGTATATTAATACAAACTTGTTGTTTTATCTATTATTTCTAATAATAAAATATGTACTAATTTTATACTAATTACAATTTAAACAATATTTTATCTATAGATTAATTTGTCCATATAAAACACGTACAATATCCTCATCTTATTCTACATTTTTCTCTGTGTTTTTCGTATACCGAATCGGAAAATGTACTCTATAGTAAATATAGTATGGTAATATAATTATTCCCACGGTTTCGCCAAAGATTTAACCACGTATATAAACTATATCATGTATTATACGACGTTGAAATCCATTTGCAGTTTAAGAAAATGTTTTTATTTCCCATCATCACCTAGGTCCCTACTTATATTAAATTTAAACAAATTGTTTTCATCAATTTTCAACACATTTATCGATATTTGTCCAATATATGTTGACAAATATTATTTGAAAACATAATTTTTGACATACGAATTTTCTTTAGCGTAGCTAACTTCCAAATACTAGATATTTTTTTTTGAAAAAACGAAATGTCATAATAATATACTGTCTAAAAAAAAAATACAGTTGTCTTGGATCCAGAATCTGAACACTGCAGTTGTTAGATATATAAATCTATGCATTCATTTAAATTGTTTAATGAACCTGGAATGAAAAAGCAGATATTGATTTGTGATGACATCCTCATCGTACCTGAGGGAGGAGGGATGATAACAGGGATCTTTCTCCAACAAGCAATTTTTTGTTTTAATGTAATGAATGTTCAATTTTCGTTTCCATTCTTCAACGTTATCAGTTACACATTATTTATTCTGAAGCTCATTTATCAAACAATATGTAAATCGCCGGTTAAAAACTCGATGGAGTCAAATGATATTTTTCTTAGCAGTAAAAAAAAAAGAAGAAATATAGATTTTTGAAATACAAAAATTCATACTCCGATATAATTAAAACTTATTGTATTCGTATAGTGTTTTTTTTTTTGTTCATCAAATATTGCATAGTAATAAGATATTTAATATTTCTCCCCCTCCCACACCCTCGAAAACGGTGTCCGTTGCACGTTACCGGATGATATTATAATCCTTTAAGTTTCTCTCCTCTACTTGAACAATTCCGGGTGCACCATACTGATCTATACATAGAACACAAATATAGTTGCTTTGATACAGACAGGTGCGTGCGATAACAGGTATAAGTATAAAGTTCTAGTATAAGTGAACTGCACTTATACCAGAAAGAGAGAGTGGATTTACGATGACAATGGATTAAACACACAATAGAGATTTATATAAACTAAGTATATACTCTAAACACAGTTAGAACATCGTATGTATGTATGTATGTATGTATGTGTATATATAGATATATATATTATACGTGAAGCTCTACGCAAACCCATGACTATACACTCAACTATAGTTTCGTCGAAACAAAAGCCTTTTGTCGTATATTATTATTATTATATATATATATCCGAATAATATCCTCGATAGGACTAGACGACGCGACGCGACCCTGATGGTTTCACACTGTATATATTATTTATTGTTCGAGTGTACACGAGCAATTGTTTTTAACGAACGCGTGTAAAGGCTACTCCTGCGCCGTGATTACGCGTGTTGATAAAACACCGTGATTGGCTAAACTGTGGGCAGCTAGTTATCTCGTTTTGTGCCGGTATGGTTATTCGGGCGAACACCGCAAAACTTATAACGCTGTGCACACTGCAAGGCGATCACATATTTTTCTTTTTCAAATTTAAATAACCCTCTTAACAAACAACACTTGCTAACTGTTACCATTGCACACTGCATAATTCGGTTTATCTACTTCCTGTGAGCTATACATGAGCTCGAGTAAGAAGTTGGAGAAGTAACTAGGTTACCTAATTCATTTAATTGGTCACGGACAATAGTTATTAACCGTGATAGAATTGGGGTGGTAATGGGAAAACATGCGCTAAATTACATTTCTTTTGTTTTATTTCTATTAAATTCGGTTTTCAAAAAGATTTTTTAAACAATCTATTTTCAAACGGATCGAAAAAAAAGGGGTTATAGACATTAAATTTGCATAGCGCAACACCACACCTCACCGGGCTGGACAGTTAAAATAATAATTGAAACGGTCATGAATTTTGACGGCTCAAATATAAAAAGTACATATAATATTTTTATTCGAAAAAATGTCAGCCAGCGCGAGGTAAACGGAGTTTTTCACGAAATTTCATTTTTCCATTTTACCACTTCAATTCGATCTACGCAAACTCAAAAACACAATTTAAGGACAATGCACGATTTTTCGTCTTTTTACGATTGAAATAAATTGTATAATTACATTATAGTTGTAAAAAAACGTTCCAAAGACAATTATAAGTAATGGCAATAGGCTTATAATAAAAAAAAAAAAAAACGCAGAATAAAAAACGTTCCAAACTGAGAGAAATATTAACATGCACACACATACACACACACAAACAAAACGTCTGTGACGAATTGGTACTGCACTTTGAATAATAATTATTATATTGCAGCTTCTCCGTGAAAATGCGTCTGGCACCAACGTCACCGCAAAATGTCATAGCAATATTATAAAAATAATAATAATAACAATAATTTCCATTTAAAAAGATCTCTTTTGTTAATGCCGTCGGATTATTCTGTTCGGTTAATTGCACAGTCACTTTTTTTTTTTTTTTTGTAGCCACTGAAACTCTAAAAAAAACCTGGCTTTATATAATGGTTATACACTCAACATAAGTGTAGTGTAAAAAAATGATGCAATAATATACACATAGAAACATTGAGAAGAATTTTCATAAAAAAATAATACTTTTTCGCCGCGTCGTAAACAGTGTTTATTATAATTGTTTTTTTTTTTTTTACAAGTATTCTTTTATTCGGTATTTTACACGGAGGGATACCCTGTGTGCACAAAATAATTAATGTTATAACAACGCCTTGTTTTCTAATATTCTGATAGCGTATACCTATATAATACTTGTCTCTCCGTGTATAAACTATATGAACATCATCATATGCTCTTGTTATTTAAAAAATATTCGCCTCGCCGCCACCGTGGTCAAGATTGGTCAAGATACCGCCTTGTCGCCACTCGCGGCAGTAAGTTCACGAGCCGCCACTGATACATAATATACATTTACAATAGTTATACCCATATACGTAGTTGTGCGTTATTTTAATTGACCCGAAAGCTTAATTAAAATACTTTGCAAATATATAATAATGATCGTATTTATCGATTTCCAGGGAGCTACAAAGCTGACTAAGGACGACATCGAGAGAGTGTTTTCGCTGTACGACCGAGTAAGTATACCGCGCGGCACCTTAGCTTTTAAGATGACTGAAGATATTTCTTCTTTTTTTTTTTTACCAAATCGACGCGCGCACGTCCGATCAATAATAATACACAATTATTAAAGTTTGATTTATTTATTATGATTTTAATTTTTTCTCTTCGTCGTCCGTCATCGAAGTACAACTACGATACCTCTAGGATCTTACCCTCATACAAACAATTTCTAGCCTTCTCTATCCAACATCGTGTTTTAAAATCTAATTTCACTCCTATAAATTATCCACGTCTTTCTTGACTACGTCTTCCCGCCTCATTCAATTCATTCTTCCAAGAATTTCCCAACAGAACTTTTCCCTACAGTCGGTTTCCTTTCTTGCACCGCACGAAGTAATGTATTGTTTGGCTTCACCAGACGTGCACTACCCACTACACAGGCTGTTCCACGGAGATTTACCTCTTGCATATGCGTAAAAATCTATGTTATCGCGTAACGCGGTTATGTTATTCCCTAGATAGTAGATAACATCGGTTTTCACACGGATTAGTAGAATTTAAAACGACTGTTACTTAGAAAATATTCATCGGATATAAATGTGTGATACATTAAAACGTTCAGAAAAATAAACTCTACAAAATTAATATCTTAACATTTTCCGAAAATAATAAAATAAAAAGTTACTTTTTTTTACTAAAAAAAAAATTGCATTCAAAAATAAATATTTCTAGTCATCCTGGTTAGTAATATAAAGAAAAAAAAAACAGAATTTGATTTTCTTTATTATCTCCGGAGATATTCGAGGGGAATATCTTCGTGGGACAGCCTATATAATCTCTTAATATTCCGATGGCTTCTTATAAGAAACTAAAAATATTCCTTTCAAACACGCAGAATTCATTTTCATCGCTGTATCTCACATTGGCCATCGTCAACTAACAATATTTTTGTTGACAATTTTAATTATAAAATACCATATAAAAACACACCCGTAATTAGTTTAGCCTACGTATGGTAAAATAAAATAAAAATGTACAGACATAAAAAAATATGATATTTTATATATACCTCACTCGCTCGCCTCACTGTATATAGTTTCGTTGGAACTTTCGAATAATTTCATTAAAACTTTTATAATTAAATTAACAAAGAATATTTTGTACAAACAATTATTCGGTTTACCCAAAAATGTAAATTAAAAATATTTACGCGAATATGATGAGTAAATACCGGACATTTATTTTGAATGTGCATTTGAAACGAAACATCAAACATATTATATTATAAATAGGCATAATGATATATTTTATAAATTATCGGTGAAAACTGACTTCGGAAATATTTCCCACCGAAAAAAAAATCAGCGATTTGTTAATTGTTACTATAATGCACATCATTAAATTAAAACCGAATCTGAATTTTGTTGAGCGCGAAATAATTACTGCCGTTTCGTTTATCATTTCATACGATTAGATACCCGAGTTCTTAAAAATATGAAGTTTGAATTTTTACACATAAAATGTATTTAAATTTAAATATTTAGTTTAAAAAAAATTTCACGTAAAATAAATACCATATCATCGGAAAAAATTTGCTTTACAAATTATGTCTCTGGCGAAAAATTCTATTTCTTAACAAAATATTACAAAATCAATAAAATTTGAGCCCTAATATTATTACCATACATCAAATCGTTTTTCCATTTTTATTTGTTTAAATCTTTTTTTTTTTTTGGTCGATAAATAATTTGAAACTGAAATTTTATATTTGGTTTTTTTTCTTCTATTCCTGTTGGTTATATACACGATAATGTTTTTAAAACTATTTTCTAAAATAATAGACGATTTGTTGTTTTACACGTGTTCGCAAATATAGGGTAGCATATTATAGATATGCATGTTAAGGCTTAGCCGGCTCGGGAAATTAGAATATTGGTAAGGTCTTGGCCCCGGGTTGACCAACCGACGTCAACTTAAGACCCAGTCGGTACCTAACCAGCCCAGCCGCTCCGGACTTAATGCCCCCAAAGTCGGGGGGCCTAACATGGTGGTTGTGGGACAGGCCCAAAATAGTAGACAAATCACTGTCCCAGTGAGACGTGAGGGTACCATACTATCAGTCGTACTCGCGAGTCAAAAAAGTACGGGCCAGCGATGGTCCGGTGCTGGTGGCCCGCAAGCGACCCAGGCACGCCGCACCAGCTCGCCGGTGCGGACTCACCGACAATCGCACCCCTTGAATAGCACCTACATCATATATGGTATGTGGGGATAAAGGCGAAATAAGCCTGACCAAAAGCAGGGTATTTCGTAGATATATTATATAAACATTATATGGGAATGTTGAGATCGTACCTTACATGGCTAAGCCTAATATATAAAAGTAGAGTTATTTAGATAGAAATGTACTTTTAAAATAATATATTATGAAAAATTGTTGAAAGTATGTGTAATATATACACTGCGAATACTATAGTAGACCTTTGCTTAGATCTCAGTGTTTATAAAGTTTTAATAAAATACGATAAAAAAAAACGTTACGTAACTGATTTAACCTCACTAAATTAAAATACTGGTTAAATTTAATTAATACGTTTTGCACTAATAACATATTTGTTCTTCGCAATGCAAACTATTGCGTGTCACGCGTGTTATTGGCTGATATACGTTATGTTTATACGAGGTTTTGATGCAATTGGTGTTATTGTTTTCGTTATTTACGGTATAACCACGAGTCCTAACTAAATATTTAGTTATGGAACAAAACGTTTTCAGAAATAGTTGTTTTATTAATATCGATAACCTAAGCATTTCGTCAAATGTTTAGGCACGTGATGTTAAATTATAAGCGACGATATATTATAAACTATTATATTTCGAACCATTCGTTTCGTTGGTAAATCGCGAGCTATACGTTCAATTATTTGATATGGAAATTCAATAATTTTGACGATAGTTTGTCCTAATACGCAAAACATTGTATTCAATTAAATAAAAAAATCACAGAAAAGGAGGAGGATTTTGTTTCAAATTGCCGACAAATATGTTTGAACTTCGAATTGTGACCTTTTTATTTTTACTCATATATTCGGATCACTTCTTTCACAGATTTCAGGAAAACAAACACAAAAGAAACATGATTTTTTTTTTTTTTTTTTTTCTCTAAATCCGATTAATTTCAAAATTAATTACACACTTTCCTACATACAAACAACTCTGGAATCATCTTGTTGTGTACAGCGGATATGATCTATAAATTGAATTTTATGACAACGAGAGACGCTTGCATTATATTATATTATGTATTATTTATAAATTATTTCCGGAACAGTATCCTATTCCGGACTGCAGTTCCAGAAATAACTGTGTACAAATGTCCGCGTCTACACATTTTTAATAAATCGTAACAAATTGCGCAAGATCGTTGTATAATATATAGCGTATATGATTTATACGTGACAAATAAATTAAATTTGAATTTCTTTTTTACGTGTCTTCCATAAAATACATATAAGAAATGTGCTTTTGATGTACTACAACCCGTGATTCGGCTGTGTAAAAACATGTTTCGTGGCCAAAAGTTACTCGGGCCATGGACTTAATAAAGAAATCAAATTTTTCAAAATAGAAAAATTCGCATTATGCGACATCGGTTTTTATTTTATATATTACATTTATAAAAAAAAAATATTATTATTTAAAAATCTGATAATTTTAAGTTTTTCAAATACGAATAACTTATTTCGTAGTTTTTCGGTGTCACTACCGAAAAACTAAAAACAACGATGAACAAAAAAATGTCTCTTTATTTATGGTAAAAATTTGGTTTCTGAACTAAGTCAATAGCCCGAGATGTTTTTGCCCACGCCAAATGACAATACGTCCTTTTAAATATTTTGTATAAATTATCACTCTGTATATACTTTATGGTTAAATTGTTTTAAAAACTTCGCATATAAATATTAATAATAAACGTAATAATATACTTTTTAACAATTTTTTTTTTTTTTACATTATTATCATAATACTGTCAAATAAAAACGTACAGGTATTAAAAATCACTCTCTTCCCACACGCAATAATTATTCGTTTTGACTTATCGTACATCGTTATTTTAACAAATAATTAATACAATTAATCGCTGCGACGGAAATCAATGCTCTTGTGTTGTTAGAAACGTCAATTTTCTTGTCTCTTCGCGAAACCTTCGGCGTTTCTATTCCTTTTCTATCCCTATTTATCCTACTCGTTATTTAAAACATAATCCTTTGCATAATATGATAATGAAACTGACCAACGAGGACCCATCATTCCTTGTTTAATTTTTAATTTTATTTCTATTATTATTATAACTTTTCTGTACTGCTATGTGTTACTATATTATGTTTATTGTCTTTTGAATGTTTATTTTTAATCAATTAATTTGTTTAATGTACTGCATCTAAATTGGGTCAATTCCGTATATTTTCCTATAAATAAATAAATATACTATAGTCCAAAGTGTTAATTTTACCATCACTATAATTTATGACTTTGAGTGCGTTTTAAACTCTGATGAAGCCTAATAAGCTTGTTTGATCCCTTTAGCCGCGTTATAAAATATATTCGGATATGAACTCGAGCTCCATCACGTTATATTAACGCGTTTATCACTAAGCATATTTTAGTTTTTAAGTATTAATCACGCGTTCGCGTATACTTATAAGAGTATTATATTTTGAAAATACCAAACGATAATAATTCTAATGGCGCTTTTTATAATACTTGGTGGATTGTTCGCAGGATAATAACGGCACGATCGAGAACGAGGAACTCAGAGGTTTTTTGAAGGATCTACTCGAACTAGTCAAAAAAGTCTGTATAATATTATTTTTGAATACAAAACTATACAGGGTGATAGACATAACAAAAGATATTCCACTCTAACGTTTGACGTATTGTGGATAGGGACTGAGTATACGGTGAAGTACTGTTCAAACATCTGCGGCGCACCACCACACAAACGGTGCTACACTATAATATACTCTCCCCCTTACCGGCAAAATATCAAAAGCGAAATATCTCGTAAACGGGTTAGCGGAAATTAAAAATTGCAACACCAACATGTATTTAAAATAAAATTGCATCTATTTAAAGAATTTTTTATATCGGTCGCTATTTGAAAATCAAAAGCAGGCATCTGCCATAGTGGTTTTATCCCCATAGCCATAAGTTATTAAAAAAAACAGAAACTTATCTAGGCGTAGCCAGGAATTTTCAAGGGAGGGTGTTCCCAAATAAAAATCATAAATAAAATTAAAATCGTCTTCTCTACCCAACACAGATATGAGAATTTAAAATTCGGATCCAATTTTTTTATTTCCAATCAATAAATAAACCTAACCTTACCTTTTCTTCTAAATTTTCTAAAATATTTATATTTCAATAAAAATACTAATTCTTTTATATTTTGAAGCCAATAGGAGGAATTAACACTTACTTCTTTCTTTCTGCACACACCGCTGGTAACGTGATATTTTAAAGCTACCTGTTTCTTAAATTTCCCAAAAATCAAATTCCGAAAAAAGTTTATATTTTCCGAAAAAACGAGTGCCTTTCGTTGTGTTGATCACCCTGTATAATAATTTAAATTAGAATACAGTAATAACTAATAATTATAATATAAAAATATAACTAGGGTTTCGTGCAAATATATACAAGTTAAAATCTAAAACCTATTAGTAGTACTACTCATAGGTGCAATTATTTAGTGGGTAGGCTTTATAGGCCTTAGCCCTTCCAAAACATTCAATATATCATTTTCAGCAATGTGAAAAATTAAGAATTATATTTGAACTTCGGTGAATCAAAATAGATTCACAAATTTGATTTTAATAATCTATATCAAACAAGATTTGCTTGTCTGACGAACAAATCTTGGAAAATGAGTACTTTCGATTCGCCAATATTAGAAATAAGTAAACAGTATATCACTAAATGCAAAATGGGGACGTGTTTATAGTTTAAAATGGTTCAAGAAAGGCTAAAATACTCAATATCTCTGATAAAAATATTATAAGTGATAGACCATTTAGACCAAAAATAAAATAAAACAATTTACATAAGAAAAGATTATAAATAAAAAATACCAAACACTAAATTTAACCGTTCCCTTTGGGATCAACGAATATATTAGTAAACCCGTAAAACATTTGTCAAATGCAATAGAATTGGATTTGAAATTTCAAACAAAAGAACACATTATGTGATAATGAATCACAATCAGCACGGCAATTCCTTGTCTTCTATTGAATATTAATATCGTTTTCATGTCTATACTTTTTTTACATTGAGGCCGTTATATGCCGTTATAACGTTATTACTGAGAAACTATTAATCGGATATAAATACAATGTCATATTAAAACGTTTAAAACGTTTTATTTTACAAAATGATTATTTTGAAAATTTTGAAAAGCGATAAAATAAAAAGTTATTTTTTTTTCAGTAATTAAGAGATGAAAATAAAAATGTAATTTATATCTACATACGTGTTCCTCTATCACAAAACCCGATTAAAAAAAAAAATAATAATAAACATTGACACAGTTGTTAACATAAGGATAACACTACGTAGAACACCCTGCGTGTTAGGAGGCGCTAAAACCGTTGGTTTACAGGATTACGACGCAGACGATTTGCAAGACTTCGAGGAGACCATACTCCGCGGCGTGGACTATAACGAAGACGGGAAAATCAACCGGAAAGAATTGACAATGATACTTCTGGCGCTTGCCAAGCACAACCAAGAAGACGATTCCTCGTCGTCGTCGTCCGCTGCCGCCAAAAAAGAATAACTCGTTTTACCAAGGAAAAAGACCCGTACCTAAGGAAAATAACAATATAATAATTATTATATTGCGACCCGCAGTTAGATACCGGAAAGACAAAAAAAAAAAAAGTAATCGTGCACAATTTATTATACGCGAAGTTCTTACTCTTCTCTTATTAATGTTGCGCATTATTCGTTGTTATATTAATACGATTATAATATTATTGATAAAAATTAAGTAAAAATTTGTTGTTTTAAAAATTACGCGTTATTTCGACCGTATAGTGTACTTTTTAGCTAATCATAAAATTGACTAACAATAATGATTATTATACTGCAGTTTACCCACGCGAAAAAGAATATCAAATTGTTTTTTTTTTATTCGATTTCGCGCGTTGTAAACGCAATTATTCTAATACTTTTTCATTCCATATTACTATTATATTATTATTATAGGCTAAGTATAATTACATATTATTATTAAAATACGAACTTTTCCGATTCATTTTCTTGACGCGCACATATTCGCACTCTCTTTTTTCGTCTTTCGATTTTTCGTGTAGTTTACACGTTCTAAAATACATATAAAACATTAAAAATAGTATATTATTATAATCTATTATATTGTAGTAAATTATTGTATAGTGAACGTTTCGAATATTTATCGATTCGGTTGTAGTTATTAAAATAAAATTACTTAATATTTTAGAAAATAGTTGAAGAAAAAAAAAAACACCCTTCGGTGATTTACATTTTTTTTTCATCCAATACTCCGGATATTATAATATTATTATAAATTCATTAATACTATATTATTAATCGTAAAAGTGTTCTTGTTTGATTATTTATTATTAATATTATTATTAAAATACATATTATGAAAAAAAAAAAATTCAACGTGGTTTTCGTTTATTTGATAATATTTTTTTATCATTTTTTTATCATCATAATACCCATCTTTATATATTCGGGCGCGTATACAGATAGGGGAGTTTAGCGATTCAAATCTCCTCTGAAACTTAAAAAACGCATTATATTATACTAATTCTATATTGTTCAAAACGTTTATAATTTTTTTTTTTTTTTTTTTTGTTTAAGAAAATCCCTCGATTATTTTTCCTGTGTACTCGCCTGCTGCCAATATTACCTTATATTATTTTATAATACCTGTATTATATCGACATAACCAATATTACAAAGCCCTGTGATTTACTCGAAATGTCCGTGATTTATCAAAGTTTGCGATTATTATTTTTAAAACAAATTTGTTTCAGAAGTAAATTTTTAAATGTACTAAATGTAGGTACATCTTAATAATAATAACTGAGTTAAAATTAAGATTAGATTAATTAAGTTAGGTTTTTTTTTTTATTTCGCTCGTATCTTAAAACCGGTTCGTACGAAAGTCAAACTAAATTATCGAATCAAATTGCAAACATAATAATTAGATAAGTAAATACTTATTTCACCTTTTTTTCGTAGCAGCAACAGCGATATTACTCATATTACTTGTATTAACGCGTTAAAGTAATATCATAAAGTCCATCGATACGTTTGTATTATCGCATTTTGAAATATAGATTTTAAGAAATGAAAACGCCTAACCGAAAATACAACTGAAGTTACTTTTGACGTTTTTTAACGCGTTCAAGTGGAGCATATTATTATATTTTCCGTGACAGCGCGTAAAGTCAGAATAGCAAAATACCAATAGTTGTTCGGAATTTAAACCGACTGGTTATAAGTTTTTCGAATTATTAACAAATATAACTTTTCAACGTGATTTTACAGACCATATTATTTTACATATAACCGTCAGTACCCAGCTTTGCTAATCGAACAATCGTTGTACGACACAGTAGCAGAAAAAACCCAATTGCGTGATACAAAAACAGAACTTTTACTCCCTCGACCTCCTGCATATGCGTGTTAGCACAATAATAATTAAACTCGTGTGTTCGGCTGTATACACGGTGACTTTTTAAAATGGAATACGAAACGAAGTATTTTTTTTTTTTTTTTTAACTAACGTCCTCACGATACTGATCGGGGTCACGGCTACAGATTTCAAAATCGCATATACCTTATATGTTATACACTAGCTATTATTCCCAAAGTAAAAACCATATAATTGAAACTTCACTCAAAATCTCCGTACAGATAAATATCATAAATTCCCGTCGAAATGACTTTTATATTCGAACAATTCGCGAAGAAAAATATGAAAGTTCGAAAAAAAAAAAAATTGTTTATATTATGAGGAATCTTTTTCTCTCGCGTGCGGAAACGTGACTAAATCAATTAAAACTATTATTAATTATTCCAGGCTGGCATATTTTCTCATACGAATGTCCCGTCTCCCGTGTGCAAAACTTACTGTAATAGTGTAATCGAAACAACCATATGGAGGGTGATTCGATAATTTATATCTGTACAGACGAATCGTTGTTAATGATAAACAATACCGGGCGAAGTTCGATTTACCATGTTTCGATAAACTCTAATTGAAAACTGTAGTACCCATTAATTAATTAATTCGTAATACTACAAAATACATTGTAATAATTGTCTGCGTTTTATCGTACTAATTCTTTTCATACGGCGTTTAAAGTTCAAATTTGAATACGAATTGTACGAATTACGATATATCGCTTACTACTTTAGGATTTAAAAATCTACAATAATTTGGAGGACTTATACACCACACCCGGAAAATATAGTATGTCCGGAACGCGTGTAATTCCGGAATGTATTTTTTACGAAATTCAAAAAATTATAAAAACCGTATACGTCCAGAACACTGGATATCCTGGGAACGTACAATTCCAGAATCCACCGCCGACCGTTATACATACACATACCAACACAATTGTTTATATTAATATAATTATTTGTTTTAATTCCGGAGAAATACATTCCTGGGTTATACGCGTTCCAGACATAATATATCCTCCAAAATATTGAACATCTTAAAACCGAAAGTACAGTAATCGAAACCGTCTTATCAACGGGCGAGACCCGGTTAACATTTTACGGCAATGGAAACGAGGAACGCGCGCATAGGCACGGATTCCTTTTGAAAAGTAACATTTCCAACACCGCTGTGAGCGACATATTTTACTTCGTATAAAAACGTGGGAGGAAAAAAATACGAAACAACGTAAATCAAAGTGTAATGAGCACTCTTCGAGAAATCTCACCGTCAGCTTTACGACGGTTTTGATGTTATTTACCGAGTTTGCAACCGAGTAGAGTGTGATTAGCGTTGAACTCGCGACATTATATAAATATTGAAACACGTCCGCCTACGCCGGTGTAAATAGCGTTCCGCATGAACTTCGTCGTCGAAAATAATGTGAAAACTTCCAATTACATATAATAAATAAAACTTGCGTCGGCTCTACGCCGTGTAGGTATGTGCTCGCGTGCGTGTTTAATGACCGTATTTTCAGGGCGAGTCAAGTACGAGTAGACAGTCGAAATTAAAATAGAGGAAATTAAAAAAAGAAAAAAATGTAAAGGTCGCATAAAACCAGGAGATAATATTTCAAGGAATTTTCACTACATGTGATATTGTAAAATAAAATCGAGGACACTGTCGCAAAACTCAAACCCCACTCTCGTATCCCCCGGTTTCAATCCGAATTTTAATTTCCCAAATAATTCGTTATAATATGACGTTTTTAACTTAATTTTAAATTTCCAGTTACGTACAATCATTGAAAACATTTACCTGACCTTTTTACATTTTAGTATTATTTTCAAACAAGTCCGCACGCGTAACAATAAATTATGCTCGCGAAAACCGTATATTGATAGGATAATGTGAACCATAAACTTCAATACATGACACACATTTATAATTTATAATATCGCTATAAAAACTAAAAACATAATTGATTTAATATTCATAAATTACAATAATTGCTCTAACAAAGTATATCTTAATTGAAGGATCAAAATTGTATTGGGCAAACATTTATCAGCGGACCTACTTTTTCAATTACCTACAGAAAGATAGTGAAGTAAGTATTAATACTTTGGTTTTAAATAATTAATTACATTTTTAAAAATAACATACCACCATATGTATCAATTGAATTTATTAACTTGAAAGATCTTCCAGGTTCAACACTATTTGAAATGATTAAATTAAATATTTTATACAATAAAATATATTTGTTTGAATTAATTTAATTTAATTTTAAATTTAAAAAATAAATATATGCGCTAACGTGTTTTTAAATTCCAATTCCAACACTCAACATATATATAATACAATGGAAATACAGTTTTCGGAAATACTTTTATAAAACATTTAGAAGCTGCCTTGATTTGTATGTCATTTAATCGTATATAGTATGTATAATCTAAATGATACAGTTACCTTACCTTATAGATTAATAATTGATTTTTAGCAGTTGTTACTAAATGCAGCAATCATGAATTAGGCTACTATTAATAATGCTCCTACTAACTGTGACTGATGACTACTATCAAATTGAGAAAATATTCATATACAATGTATTATACCAACTGAATTGCCCGGCTTCGCGTGTGTGTAGTTTTTGCTCTCTCTAATGGTTCTATACGCATATTATTATTAAATATGATTTTATAATTATAATTGGGTATAGTTTGTATTGTTTAACTTTATTTATGAACGTTTAAAAATGATTCTATGCTGAGTTACTCAATTCTAAAATGACCAAAGTCAAACTTCTTGGTAAACCTCATTCAGATTTTTATGTTCCGTGGTGCATAAATATATAAATGGACAGATCTTCCAACTCTAGAAAATGTTACATACAATTGTCCATGTAAGAAACAGTTATTTTCAAAATCTACACCACAATAAGGTAAAGCCAAACATTGCGCTTTGTTTATTGTTATTACATAACAAATTTTTATTGGAAACTGAACTCTACTGAACTGAACGAGAGAACTGTTGAGGTATAATGTTATTTTCGGTAAAAATATTTTTTCTCCCTTTGCACGTCTGGTCAAAATTTCAGCTTCAATTACATTTTTGTAAGAGAGATAACACGGAGCTTATTCCCATTACATAACCTAAAAGAATTTAAATTCCATGTTTGCATACCGGCCCATAGTTTTATTTATCGGCGTTTTCTGCCAGTGTTTATTTACGAAAGAGTGTGTAAACGATTATAACAACGAATAAAATGAAATTGTAAATAATAAATCATATGATTATTTTGTATAACTCTGTAAAAAAGAAAAAAAATCGTTAAATTATTTAAAGGTACGTGAAAAACCATAACCTTTAAATACATCCCCCCCTCTCCCTCTCATGAGAACAAAAAAAATGAAAAATCGATCACCGTGGTGACACTCAAGAGTGTTTAGTACTATGTGAAAAGAAATTGGAAAACATTTAAAGTGTCATCACAAAATTAAAACATTAAAAATGCCTATTCTTTTATGTACCTATATAAGGATTATTTATACCTCAAGGCCTATCCATACGTTCATGACCACTTGGACTGGTGGGTATTTCTCCGTTTCATTAGAATGGCTGCTCTGAACGTGGGTTTATGGTATACTGATGTTCTCTGATCAACCCAAATCTAAAGCTAACCTTGTTAACTGTACCTGCTGTTTAAGTGCACCATAACTTTCATTACAACTTTACTACACATTATTGTTTAACGATTTTCAATATTATGATATCTGTCTGTCAAAATAATAACAATAAATAATATTTTGTATATTAATACATATTAGAATTTTTCATTTTGTTTACTTAACTTTTAGTAAACTGAATTAATTTTATAATTTGATTATTAGATATCTCCATAATTATGTTTATTGGTAATAAATGGATATAAAAATAATCATTATATTGTTATAGAGCATGTTGAAAATATGTACAAAAATTCAATATTTAAATAAACTTTATTATTTTAGTATATACATACAAATCAAAATACATCAAAGTATTAACTATATAAATTTATTTAATCACTAACTGAATCTTAGACATATTTTCCAAAGTGTAATAGATCAATTTTTTTTACTTTTCGTTGCAAATCATCCATGTTATTTTTAATTAAATATTCCATTGTATATGGATTTTGATTATTTTCATTCTTCCACTGTTCTTTAGCTGTATTAAACTCTAAAATCTCTTGGCTAACAGCTTTGGCTTGGAATGGAAGTTTAGCAGAAATTTTCTTCAAAATGTCTTTCACCTATAACATTAAAAGTCATTAATAATTAAAAAATTGTATGTATTGTTGTTTAACATAGTAAAACAAATGTTATGAATCTAATTTAAGGGAGGTCCTTATTTTTGAACATTATTATTTTTGATGACTGACCCCCTCCCCCAATTTTATTCAGTTTTGTGTAAAAGTAATCTGTTTGAAATTTGTTCATAATAACTCACCCCCTTCCCATGCTCTTAGAGGGTTTAAATTGAGTTAATAGGGTAGTTTTGTGGTTTTTTGCAAGTAATTCAATAACTATATCACTGATCATAAAATGATATATAACTTTTTGATAACTCTTCTTAATGTCTATATAATTTAATATTATTCAATTTACTGTAAAATATGTTTTTCCCAAGAAAAAATACAAAATATTTCATGTATTTAGCAAAACTGATTTTTTTAAGACTATTTAATTATATTTGTCAAATGGCTGAAGATATAAAACAATATTTAATATAATAATGATATAGAATTTAATTTTTCTAAAAAAAAAGGGTCATTAATAAAAAATTAATTAGAACGACTGATTTAATGTTACAATAGGATTTATGTTAATATATTATCACTTTCATATTATTTCATCTGTATCAATATCTGCCGTATTTGATACACTTGAAAAATGGTCTCTACTTGACAAAGTTTAAGAATCCGACAGCCTTATTGTACAGATAAGTACCATCCAGTGAGATGAATGGACAAAAGTATTCATTGTTTGAAGATATTTTTTAATAAGATTGGAATTCAAAGTGACTAAGACAGAAAGAAATGCATTGAGCAGAATTAAACAAATATCTAACGTTTTCTAATTTTAATACAAATTTATTTTGAACGTTCTCTTCTTTAACTTATTCCTCACTTATTTGATCTATTTCTTCATATTCTTTAAGGTTTTTGTGATTTGTTTTCTCATTTCTGTCGAATTCTGTTCATAAAAAATAGAAAATGTGATGCATCCATTTTTGAGGTACCAAAGATTTTTACAATAGAACTAAAAACTTTGATAAGCATGCTTGAGCTATCGGCTTATGGCATATTGTATATTCATGCAACACACGTATTAAATTTAAATTATTCAAAGGTACTTCGCTCACATTCATTGTGGTAAAACCATGACTTTTATATAAATTTTAATAATGAAAGCACAAATTCTGCTCAACACATTTCCTTCGGTCTTAGTCATATTGAATTCTAATCTTAATAAAAATATTTTCAAATAATGTATACTTTTGGCCATCCATCTCACTGGATGGTGCTTACCAGACTGTCGAATTCTTAAACTTTGTGAAGAAAAGACCATTTTTCAAGCATATCAAATACGGCAGATAACATTTCTAAATAAAAATATTTAATTTTTTTCTATGTATTCTAATCAACAATCTCCAAATTTATTTAAAAGATTCCTATTAGGACCATTAAGACAATTTAATTGTCTTGAACTGTTTTTAGGGAATTGAATTCTACATCAATTTTATACTAAATTTATTGTTTTATATCTTCAGTCATTTGACAAATAAAATTAAATAATCTTAAAAAATCAGTTTTGCTAAATACATGAAATAGTTTGTATTTTACAATTTTTTTTGAGAAAAACAGATTTTACAGTAAATTGTATAATATTAAATTATATAGATATTAAGAAGAGCTACCAAAAAATTGTACATCATTTTATAATCAGTGATATATTTATTTAATTATTTGCGAAAAACCACAAAACTACCCTATTTCATCATTTTCAACCTTCTTTGAGCACAAGAAGAGGGCAAATTATCATTAATTTTACACAAAATAGGGTGTCGGTCATCATAAATAATGTTCAAAATTAAATACCACCTTAATCTAATTTGAAAAACCTTCCCCGTTTTATACGGGTCCAGGGTCCTAAGATCGATGAGTGGTACTTTTTATTCATGATAATTTAAAAAACATTAACATACTTCTACATATTCACAATGACCAGCAATTTCTATGATAATTCTGCCAGTTCTAACGGGAGTAACATAATGATCTATACTTCCTTTACCGCCACCCATCCGCTGACCTTGACCCTATAAGAATATTACTGGGTTAAAGAAATGTTCTCAAATGTTTAATTATTTATGTAATAAAACAAACCTTTTTAGTAACAGCTTGCCATGGTGAATCGATTCTCCAAATAGCAAACATTCTGGACCAATCTAATTTTCTAAGTAAACCCATACGAATTACTTCAAAATGAATATATCTCATTCGGCCTCCACCTGTAGCCTATATTAATAATCAAGCATTTTGTATATTTATTAAAAAAACATGAAAAAAAAAAAATGATTTAATACTTCAAAAATTACATAGTTCATTAATGAACTATTTTTAAAATACTCAATTAGGTAACCTAAATAATAAATAATATTAGTAATATTACAAATGTGTATACCTGAATACCATACTGTTTATGAATGAGTTTGTTATGAACCAATTCAGGACCCCTCATCAAATTGAGCATTTTATGCATTTTTGGTGGCCTGAGTTGAGAGTTACTATAATTTGGTACCCTATCAATGTAATGTAGTTTAGGTCTTTCAGGTATCTCAATATCTGAACAAATTATAGGCAAATTAATACAACTCTTAAATTATTCAATAGGTAAGTATCAAATGTTCTTACGGTCATATATAATTGGAGGTTTAAAATTCTTAAGACCTCGGACATTATTGATTTGCGGTAGTAGTGCAGTGGTGTCACCTAGAATATAATATATAATATTTACCAGTGTCTCACAAATCAGTGTTTTCAAAATTATTTGTATCCAAAATTTCTACTAATACTAGCAAATATAAGCTCAGGTCTTTTTATCGTACCCATGAATTATAAAAATATGATTAACACCCAAACGGGCATCCTCTTGAACATGATGATCAAGTGAAAGACTTTAGCCCGTTCTCATCAATGTAAACATTGATATGTAAATGGAGTTTATAAGAAAATTGACCAATTGTGATCGGTTATCAGCTATAAACTCAGTTTAAGAATCAGATAAACGCTTTTTTTTTTACATTGATGAGAACGGCCCTTAGGCTTTCTTAACATTTCTTCACTTGATTTTCGACAACATTGATTACATTGCATGCAAGGTGTTGAGAATTGTTGAATTCATTAGGCGATACTCTTCCACTCTCATGCGTAGGTACATTTCTTCACTATACAACACCTTGGTCACATCACTACTTGAATATGGTGCTGTCGTCTAGGCCACCCAAGTAACATGCAGCGACTTGATAAAGTCCAGAACCGCTTTTTCAACTTACTGGTAATGCCTAAATACCGACCATCCACCACATAATTAAAATCCACTTAGTGGAATACTCATGCTCAAACCATTATCTGAAGATCGCATTTTTCAGTTTTTAAGGATGAAAATACAAATTCTATTTCTCTCTACATGTGCCCTTCTGACAGAAAACCATATTGGAAAAATATTATCAATTCACACTATGGGACACTGTTACATACATAATGTATAATAAATCAAATAAACATTAAATAAAAACAAATTCTTTAACATTAAGTACTTACATTTGGTTAATTGATTTGTTGCTTCTCGATAGGGTCTCAACATTTTCAGTAACGCCATTTTCAAAAGTAGAATTAGTGAGTACAAACGTCTAAGCTTTAAGCCGGGTTCACACTACCCCGTGTCGTGTATTTTACCCAACCGTGTACTTTTAAAAACATAATACCACTCTATACAAAGATAATATATCTATTTTCTATCACTATGTACCACAATTAAAGATTAAAGATAACCTATCTTTAATCGTACAATATACCACTTGTTATCAAAACTTGGTTAAAAAACTAGGCGGGATTTTGTTATCAGACATTAAATATTTAAACATAATGAAATGTACATTATTAATTATATGTACTACATTATTTTTAATTATATGCATATTATTATACAAAATGGATAAACAACTTTTAAAAGGAAATTATTTGGAATATTTAGGCATTGTGAATGAATATGATAACTATATACACAAAAGGCAATTGTGCATTATTTCTTGTTGTATAATATATCTTTCGGAAAATATGAAATCAGAGAGAATGTATAAAAAGAAAACGAGAGAAAAGCTTAATACTGATTAATTAACATATATGTACATATTCGGATGGAATGTACAGCCAATGCTGTGTGAATTTTTCAAATCTTGACCATTTTAACACAATGTTAAGAGAGAATCAGCTTTCAAACTCTTTTTTTATTTTTCAATTTTACGAGAATGTCATCCTCTACTTTTGAAGAGCTCATAATAATAGTTGATCCTAGTCTTCGACGTTCACCTTCAAGGCCTGATATTTTATATGTTGGAGAAATTATTGGGAGCCACGTTAAGGTTAATTTTTATGATGCTAATTGAGTTTTAATAATTCGTTTTTGATGTAAAAAAAGTTTTACAATGTTACTTATATTTTCTTAAATACAGATATTTGGCCACTGATGTAAGTATGGTTGATAATCAACCGGTTGATATTATGTTCAACTTTCGAATTGGTAAATCGACAATTTCTAAGTTGATATTTGATTGTTGTGATGTTATTTGAAATAAATTAAAAGATGAAATAATCATAAAAAAAATCAGTTTTATATTATAATGAGTACATATTTTAGGTATTATTTAAACCTAATATAGACGGCTGGTTGAACATTGCTAAAGAATTTGAATCTAAATGGCAAATGCCGCATTGCGTTGGAGCTTTAGATGGGAAACACATAGTACATTAAATATTTAATTATCTGAAAATCGGGATAATCTATTTTAACGGTATGCCATGTCTTTTAAGCTTTCGCGAGGAGTGGTTACTTAAATTTGAATTATAAAGGGAGAAACAGCACCATTCTTATAGCACTATATGACACTAATTGTAATTTTACCTGTATAAATATCGGAATGCCTGGTAGATATAGTGATGGTGTTACACCGGTTTGTACCAATGCATTTCTTGATTCACGGCATATATACTTATAATACTACTATTTGATTACAGTTTGAATTTATTACAAGATATAATTTTAAAAATAATAAACTATTTATTAATAAACCATTGTTAACGAAAAACGATTCCGAGCGTAGCTCTGCTATACATTTGTTGAAAGGACTCCATTTTTACGGTTTTATTAAAAATTTGATTTTACATCGCTTGAAAAATAAAAAAACTAATTTCAGTTTTACGTGTTTTAAAATAATGTAATATTATGATTTTCTTAAAGCGCTTATGAAAAAAAACTACACTCAACTTTTTCTGTTTAACCACCAAAGTTATACCTATTGATAAATTATAATGATACCTGAATTGAATTTTAGATTCTGAGTGTAGCGAAGAATGTATTGGTTTTACAAAGATGTTTATTTATTTTATTTTTTTATACTGTGTACAAAATTTTTACTGGAAATTTTGCTCCAAAGTATCAAATAAAACTTTTCAGAAAGGGAATTTTCCTGGAGTAGTACTTTAAGGGGGTAATTTTTTGATTTTTATGAAATAAAAATTTATTTGATCTTGAATGATCAAGTCTTGAGATATTAACATCTATATCAAGATTAATAATATTTGGCAACGTCGTAGATGTCACCCACATAATTGGTAGGCAATAGCAACTCATCTACTCCCACTTGCTACTCCACAAATACTCTTATGGTTCATAGCAACAGTGTATAAAAATGGTCACCTAATATCAATATTGCATGAAATATAATCAATACTAATATTTTAATATGTTGATTACTTTCCTCTTTTTTATATATTGATTCTAATTATGTTACCTTAAAGAAGAGGTTCCCAATCTATGGTCCACAAGACATTGTGCGGTGGTCCACGAGCAATATCTAGAAACTCTAGAAATATTTCATTGTTCCTTAGTGACGTAACACAAATGCCGACAATTGTGTATAGTAAACTTTACAACTTTAAACTTAAAGATGAAATTTATCGGTATTTCCAAGAATTTAATGGTTATGAAACGAAAGGTAACCAAAGTATGATTCAAAACCCCTTTATTGATAACGTCGATGAGGTACCTGATAATAACCTGGAAAATTTGATAGTTACAAAATTATTACAAATTTACTACGGAACATACAATAAGTACTTATGCAATATAGTGAACAGAATGTTTCGATTTGTCGAGAAACGTTTACATATAACATAAGGTATATATTTTGGATATAATCAGTGGGTAGGATAGTCGTTTTATCAATTGTTCGTATAGATTTCTTAAAAAAAAAATTGGCAAATCCAAGGAAAAAAGTATGTTTTAAAACTGTAAGGATATGTTTGAATCTTACATGCATATCGAAGAGTTTTGGTGTAAAAAAGCAATTACGTATCCTGAGCATTGGGAAATCACATTAAGATATTTAGTAATATTTTCAACAAATTATTTGTGCGAACAAGGATTTTCCAGACTACTCTGTATTAAAAATAAACAAATAAACCGGTTGGACGCCTCTAAAGACATGTATGTAGCTTTGAGCAGAATTCCTTCAAAAATATCTGTTATTAAAGGAAATTCAAGCTCAAAATTCGCATTGAATTGTTTTTATAATAGTAATTTGCATTGAATTTTTGATAATTTTAAACTTTACTTAATATTGATTAATTATAAATATTATTGTAAGGAAAAACCTATAAGGAATTTCATTGATTTTATTCATAATCTAAATTCTAAAATATGTTAAAATAATTGATTCTTGTTTATAAGAAAAATAAGGTCTAAAATTGAGGTGGTCCAAGATGTATCGAAAGTTCTCTGGCTGGTCCAGTGTCAGAAAGGTTGGGAACCACTGCCTTAAAGTAATAATTCTAGGAAGTTTCAAAAAAAAAAAAAAAAATGGTTTTTAAGTAAACAATTGCACAATTTATTTATTCCACAGCGGAAAAACAATTAAATATTATAAATAGTTAAAAAATAATTATTTGCTGTTATAATTTGGTTAATTTTAGAGTTACAAATAAGTGGCTCAATGGTATTCTCAATTACTTATTATGTTAAGTTTTAATTACACGTTACATAAAAAAAATATATCGAAGAAGTAAATAATACAATATTGGCACTTGTAATAATAATTTTAAAGTAAATTCATTAACTGTTGCTATTATCATAGAGATTATTTACATTAAATAAATATTATAAATATATATAAAAAAAATACAATAAATAACAATATTACATTGCTGGATCGCATACATATATGTGTATAGACAAACGGCATAACAAAGTATCAAGATTATTTTTAATTTATTTTTTTCGTTAAATGGCACTTGAATATTATAAATCTCATCAACAAATGCATATTAATCCGTCTATATGAAAAAAACACATGTAAAATCGAAAAAGTGACTGGCAATTATTAATACATAATAATAATATATAAATTATATATAATAATAATAATAATAATAATAATAATAAAAAAAAAAAATTAAAACTTTCACGGGAGACGATTAATAACAAAATATAAATTACATACTTAGGCGGTAAGAAAACGGAATTTGAAAGAAAACAAAAAAAAAATTATATAATGTGTAAAAAATAATAATACTCTTATTAAAAAAAAAAAAAAAAAAAAACACACACACACGAGACAGGATTAATTATAAGAGATTAATCAACGTTTGTTTGATTATAGTAAATATTAAATAATAACATTGATTACGGGGTTAAACGTCAATTATATTATTATATTACGTATAAATATATATATGTTCGTTTGTTCCGGCGGTTATTTTTCTAGAGCCGGAACGGTTCCCGGGTGTCCGGTTTGGAGTTTCTGCGTTTCGTTTCGGACGCGTTGGACGGTTTTCTCGCCAAACTGGAAGATGAAGTGGCCGCGACCAACGGCGACTGCATCCTGTTTGATTAAAAAAAACAAAAAAAAAAACGAAAAGTGTATTATTAGAAAAATCGTTTCATTTCACGATCGATTATTATCAAGCCGTGCTGTGTGGCGAGAGACGGTGACACGGTCGCGTCACTAGGTGCGCTAGTTCGATCGAGATTTTCCAACGGACCCGTATTCTCCGTACGTCATAACCCCGGTTATGTTAGACCAACATTTTCATTTTCATTTCCTCTAAATCCCACAACAATCGGCAGAGATCTAGCAATATCACCACGACGTCCGAATCTCGGGAGGGGACGGGGTGGGAGATCCGTCCAGTTAACCATTTTAAATGCATCCGTGGTGCATAATTGAAACGCAGAACTGTCATATTATTTACGGGCAGGGTCGGACTAGGCCGAAGTACGAACTATTGCTCGGCACGTTGGCTCAGTTATTGAATCGGGCCAATACTGCCGGCGATAACAACAATGTCATTATTCAAGACATCCAACAGATTTCATAACGTTTTAATATTTAAAAGTGGAAAATAGTAGAAAACGCTATTTGTGTTGTTCATTATAGGTCATCAGACTGTTTTTTTTTTGCAATCAGCAATACCTTTCTAACTAGGTATCATTTTCGGATTACATACTTTTCTCGTGATGCATATTGGGTTAGATCGATTGTAAATCAGTAATAGCGGCGTACTTCAAGCCTCCATTTTTTCTACGGGAAGGTATAAAACTTGGAAATTAGATAAAAGGATTTTAAGTTGGCGAAAAATAATTACCATGCGCCACGTGTTCACGTCTCGAAAGTTTCGCGGGAGGGAGAATGTCGGTAACCCTACTCTACCTCCTGTGGCTTATTAAACCCAGTAATTGGGCCGGTCGGACGTTGAGTGCGATTGACCGAAAATCAACTGACCCGGAACCGTATACGTATATGGGAATTGTTACACACGTCGTACAAGTGGCCGTGGATTGCCGATTCCAAAGCGCAATAATTACATTAATCGTCACCGGTGGCGTGCCCCTGGAAACATTGAACGGGATGGAGGGAGGGGGGGGGTAGATGTAGTAAATTGCACTCATGAATACATCGTAGAATCGTTTTCTATAATACACTATATCTAACCAGACAACGGAAATGTATAATTAGCCGGAACAAAAAGAGCCGATTTTCATTCGTTATTCGGTAAAAATCAGACATTCATAGTTGTTGTGTTTTTAAAGCAATGTGGAGGGGGTGGGAGATACAACCCTCAATCTCCCGTCTCTTGCGCACGCCACTGATACCGTTGTACTGGCATAACCGGGTTTTAATCGTTGAAAATCTCGACCGTTAATTTAAGAACGATGACGCAACCAAAGACGAACAATAAAGCGACAACGCGTGGATGGGTTTAGCACAATACCGGGTACTCGACACAACATGCGTTCCAAAAGACGGCAATAAGGTTCGATCGCAGAAAAGCCGGTCAAACTACGCAAGTAGGTTTATAGACATGGCAGTTTCGTTTCACTCGGAAGTGATATGATAATTTATTAATACATCTATATTACATACATACAATAGTACAAAATGTTATGTCTAGATAGAAAAATACGTATACGGAAATTGGTCTACTATTAATTTAAGGAACGGATTTGTATATGCACTTAAAATCCACAAAAAAGCGCGTAAAAATATTTAAAAATCCCCCCCCCCCCTTTTAACTTATTAAATCAAATTTTTTAAAATTTAATTGTTGTACGTATTATTATATATGAAAAAAAAATTGAAATATTTTTTTTTTTGAGTTTTTTTTTTTGTGCGTTTCTAAGCGATAATTTTTGGTAGTTTTTAAGTGCATATAAACCCGTTCTCCAATTATTATTAGTATTAGGAATGTACAAGTCAATACCGCGATACTAAAGACAGTACAAAATATCGAAATCGATGTCATAATTTTCGATATCGATTTCGACGTTTTAAAATGACAAGTGATAACGTGATAATCACTACGTCGCAGTTAGATTGATTGTAGACTAAATAAATTAGCATACATTTTTTTTTTTTTTTTTATTGTGCACGATAAGACATTATAGTGTATTAGCGGTACATCTAAAGTTTAATTAGTATTTTATTGTTACGAGGATAAATAACATTAATGGTTTCTTAGTCGCAGGTATTGGTATCGATCGTACACACGGTTTTGGCGTTCATGTCCATCTCTAATGTTATTGCGTTTACATGATAATAATATGTACACAAGCGCGTGCAGGAAGACGCGGTAAACAATAATAACGCGTGTTACAACAAGCGACAATCACAAAAAAAAAAGGGGCGGGGAGGGGAAGCAAAACAGGATATGACACATATAGCGCAAACGGAACACGCACGTATATATACATATTAAAGGGCGGACGTTCGCGCCAGATAATTGGCAATATCGTGAGGTTTTTTTTATATATATATATTCCGATGGTTTCGTATATAGCAAAACGAAAAAGGAAAAAAAAAACTAATGTACGTTTCGTAATTCCGCCCTTTAAGAATGCGTTACGATTTTTGATTTGTTGCGTTTTACCCGGAAGACGGCGTCGACGACAGTGGCGACGACGACAACGTGGGCATTGTCGAGTCCCGGGAGAAGTTACACGGTCCCGCGGGAACGGGTATTCTCGAACCCGGGTGTTGGTTACGGCTGTATAATGCAATAGTGTACCGTCCGAGACCGGACGAAACAAACAGAATTGGTGAGTAATAAAATATAATACAAACAAATAATAACGCTAATAATAATAACAATAATATCAGTATCAAAAAAAAAAAAAAACGATAATATTATAGTGGCGATCGGTCGGGTGATGAAAACAAAACGCGTTGGGGCGGAACTGCGCCTGCGGCGGGGGCGTATTTTCATAACGGTGTTGTATTCTGATCGGCCGGTCGAGATTGGCGTACGCCGAGAAACGGCGCGAGGACAATAATAGACGGGCGCGAGTTAAAGGTGTACACAGGACGGAAACGCGAGGAAAAAAAAATTCCTTACAAAGAGATGGAAGGAAAAACAAACAAACGGGGAGACGGATATCGATTGTGGAGCGGACGGAGAGAACGAGAATATAGCGCGACGATGGGATTTGCGAGCGAATATCAAAGTGTATGCGGACTCGATCAGAAATTACTGTCGGTTTCGACGCCCCCGGGACGGTTTTCCGGCCGTATTGTCGACTCGACAATAATAATGCAATATTATAATGTTTATAACGAGTTATTTGTTTTCCAAACCCGAGTGTTACGCTACCGTTCGGTTATCTCGCGGGAATTTAGAATACTTTCGAACGAATCCGATTGAGCAGTAGAGAAGGAGAAGAAAAAAACCGCCCGCTCGATACGTTTTTTTTTTTTTTTTTTTCTAAACTTTGGAACGCCTTCAGTATATTATTCTAGGCACGGTTTGTTTGTCGAATTTAAATAGACGCGAATGACGTATGTTGACACGTCGACTATCTTCAATGGTCAATTTAACAATACGTAGGTGCATCTTATTCAAAATTGTATTACGGTATAAATCCGTGCTCGAAAAAATATAAACACGTTGCCCATCACCGCGATACGTAATATGATAATATTATGTAGGAATACATAATTTTAAGTATAAAATATGTGATTCGTAAAGAACGCCGGATGTGAACTGCTCGCCGTTTTTTATTATTATTTTTTTTTTCTTTTATATGTTTGCCGTCATTGAGGTTTTGAGTTGACGAGCGTTTTTGTCGCCATTACCGTTCGTCGTTTGTGTTGTAATAAATTACTCGTGGTAAAGTACACGCGAAACAGATTTCGTTGCGAGGAAACCGGCTCAAAACACCCGTGACTCGACTGCCCCTCGCGACTTTTTCCTACGGGCTGGCAGGTTTATCCAGGCACAAACCGCGAAATGGAACTCAAACAACAGAATCGACGGGTCACGAACGAACTTAACCGGAAAACGTGTGAATGGGTCGCGGTGAATTGAGGGGTGGGTGGTTCGCGTTTAAACCGTATAAGATGTCGCGAATAGCGTATTCATTATAGATACTGATATAATACGTGTTTTTCGCCTTTGAACAGATCAAACGGATGCGATGTGTGGCTAGACGGCGACTTTAAATCCGGCGTTCTTTACGATCCACCCTGCAGTATTATTAATTATGACGTAAAGTGTAAACAGAACATGCTCAAAAGATATTATCACTAAAATATTACAAATAAAATAATATATACGATATATATATATATGTATGAATGATATAAAACGGTTAAAATGTTAGTTACCTAGAACTTGAGTTAGACAACGTAGGTATACTCGACGACCTGTGCATTGACAGGGACCTGAATATAATTGTATAATAAATATAAATTCATTAACAAAGTTAGTCGGAGTTATAGGCGGTTCTGATGAATGTAATATTATTACGGTATATTGTTTATTATTAATATCGAAAAACGATAAGAGATTAAAAATAATAACAATAATTTATGGCACGCAATCGTTACCTGGCGGAAGAAGTCGAAGATTGGTTGCCCAACGTGGACGGCGACCGCAATCCCCTACCGGAGACGGTAGTTTGTCCGTTCAGCGTGGTTTTTCGGGCGGCGGACGCGGGCGTCTTACCGGGCGTTAGTCTCGGTATGCGGCTAGGCGTAGCCGAGTCTGAAACAGCAGTAAGTATAATATTATTGCAGCATGGGTGTATTAAATCGCAATAATTGCAATCGCTATTAAGGTACCTAAGCGATGAGGTTATGAAAACGCCTAAATAACACCGTTGAAAAACACGACCACCATCCTTTCCCCCCCCCCTCCAAAAAAAAGGAAAAATTCTACACACGGAAAAGCCGCAAAAAAATACAAAATAAAAATATCGCCCACAACAGTAGTGTAAGTTTTTATGTGTCAGAGCCGGGGTGACGGGCCGAGATAATAAAAATAAAGAAATTATCGAAAACCTATACGCGTAGACAATCATGATTGACTATCTTGAAATATTGAATGAAAAAATACCTACTATGGTAAAATGATATTCACGAGAACAAAAATGCTTGCGATAATATTTCGAACGGTCTAAATTGAAATTAATTTAAATTTTAACTATCGATTCGTATCTAAATAAAACAAAATCGCCGTATAATGCAAAACGAAAATGTCATTTTTGAAATATCTGTTAAACAAATCAAATTTATATGAACTCGGAAATCATTGTTTAAGACCAAACCCCATAACAGATGCACTTGGCATTGAAATCCGGCAAAAAGAGCACAATTTTTTAAATTATTTTTTTAAACCCCGTTCAAAACGTAGTTTTTTCAGTTATAAAATACCAATCGTAAAAAAAAAGAACGTGTAACGTGGAATAAAATAAATTATGTAAGTACTCGGTAACGTTGGTTCGCACTTTTTCTGAATTTTATTTTTTTTTCGCTATTTTTAATAGAAATTATAGGAGCTTTAATAAATTCAAACCATTTTTCTATAGTTTTCTTAAAAAAAAAAAACTAATGTTAAAACCAAGAAATTGAATATGTCGGAGTGGATATAAAACCAGAGGTTAGAAGTAGCACAGCTGCGCTGTAGCGTGCTATCTTTTTTGTAGCGATACTGGTAGCGGTTTTATTTTGTAAAGTACCTAACGTACTTTGAGTGCTTTGATTATTATCAAAATAAAATTGCGAATTTAATAAAATATTTAACTATAGCATGTTTTTTTCTTACCGATAACTTCAAATATAAAAAATGTATTTGTATATATTGTATGGAATCAATATTTAGTGTATTGTATTCTAATAAGATTGACAATAATATAAAAGTTCCCTTTTATAACTAGACTTTTTTTTTTTCTAGAATTGTAGCCATAGCGGTAGCGTACTACACTGAACGTAGTGATTTTAAATCACTGTAAAAACTTATCTATAGCAGTTATTTCTTAAGTAATTTTTAGAGCTTTGGGGACTTTTTTTTTAAACGCTTGTCGTCATCAATACACAGTTTTCTGTGATGCCGGAACACATTACAATATATTATCATCGATGTACTCACCAGTACTGTCCAGCGACAGGTTGGAACCGTGTCGGCTTGGAGGTTTGCTTCCTTGGCGACTCTGCGGCCTGCTTCCCGGTCGGCTGGCCGGCAGGCTTCCGGTAAGTCCGGCACTCGACCTTCTGGTGGCCGGCGTGGCCGGTGCGGACGGTTTGCGGACCGGCGTTCTCGAGTATGGCGAAGATTCGTTGTCGCTAAGAGAGTCTGGCGTTCCGGCGGTGCGGTTCACACCCATCTTGCCCATCGGCACGCTTCGAGCACTGCGTTCGCGGACCTACACACGATTAGTCGACGTTAGTGACAATGTATAAAAAAAAAAAAATTACAAATAGGACTTAAATTTAACCGAATAACGCGTATTATTGTACATTAAACGTGTACGTGCGGCGGCGACGGTTATAGCTGTTATATAATATAATAATAATATTTGGAGAGGTTGCAGCGATTATGTATGATGAATGTGTGAGTGTTGGTAAATTGGAAGTAGAAGAAAATATGATAGTGTCAGATAGAATTTTAGGAACGAATACGAAGTAGACTATGAGCAACGTGGAATACATAACATGGGAACTGCGGGATAAGAAATTCTCATTGAGAACAGATTCAAGATGGTATGAACATGATCATTTGGGACAAGGAAAATAGACGAGTAATTAAAAAAATTTAAGTTAACCGGAGGAAAACAGGCCAAACAAAAGTGGCATAGTGGCATAGTTAACTAATAAACATATAGTGGCTATATTAAGGAAAGACTTGAGGAGGCGTACGGATTCGATAAAATGAAATGGTGATGAATATAACAGGGAGATGAAGAAGCCGAGAAAAAGAATAGCTTTCGAAAAATCGGTATATTTAAAAAAAAAAAATTAGATTCTGAGCATAGCGATAAGAAGCTATTAGATATTTTACTAATGAGATGCGTGGTTCTTTTTTTATTCTCTCAGGAAATTCTTTTTCCGTTATTAAAACACGTTGCAAATTATTCGCATTGTACCTTAATAATATGCGGATTTTTCGCTCGGTAATATTGTAATTGAAAAAAAATCTCGATTTTCTCCGCAGTTTTGTTAATTTTTTTTAAAAAAGTGACAGCAAATGTCACACAGTCATCGATACATCAGTATTATTTTATGCACTGATTTCTGGGTTACCTTGGCTACAAGGGGAAAAATCACGACTAATATTACTATTATACTCCACGCTCAGAACCATTACTAATAGAAACGATTTATATCCTTGCTTTCAATATATAAGTAAAAATACCCCGTGTGTCTTATACCTTCCGAACTTTCCATCTGCTACAGTGTGGCCTACCCATTGTGCAAAGTACGTCCGACTTTTTAAACATTATACAAAAAATGTGTATATACACTCATTATTTCGTCATGATAAAATGTTTAATGATGGTGCGAGTGCGCATTTCCATTATTTGTCCGCCGAATTACACCACAATTACGACGTAAAGGCATATCGCCGCCGCCGCCGTCGCGAATAAAATATATTACAAATTAATAATATTTATATAAAAAAAAGAAAAAAAAAAAAAAAAAAATGCTCTCACGCAATTTTTAATTTTTTTTTTTTGACAATTTACCCAAAACGTGTGCGTTTGCCTGCTGGGGCCCATCGCAAGAGGATACGAACACGGCAAGGACTCTCGTTGTCTTAAGCTCTCGAATATCGGCATCAACTCTCTCATAAACTCTTCGGCTGTTTGTTTTTTTTTTCAAATTTAAAAACATATTTTCAATTTACTACATCGTTTACACGGTCTCATCATATATGCTCTCTCCCAAAGTGCCTCGACGTAACCAAAAGAGCGTTTCGCATAATATATAATACATTAACGATTATAATAAACCATTTTTTTTTTTTTCAAATTTTTATTTAAAACCCTTGAGAACTTTTTCATTTTGTTTTATCTCCGCCTTTGCTATATATTTGCAGTTATAATATTTAGGTATAATAAAATAATCATAGCGCTCTACAAACCACAAGCCGACAGAAGTTCAGAAGTAGAGGAGCTCGCGCGCCATCAATATACAATGTGTATAATGTGTATAAAACAACTACTAATAATATTATGTATAATATGTTACATTATATATATATACGACTACTTAATATATAACTACGTAACGCAGTCGGTAAACAAAACAAAAACAAAAAAAAAAAACAGCGGCAGCAAAAAAAAAAAAAAAAAACCAAAGCCATTTTCACACACGACAATATTATAATGTCTTATACACGATGCAATTATTATGCTTATAATGCTGGGAGGCGAAAACAACAAACACAGGAGTGTAGTAAAATCCGTGCTTTCTTACTTGGATGTATAATATATTACATTATACAGACTCGTTATATTGTAATATAATATATAATAATATACTTTAGAGGTACGTAGTTATATTCGTCACGTATTATAGTCATTTTACCTTGGTGATGGGTCCGGCCGTAGACACAGACCGCTGTTGCTGTTGTGCGTTGTGTTTCGGTTTGAATGCAGACATGCTCTGTGACACGCCGTCGGCCAGTATGAACTGCTCGCGGAGCTCGATGTTTGTGCGTCCTTTGGCTGTGAGTGCGTAATAAAGGAAATGAAAAGGTGTGATGAGAAGGAGAAAATGTTTAACGAAAAAAAAAAAACGAAAAAAAAAAAACAAAAAAAAAAAAAAAAAAACACAAACACATTGCAATTAAAAAGTGAACAAAAATAAAATAATAATAATAATAAATAATAATATTTTTAAATAATATATTGTAATGGAATTAAAAATTTAAATTAACCAGAAAAAAAACATTAGTGTGTGACTAAAATATATTATTATTAAAGCCAAACCGGATTAGTGTCCTCACGCCGAGTTAGGCATTCAGCGTATTATCAATTATATTATTTAAATATTAATTAATTATTTAGCATGCTGGTGTGAGCGGTTACAATATACTTTGCAGAAAAAGAGCATAATATGGAAAAATCACCTGTTGCATAGGTGAAACTACTCGACATAGACTTCTGGGCCCAATATATTTTTTTTTTTTTAATAGTTTTGTTGGAAGGGAAATTCAAACATTTCATTTTTGGACTAGAGTTATACAAAGGTTTACAGGCAACTTTAGGCTAGTGGGGGGAGCTCTATGAATTATTTTTCATGTTTTCCCTTGTCTCTCTCCTCTAGATATCCATCTGGTACTGTTTTTCTATATATCATATCGAACTATATTCATTTAGATCTACTACTTCTTATTTATATTTCACATACAAATCTATTCTTACAGTCTCTGACTCATCCCTCCTCACTGCATGTTTGAACCATTTCTGCGATTTATTCTCTTTTATCTTATCACCTAGCACAATGACACACCACTTTACGCTACCGACTTTACAATTGCATTCCTTATTCTGTTTTCTTAATAGTATGTAACACATAAGTGGAAGTAGACATATACATTTAAATATTATCTTTCTATTGCATTATCATAATGTACTATCTTTCCATTCGCTGCCAAACATTTGGTATTTATATAACAGTATATAACAGTATAATTTTATAGTAAATTTATTTATTTTTTGGCTTTCAGGTTAGGGTAGTAAAATTTCCTTAAAACAAAAAAAAAAACCTGCCTAGAAAATGAGGGGAGAGGGAGCATCTAAGCAGGTTTACAAGACATCCATGTGTGCATAGTTTCACCTACATATTAGACATAAGGAGAATATGGAATTTGGGAATAGGAAAAAGTAGCAGTGAACTCGTTATCAGCATCCATGCGATACAGCAGCACGAAACTCAACAACAAAACTGCAGGCATTGCTCACAAAATGCAGCTTGGTTTGATAAAACACTACAAAAAGTTCAGCAACAATCGCAATGCTTTATGCGGCAAAAAAAAAAAAAAACTAAAGACTACTGTAGTTCACACGTAAACTACAGAAAAAAATTACAGTGCGCAAATATGTGTTCACACAGGATCGTAGCTAAATGGTTCTTAATTTTCATAATAATAATACAACACCGTGTGTGTGTGTATCTAACGACGACCGCGTCATACCTTTTTGGTCGTTGAAGAAGGCTTATAAAGAGTATACGGTATTAGATACCGCCGAGAAATACAAAACAAAACGCAAACCCCTAAACAAATACCACGTGCAGAGAAAAAAATTTTTTTTTGAAAAAAACCAATGAAACGACATATTATTATAATAGCGATCATACAATTCAATTGGATTAGGCTGTAAGGACACCACGGTTCGTGTTCTTCGGGCACGAATGGGTTGGGCATCGGCAACATTTCAACTAAACTCAATCAAAAAATAAAAACAAAAATAAAAACCGAAAAAAAATAATACGAAAATGATATTTTGAGAATACAGGAAACAACGGTGGACAAGGATAAAACAAAAACAAAAAATGAAAAATTGAAAAATCAATAAAAAACAACAGTATATCTGCATATGTTAATTACGTACTTTGGAAATTAAAATCCTTAGATGTTAATAACAATATAATATACACATGCGTTTGAATAGGTAGTAATAATAATATGGTATAAAATAATTATTATTATTATAGTTTAATAATTATGATTTCAATTTACTTTCTCAAGAGTTTGTTTTTAATTATTATTATTTATAGTATAATATATAGGCATTATGTTATGTATTTAACATTTGCTTTCTTTTGGTTAACCGCGTTTATATCTGTTTACCCTTGTACAAACGAGGCACTGGTTAAGAGATACTAAAATAAACAGTAAAATTAACTTATTTATTAGTAAATATTATAAGTCATTTATGTCTGACCAAAATTTACCCGGCCATCGGTTAAAATTTATTTTAATTATCATTAATCCTTTTTTTAAGTACAGTAAAATGTGGTAAACAATAAACATACCTCTGCATGGATCATTTTTAACCAGAAATTCGTCGAGGGCAACCCAACCGCCACCAACACGAACCATAACGGTTGATCGCAGTATTCGGACTAAACGTAGTTTCTGACTATCACCAAACTATATAAAAAAGAGAGCAAAAAAATTAGCATCCTTTTTATAAAACAGTTTATTGTAAAATTACTCTATATTTTCCTTCTCCAACTTGGAACACTCTAAACTTCTGTCTACATGTACACAACATCACCAGTCTTTTGACTTCGTCATGAATTTTTTCGGCTTCAGTATCTACCGGTTTCTTTTCTTCCCAGTCTGGCCGTAATGCAGCAATAAACTTTTTCCAATCAATTAAACCAAGTTTATCTTCATCAAACATGTCAGCCACAGCATTCATTTCTAATTTGCTGGTATCAAATTCTAAACATATTTGTTAGTGTAAATTTTCATTAGTATTATTTTCATATTAGTACAGCAGTTATTAAACTGTGGTCCACAGCCCCTTGGACGACCACAATATTCATGTTGACTTGTCCGCGGTGGCTCTATCAGTAAATATTGATTGTAATATGAGATATTTTGTAAAAAGAGGTATTGGTAGGGAGGGAATCTGGAAGTTTTTTGTCAGGGGTCCATGTGCACCAAAAGTTTAAGAACTGCTGTGCTAGTACATTAGTATAGTAATCGTGCCAATATGATTGAATCTGTAAATGTTTACTTGGGAAACCTAAAACTTACTAGTTTTCATGATTCCGTCAATAAAGTCCTCTCTGGGTATAAGACCATCATTGTTCTTGTCCATTTTCCGGAACAGGTCAGTTAGTCGAGATTTCTTATGATTCATGAACTTTAAGAACTATAAAAATAAATTAATGATCATGATTAAATACAATTTTTAAGGAAGAGTGTATTATATAATATATCTTTTATTTAATTATTCTAATAAAATTATATCAAACAAAAAACTGTTTATAATTTTACAATATTAATTTATAAAAATGATATTTATTAGATTTTACAAGGTTTTTATTATAAATGATATATATTTTAAACATTAAAATATACACATACTCGTTTTCTCCACAAATCCCATGAAAAGTTTCGGACTTTTTCAACTTCCCTCAAGTAGTTCAAATGTTCCTGAAGTCGACGTTGACGTTCCCAAGCCATCAACCACACATTATGCCATTTGTCCCAAAGTTGTCGTGAACGCGAATTACGTAATAAAGGCTCTTCCACTTTACTACTCATAATAAAAAGAGAAAAAAAATCCCAATATTATACAAAAATTAATATAATTATGAAAATCATATTTACATACAAATTAAACAAAACACAAACACTAAACTAAGCTGCTAAAAATGTATAAAGAATAGTGACAGAAGAAAGTATTTATACACAACATTAATTAATAAATAATATGTTAATCTTTGACTTTTTGATATACCTTCCTTTGGCTGGGAATCGAGGTCCAATATGTGGTAAATGATCCATAGATTTGTCTCGTGCGATTGTACTACCCCGACTAAACAGAAAAAAAAAATATTATGAAATTATAATTAATAATATAAAAAGCAATGTTATAAAAACAAATTTAAAATTTAAAAATTATAAAAATGTTATATTTAAATTACAATAATTGTATTATTCTCATCAAAATATTACACACATCTTTAAAATTTTGACTACCCCAAGTTATAAAAATGAAATGATATAAAATATATTTCACTAAAATTAAAATTAAAGAAATATGTTTAAAAACAAAAACCATCTATTCTTATTAATCATAAATAGCCATTCTGGATATAGATTGAAGTTAAAGTATTTAATTAGGTATATTAGGTATCTTGTTTGTATTTTAAATTTGTATACAACACAGTGATAAATAGCATGCAATGTGATCAATCCAATATGTAAAAATTAATAGTTCATCACTAACTATAAATATACCAAACAAGTGACAAAATATGCCATGTATATTTTTGTACCAACCTTTGTCTGCGTTGATCAGTCAGATCATATGAGCTGCCAGCCAAGTCCTCTCGGCTGAAAATGTGCAAAAAGTGCAATCTTATAAAGTATATTGATTTTTAGCGTGCAATATTGTGAAAATACATTTTAATATTTTATATTAATCATTAAGCAAACACAAAGTGAAAATATTTTTTAAAACACAATAAGCTTTAAATTAAACAATCATGCAACTGAAAAAAATTTGTTTTTTTCATAACACATAATAACAATATGGTATGTTAAATAATATAATATTGCCATATATTAATATTATGATAACATACCTGATAGCAGATATTTTTTTAGCTGATGGTTTTCTACCCACTGGAGCGGCCGGTTGTTTAGCTTTGCACACAGTATCAACTTCGGTTTGCCTTTTAGCAGTGTTTTCCATGAACTCACGGTGTTCATCAATAAGTTTTTCGACAACTTCAATGCTGTCAGGTAAAGGTTCGTGTTCTAGATCCAATAATTGGTTTTCTAGTCTAGTCAACCAAGAGAATAATTCTTCTAGCAACGAATCTAAGTCCTGAAGAGACTGAAGTTGATCTATCAGTTTTTGTTCTCTCTAAAAAAGAAAAATTAAATTAATTTATTTTTCTTATCGTGCTTTGACAATTATTAATTTATAACAGTTAATATATGTAGTTTAAATGAATATTTTTTTACTTGTTTAGCCCAAGTCCATACTTCTTCCCATCTGGACTGAATTATAGTTATCCAATGTTTGATGACACCAACTGCATCGGGATGAGCTTTTCCCAGAATATCTTGTGCCAGTGTCACGGTTGAGTCTTTTTCATGCTCTTTATCAGACATCTCTTCAATGAACTTTCTGTGTTCATTTAGTTGGTTTCTGGTTTCTTGTTCATTGTCTGGTAATGGTCCAATAAATCTTAATTTCATTTCTGCATCTGATAACCATTCCAATAACAAATGAACAGATTTATGTAACTGTTCAGCCTGAATAAATTAAAAATAATTAATAAAAGTAATAAATGTATTATTTTCATTTAAATTAAAACTATTAACTTGCCTGTTTTAATGCATCTTCAAGTCGTTCGGTGCGTTTATCACACAGGTTACTAGTACGGTTCCATAAACCTTCCAATTCATCTAATTGATTTTGTATAATAACTCGGTCTGCACTATTAGCTTTGGACATTAGATCTCTACCAGTTTGTCTAACAGTTTTCATTTGTTCATAACGTTTAGATAATGTCTCTTCAAACGACTAAAATAAAAACAATAGTTATTATGTATTCAAATAAAAACTAATATCATACAATCAATGTATTCACCTTATGTTGTTCAACTAGAGCCATTACAGTGTCTAAATCTCCATGTACTGGACCCTCATCTGTTAGCCGTTTTTCAGTTTTACGTAACCAATCTAAAAGAGCTTCCATAGCATCTTTAAACTGTCCACTGTATAACAAAGCCTCTTCCAATTTCCTCTGTCTATCAACAGATTTAGTACAAACCATATTCCATTTTTCTTTCAGTTCATTAATCATTTTGTTTAACTGATGTTCATCACTCTTTGGAGCTTTATCTTTCAAAGCTTTACCCATTCTCATTGTAGAATCATAAGTGCTTTGTTTTCCACTCAAGGCACGTTGTACATCTCTGTGTTTAGCCAAACGTTGTTTGATACGTTCTGGATCATTTCCAACACTGGCATCTTGAGTTAACTCATCCAAGTTCTTTTCAGCAGTGGTCAACCATTCCATTAGGCTTGACCATGCTTCGTGGAACTCGCGAGCCTCTTTGTAACCATGATCAAGTGCACGAGTTCTTTCAGCACTTTTTGAAACTACACGTTCAAAGCGATGTTGTACACTAACAAAATAAAAGATAATTGTTATTTTAAACATTTTAACTGTACAAAACATTTTTCAATTCAATTTTACCTAATCAACAAGTTCTTTATGAGTATGACATCTTGTTTTTGTGAGAAGTACTTAAGGTGAGTTCCTTTTTTGTCCAAATGAAGCATAATTTCTCGATGGGAACTAACATCTTTTTGAAAAGTTTTGTGGTCTTCAATTTGTGTTAAAATAGTAGCCAAAATTCGGGAAACTGGTTTTAAATTTGATAAAGTTTTTTCAGCATCAGTTAACCAATCAACAAATGCCTATAACATGATACATTTTTATTTTCACAAATAATATATAATAATGAATTAAATAATTTTAATGAAAATTTTATTAAACATACCTGTAAAGCATTATGGAACTCTGTAGCTTCTTTGAGAGCAATCTCCAATTTGATTTTCTTATCATTAGCTCTAGCAGTCACACTATCCCATCGTTGTTTTAATGTTTTCAAATTCTGTTGAAGATTTCCTGAGCTAGGAGATTTTTTCAAATATTCTTGTCCTTGTGCTAACACGGTTTCCACTTTGGGTCTATTAGATTCTAGTTCATCATATACTTCCATAAAACGTTCCAATTGTTCACTAGCAGTTTCAGGTAAACCACCAACTGGTTTAGATGTAGCTATTACACCGTCAACTTCACCAAGCCATGATAAGAGATCTTGTATTTCTACAGCAAATCTTTGGGCTTCTTGTAATGCGTCTTCCAATTCCAGCTGCCGATCAGCTGCCTTTTGTAATAAATCTTTCCAGCTCTTGTTAAGTAAGTTAAGCTTATCTTGAGTAGTGTTAGCTTCAGCTGATCCTTTTCCATTTTCTATTAATTGTCGACCAGCATCATTTAATGTGTCAACACTTGATTGATGGGCATGGATGTCATTGACCAATACTTTCAATTTAGCGAGTTCTACTTCTAATAACTGAGAATCACCCGCCACAGGTTTTAAATCTTTATCTAATGTTTTATTAGTAGCATCGATCCATGCAAGAAGTTCAGCTAATGCATGATGGAATTGACCTAATTGTAAAAGACTATTTTCTAATTGACGTTGACGTTCTACAATACCCTTCAGCAAATTTTCCCATCTACGGTTTACTTCAGTTAACGGTTGTTTGAGAGCAGCTGCTTGTTCAACTGTAGTCCTTTCAGTGAGTTCTTGAGCTTGCCTTTAAATTATAAATATAATATAGTAATATAATGTTTACATTAATATTATTAAAAATATACAGACAAGTGGTAGCTATATAAGATATTGGAAACTAGTTCTAAGTTCTAACATTATAATCCATTGTATTCTATGCCTAGGCATAACACTATTAACAGTAGTTCATAATATTCTGTAAAGCACCACTTGTCTGTATAGTATAAAACCAATGTTAATATAAATTTATGAACTAGTTTATAGTCATTACCTAGTCAAACTTCTATATAAAAATAAAATCCATAGTAAGCGATTATTAAACATAATATACAATATTAACCAATTTAATAAATATTTTATACTATTTATATGCATTTATACACTATAATAGTATAGTATAGTATAGTATATACCTGTTCAGAGCTTCTACTTTAACCATTTGAGGGTCAATATCAGACTTAAAATTTTTAAGTTCACCGATTTGGTTTTTAACAACCTTGATGTCTGTGCCCAAAGGACCCAAATTTGCAAATCTGCGTTCAGCTCCATCCAAAAATTTAAGTAAATCCTGGAAAAAAAATTAAAAAATTGTTAAATATTATAATAAGTATGCAAACTCACATTCTTTGAATAGAACATTTTTAAGTATCTACACAAATTATACTAAAATATTAGTAAGTTTGTAAGAATATTTAAAAGGCCAAACCAACAACAAAAATTATTTGTTTAAATGGTGATTAAAGATAGAATGTCTCAAATTATTTATCAATTTGTTAACTGAAAATAAAAATAAAACTTTTTTAATAAATATTTTTAATATTATTGTTAACATTGATCATTATTATTTAGTGTAGGCCACGATACTCGGATTTTTTTAAATTTAAATTATTTGTACCAACAACAATAAAACGTATTATAATGCCATTATTATTTAGTTAGTCGGGTCTTTAAAAATATTTATTTGAAGTTGGAAATATATATAAATAATATATATGATTAATACATTATCCTAATGCAGATTAATATTCTATGATAAATATAATAAAACATGATGTACATTGCTATACATAGCAAAATAATTTTTTTTTCACATAAAAAGTAATTTCCCCTCAAATTATAAATAATTTGTTCAAGACAACAATTATAAGATAGCAATGATTCAAATAAAACTAAAAATATAGATAATTCAATTCATACTTGTAATGTTTCATGGAATTCCATAGCTTTTTCCATTGCTTGTATCAAATTTTCTTCGCGTTTAGCAAATAATGCAGTTACAGTTTCCCAGGCATTATCCAAGTCTTCAATATGTTTTTTAACTTCTGGCTTATCAGGGTCTCCACACACTTTCATTAATTTTTTACCACTTTCCCGAACTTGTTCTACTTCAGGTTTGGTCTGATCGATTTCTGCTTTGATTTCTTTCAATACAGCCTTTTGCTGTTTTAATATAGCAGGTTCTACTGCCGGCGCATCTTGTGATTGTAATGAATCTTGTAAATTCTTTAATGTTCCCATTACATTCTGTAATTCTTCCCAAAATCTTTCCGCCAGTATAAGAGCCTCTTCAAGACTACGGCCACGATCATTAGTCGCCTCTTGAACTTCATTCCAAAGACTGTTTAATCTTTCTAGTTTGCGTTTAATATCTTTGACAGCTGGATCCGAGGAATTAGGAGCTTTATTAATTACATCATTTGCTGCTCTTTTCACTGCTTGGAATGCATCAGCACGTTTGTGTAAATCTTCAGCAACTACATCATTCTCATCTTGTTGGTCACGAATTTTGGGCGGATGAGCAGATATAGGTTCAGCACCAGATACCTGTTCAGCAGTGTTTTGCAATGCTCTTAACATGCCTTCTAATTTGTCACTAAATTGACTGGTCTCTTGTAAAGCTTTTTCCAAAGCTTGTTGTCTTTGTCTGAGTTCAGATCTTAATTCTGCGTACCTAGCATTATCACTGTCCATAATATCTTGGATCTTTAATCCTTCTTCTTCATTACATAATCTGATTAAAGCTTCACCGGTTTTATTGAGCTTATCTACAAGTGGTTTATGTTCTGCGATGGATTGCATAAACATTTCGTTTTTATCTTGTTGCTGAGCAATAAGCTCTGGTCTTAGAGCAGGCATAGCTAACATTGAAACTTGACGTTCCATGTCGTCCAACCAACCTGATAAATCAAAGTGTGATTCTTGGAAGTGTTGGGCAAGAGGTAACGCTTGTTCGAGCACACTTAAACGTTCTGCACTTAATGATGATACATGTTCCATTACTTCACGGAGGTCCTCCATTTTTTCACGCATTAGACCGGTATCATTGCTTTGTGTAACTTCTCTCAATACTTTCTTTGCCATAGACAATACGTCTCTCCCTCGTCCCTTTTGACTTGATATGTCATCGTTTAATGCTTTATGTTCTTTAAGCTGTACACGAATAATATCCACTTCACTACTAGGAGGTTCTGCATCTCTCAGCTGGTTTTCAACTTCACGGAACCAATCTAACAAATCATCCATGTCACCAATAACTTCAAGCGATCGCTGTTTAGACAAATGTATTCGTTCAGCTTTTCTTTGAATTTGTTCAGCAATAGCATCAAATCTTCTATTATCTCTTGTAACAAGGCCTTCTATGGTTGAAGCACCTTCACCAGGGGACATTTGACATAGTTGTGGACCCATTTGGTTGATATTTTCTAATACTGGACGGAATTCTAAAGAAAGAAACAAAAATTATTATTATTATTAAATTAAATTTAATTGGAAAATAGAAAATTAACCAACTGGTAATATTACTAATAATACTACTACACACCTTGAATATCAAGTTCTAAATTGTGTATATCTTCTTCTTTTGGTTCAGCAGTTTGCAATTGTGATTCAGCAGACAACATCCAGTCACCCAAACGTTTATGAGCATTGTGAAATTGTTGTACAAGTGGCAACATACTTTCAGCATTCTTTAATAAATCAGTGCCAGTAGTGACCAAATCATTATAACGTCTTTGCAATACATCTAACTTGTCTTTTAATTGAATAGCTTCATCGCTAGTGATATGTTTCATAAGTTCCATACCAGTTTCTACAGTTCCATCAACATCTGATTGGTGATTTGATATTTCTTCACACAAATCTGCAATATCCTCCATTTGTTCAACAAGTTTGTCTGTATGCACAGGCAACACTTTATATTTGCCCAAACGTTTTTCCATGCCTTCCATCCATGCTTGTAAATCTTGATATGTCAATACTAAATGCCTAAGCCCAGCTCGAGAGTCTTGTAACAGTTGTCCTACTCTTTCTGATGTATTCACAAGTGTAGCATAACGATCAGCGGTTTCTTGAATTCTATCTGCTACACCAGATGCCTCGTCTTCACCAACTAAAGCCATTAATGTACTTGCTACTTCTGTGAGATCATGGAATTCAGGATTTTTGGATAGGATTTCATTATGCAATTTCTAAAAATAAAAATAGTTAAAGAATTTTTCATTTTAGAATTAGTTGTTTTTTTTTTTACTTACCCCGTGTTCTTTAATCCTCTGTTGTATTTTTTCTTCATCTGTAGGAATGAGTTCCATATCTTTAATTTTTTTCTCACTTTTATCCAACCATTCTAAAAGAGGTGTTATTTTTTCTAAAAACTCTTTAGCCACCACCATGGCTCTTTGCAAGTCATCCATACGTTTTGTAGCACCACGGTCCAAATTATTAAAACGCTGAGATAATTCTTTCAGTTGTACTTCAATTTCTTTACGTTCTCTAAGATCAGCATTGGCTGCAACTTCATTGCCCATATCAAATATTGATGACATTGAATTTTGTCGATCCGCCAACATTTTCTTCAAGAACTAAAAATAAAATCAGTTTAGTTTGAATACATTGTTTACTTGTCTAAAATAATTTTAAAAATTCAAAAATATTTATTTACCTTCTGCTCTTGTAATTGTGCCTTTACCACTTTGTAATCAGCTGATGGTGGTTTTTGGTTGGATACTAATTCTTCTGTATCAGCTAACCACTTAGCAAAACCGTCTAAAGCTTCTTGAAACTTTCCAGATTGTAAAAGTCCATAGTCCAAACGCCTATCTCTTTCATTTAATTTCTCTTTCAATGAATTCCACTTATCATTCATTTTTTCTAAATCTTTTTCTAAAACACCAGTGTTCACACCTCTGGCAGCAGATTGAATTAATCTTTGACCTACACCATTAACATCATCTACAGCTACAATAAGAGGCTCAATAGAATTTTTCCTGAAAGAAGCAAATTCTTGTTGTTGGAATTTGATTGCCTCCACTTCAGATCCAATTGGTTTCAAACTTCTAAATTCATCTGTTGCATGGTCTATGTCTTGAATAACATTGTCATGTTTATTTTTAAAAGCTTGTAGCCTGTCCAAAATATTTTCAAGATCTGTTTGCCTATTGGATGCTCGTTCATCAAGTTTATTCAATTGCCGAGTCAATGATTCAGCTTGATCACGCATAGAAGTAGAATCTTCCAAACGCTGGCCAAGATCTAACATTTCTGTAGCATCATCTCCAGCTCTAGCAATTTTCTTAATAAATTTGTCTACTTCGTCTAATTGACCAGTTACGGTTTTTACATCTCGGCCAGGTGGTTGCAATGAGTCAAATTCAGCTTCTAAATCGTTCAGGTTTTTGCTAAGCAATTTGACTTTATCTGCATACTGTGCTAATGCTGTCGAAGCTGAATGTAATTGGGAACATCTGTCATCCAGTTTACCTTCCAAATCATCTAATCGATCCATAAGATTATCTACATCATCTTGTAATTTTAAGGAGTCACCAACACCCATCTGGGCGGCTTCTGAAGCTAAGTCCCCTGCTGTTTGCCTTAAACTAACTAACGGGCTTCTTAACTTTCTGGCGTCTTCTCGTAAAGCTTTAATTCTCTCTAAAAGTTTTGGATCACGTGCTGCACCACCAATAGAATCATGTGATGCAAGTTTATCTTCACAGCGTTGCAGGGCATGTTCAGAATCTCTAAGGTTATCGGAAAATTCAGCCAACTTTCTTGAAATGTCTTCTAACCACTGTGTTTTTTCCATTAATTCATTGTTCAATTTATCCCAACGAGTTTTAATAGTCAACAATTCCTGTTTTACCAGTTCTTTATCTACGTCACAAGAGGAAAGGAATGCTTCTCCAAGAGTTTTAACATTTTCAAACTCACCTGAATGTTTCCACACTTCGTTTCTAAAAGCAGATAATTCTTTGAGTTGTTTGTCCACATCTCTTTTGCTAAAACTGGTTGGTCGAATAAGTTCTAATTTATTTTCAGCTTGTGTCAACCACGGTGTGAAGGACTCTTGGGCTCTATAATATTTCCTACAATGTTCCATACAAGTCTGAAGTCTATTATGGCGGTCAGCAGCTTCTTTACGCAATTTATCCCAATTTTGTTGTATTTTGTCTAGGTCACGTTGTAAATTACGAGATTCATTACGTTGCCCAGTTCGAGATAACATATCACGACCTTTGTTCAAAAGCATAATGACTTCGTGTTCTTTGTGTAAAACTTCTTTATATATAGGCTCGTACTGAGCAACTTGTTGTTGTAGTATGTCTCTGTCAGCGGATATTAATAAACGTTCTGTGAGACTGCCCAATTGGTCAGAAAGCCAACCAAGTGTCAAAGCACAAGTAGCTTCAAACTGTCTACCATCTTTTAATGATCCTTCAATTTCAGCTTTTTTATTATCCAATTTCTTTTGCAAGTTGTTGTATTGACGATTTATAGCCGCTAATTTTGCTTGAATATCTGCTTTGCAAGCTGGATCATCTAATACATTACACAAATGACTGCCAGCATCTTCTAAATCGGCCAATAATGGTCTTTGGCCTTCCAATTGTCTTTCCAAATTTTGTATTTTCCTAAGCCTATCTTCTGGTTCTTTATCATATGAAACATCATCCAGTTGATCCGAAATATTCTGTAAAGCTTCAGTTAAACGAGCAAGACCTGCATCAAATTCTCGAGTGGAATCGGCTGCTGCGCCAAGATTGGATGCTCTGTCTTCTAGTTTTCCAAGCAAGTCTGACCATTTTTGTAAAATTGTTGACAACTTATTAGAAAATCGTTGAGCATCTACAGAGTTAGAATCTGGCAATCTATTTAATATACTTTCACCAACAGATGTTAAATGTGTAAGCTGTGGTTGTTGAGTTCTAAACTCTTCTCTCAATACTTGTATTTGCTGAACTTGACTTTGCACTATTCTGGAATCTGATGATATTGGCCCCAAAACATTTAACATACGTTCTTTGGCTCCTAACCAGTTTGACAAATTATCGTGCGAATCATGGAAATCTTTTAAATCTTCAAGAAGTTTAATACGATTCTTGCAAGTATCATTTAGGTTCTTCCAGCGGCTTGTAACACTTTGAATGTCATCATGTAATCTATCAGCACCCAATGAAGTGGGTTTCTTTTTTAATAAATCATTTACACCAGATTTAGTACTGTCTAACAGGGACTGTTTTTCATACATTTCCTCAAGAACAGCCCTAACCTGTTTTGCTGCTTTATCAGACTCTTCTTTGGTCAAAGGAATATTTTCTTTAGGTAATGATTTCTGTGTTCTGTCTAAAAATTGATTTAATATTTTCATGTTATCCACCAATTTTCTCACATCATCTCTAATAGTATCTAATTCATTTTGCCTGTCGGATATTTTTATACCTAATAGGTTATATCTGTTATTAATTTCATTCAATTCTTGTTGTACAGGACTATCATCCAAACCATCTTCAATTCTACTATAAGTGAAACTGACAACTGAACTTCGTGGAGAATCTCTAGAATTTTTTCTTAGAGAATCCAAAGAGTAACGTTTAGTGGGAGACACTGAACTACGGCGTCTGGTGGAATTAGTAAGACCGGAATCATAAAATGAGGAACCTAGATCATTTAATCTGTCTATTGTAATACTATAGTCACGATGATCCTTAGCGATTGGTTTAAGTTCATCAATTTGATTTTTAATAATATTTATATCTACAGCAACACTCTCCAATTGATTCACTCTTTTCTCGGTGTTATTTAACCACACTAACACTTGATCCCTGAGTTTTTCATAAGCTTGAAGTTGTTCCACTTTAGCTTTGGTTAACCTTTGCTTTTCTTCTAACAGCTGGTTCAAATTTCTCCATTGGTTTTCTAAACCTTTTACACGATCACGTACAGGGGGAGTATCGGTTACATCCTTATTATTGATGAGAGTTTTTCCATCACGTATTGTTTGATCCAACGCTTGTCTTTGAGAGTCTCGTTGGGCAATCAAATCTTCCAATTTATTTTCCGGCATATTGTTAAAATTCTCCAATGCATTTGCCAACCATTGTTCAAGCATTGCTGCTTGACTATTAAATGAAGACAAAGTTTGGTTGATGTCGTTCAATAACTCTCCTCGTTTGGCCGTTCTATCCAAAAGCTTTTCGAAGCGTGACATAACATCCTTTAACTTAATTTCGATTTTTTTTGCAAGTCTAGGATTACTTGAGTTAATCATTAACTCTTGAGTAGAATGTGCAACACTATCAACACTTGCTCTATGTGTATCGATATCTGATTGCAATAACCTATACTCACGAATTTGTTCGCCTAGACGATCAGTATGCAAACTTACTGGTCTTGTTATATTCCTACAAAAAAAATTTTTTTTCTTATGTAAGTATATTTCAATATTTTTATTTAAATACTAGTAACTTATTTTACTAAAATTTGTTCAATTCCTATTCTATTACAATATCTATTAATTGTATTATCACTATTATATTTAATGTTACGTTTGGAAAATTGTTGCTGGTGTCCGTACAAAAAAAAAAAAAAATAGTTAAAACGGATGCATTTACTTTTAAATACTGATTTTTTTGTTCAGATAACAATAATATTATAAAATTGAACATAAATATAATGATAGTTAATAAAGTAGAATATCAATAAAACGGGTCATTAGTTTAGTATTCAAAATTTTTTAAAAAACTTACTTTAATGTTGCTTCAGCATCATTCAACCAATGAAGCAATGAATCCAATGCATCTTGAACGCCGTGTGATTGAACCAGTGCAATATCCAATTGTGATAGTCGGTCGGCTAAACCATTACATAACGATCTGTACTTATCTTCTAATTCCTTAACGGGTCCTTGTATAGCCTCCACTTCTTTCATACCACTTTGCCCTTCAAGTGACCTGATCAAAGCATCTGCAGATTGCTTAACATTTTCAATAAGTCTTGCTTGTCCCAAAAATTCATTATTTAATGTTCTTGTGCGATTAAGTTGATCTTCAAGAGAATTTGGATCGGCACCAATTGGTTCGTTAAGAATTTTAACGGCTCTTGGTTCAGCTTCCCTAAGCCAAGCTTTAACAGCATTTAAAGCATCTTTATATTCTCTTTGTTTAGAATTAAGTCCACTTAATTTATCAGATAAAGCATTAGCTCGTGCAAGTAGATCTCTATAACTATTAGAAACATTGGTAACTGTGTTTTTAATCACACTGTCTTGTGAAGAAACTGGTTCGATATGATGAAGCCTGGACGGTAAACCTGTTCTGAAATCATTTAAGCAAGTCAAATATTCTTTAGACTCATCAATAAACTTTTGAGCGGCCATTGTAATGAAACGGAGATCGGCTTGATGTGCAATAACATCAGATACAAACTCTCTAGTAGATTCGGTTGATGATGTATCAGCAAGTCGATTGATATTAGCTAAAGCACGTTCTTTTTCATCAAGAGTGCGTTGAGCTCTGTCCATCCATGTAGTAAATGTTGTAAGTTCAGATTTAAATTTCGATAGTTCATCTTTAGCAGACACTAAACGGCGAAGAAGTTTATCAGTACGTTCATTTGCATGATCGTAGCGGGATTTTAAAGATTTTGCTTTTTTCTCGACGTTATTTACTTCTTCTCTTGACAAGTATTCACTGCCTGTAGCAATTATATGACGTACTTGATCCAAACATGTTGTAATAGGGCGTAACTGGGAGTCAATTTCTTCTTTGATCAGCTAAAAATACAAAATACAAAATATATAAATAACTCAATTTAATAGTTTAAATCCCCATACTTTTAAAATGTTTATTTGATTTCGAAGCTGGTTTAAATCTTCTTGAGCTATATCTTGGTTGGCAATTCTATCTTCTATTTCTCCAATCCAATTCAAATATTCTGTCAAAGTGTCATCACACAATTTATATTTCTCAGCCATGGCTTGCTACAAATAAATCATAGGTATAAGATGTTAAACAGGTATAAATAAATTGAAAATGTTTAATTTTTTTGTTTATAATTATTATTAGACCACAATTTAGCATACTGATGATTATGTTCAATGCATTCAAATTAAAAGCAGTTCATCTAAAACTAATTTTAGTTTTAATTTATTGATTCTATCGATTATCAAATTGTGTAACTGTTAAAATAAGCCTTATAAAAAAAAAAGACATACAAATTTGTTATTAAAAGTTATAACATCATATAAATGATATTGTTAGGCATATTTTATAGGCAAAATAATAACTGGTAGGTATATATAGCTTTCTAAAATGTAATCTGTTGATCTAATGTCCTGAAAAATAAAAAACAAATACAAAAGCAATCAAATGACAAAATTGTATATGTATAAAAAAAAAGCTATACTTCTAAAAATAATTAATTATGGAACTTCTTTAACATAACAGTTATATAAATTTAAAACACAATACACCATGCATGGTATAAAATTACATCATTGTTTAAGTTACCAAGGTCATTCCTGTGGCGCTTGGTTCTAGAAGTAATTTAGGTAAACATGGTACATTTCTACTATCAGTTTGTATTACTTCATCCAGTTCTTCTTCAGTTATTGATTCTTGTACAAAAAACTGAGGTCGCATACTATTAGACCGTTCCCCTTTACGTTTGCCATTGTTTATTTCAACTATTTCATGGGGTGAAGTTGGGGTGACACATTCAACTGTCGATGAATCGCAAATAAATTTGCCTTCTATAGCTTCTTTCATAGTACTTCCTTGATAGTGACCAGTAGTATCTAAAATATTTTTCCTTAGCGCTTGTTTCAATGTTAAAGTTCTTGGCTTATCTGGATCTACTACTACAGCAGAATCAGGATTTATAATGCGCATATCAATACACTCCTTAAAAGAAACCAATCGGTCGGTACCGGGTATAATAAAAACACCTGATACTGGGTCAAATAAATTTTGTTCAATTGCTTCAGACAAGTTCCAGCCTTCTGGTGGCAGGTCAACCCCAGGATCTTCTTTCATTTTTAAGGCATCTAATGTTTTGTTTATTACAACTTTTAAAGAACTTTTATGTTTGAGGCCATTAAGTTTTGACAAAAGCTGCAATTCATCATTAGCTAAATTTATTTTATCCAAGTTTCCTTGATGAGCTACATCGAGTACAGTCATTTCTTTTTCGTTTAATGTGACTCTTTTATTTAACACTTGGAATACCTCAGCCCTAACCTCGCTCGAATTGAGAGTTTCACTAAAATCAGCAATATCATCTTCATTTTTTACCTTAATCCTTTCCACTGGTCCTCGTTCAGCGTCCAATAACTCCTTTTGAATAGCTTCCAACAGGGTCATTTGTGGTCCTTCATCACCAACAACACAGGGTCCCAATAATTTGTCAGCTAGTCCCTTGTCCACCAGTCCTTTTCCAACAGCATGCTCAATATCCACCCAACCAGACTTTGAGTCTGGTTGAGTAGCAATGCGACCGGTACGTACATCCAAAACACGCAAACGAATTGCTTCGCCTACTGTTAAAATTTTGCCAGTCTTTGGATGCACAATCCCTGGAGCATTAATAATATCATCATCCATTCCCGTTGCTTCTTCCATACGCCGGCGCAAAGAGCGAATATCTGCTTCAGCATTAGATTCAATTGACGGTGAAGAATGGTGACCACCCATTGTAGACTGATGATTTATGGTTTTTGCAGTTACTATTTCATCTACACCATTAGTAGATACTCTAAAAATATAATAACAATAAAATACCTACATTAAACACACAACTATAAAAAAACTAACAAAACTAAAAAGTACCAAGTAGTGTACTCACTCAGTAACGGTATCATAAATATTGAATTCAGTTCTGAATGTGCGTAATGGCTTAGCCTCTAGGGTCCTGACAAATTCCTGTAACATTTATTTATACTAATCATTCCTAATAGCTAAATTGATACGTTAAGAACCAAACCTTGAGTTTTATCTCATAATAATATGTTATTTTATAACTTCAAGGATATAATAATCTATGTTTCAATTATTTTTAGAAAAACTGAAAAGTACACAATAATTGGCAATAGACGTATGTGGGTGCAATCACTTAAAAAATTAAAAAAGTTAATTATTAGAAGACTTTTTATTGGTAAAAGTTAACATTATTTTTATGAATAATAAATTAAATATATCAAACATAAAAAAAAGAAATAAAAACAAAAGAAAAAAAATAAAGTTTTAAAAGAAATATGATTATTTAACATAAATTATAAATTGCAACTGTCCTAGGAGAGAATTAGGAAAGATAGACTTATATAGATTAAGTTATAACACTTAATTTTATAATATAAATCACTGTAAACAAAAGATGTTCTGAAAGGAGCAAGATAAAAATTTTTTTTTTTAATTTAAAATTTAAGTTAATTTTTACCTACAAAATATATTACAAGTTTTCGTGTTTTAATCTAATTTCATCACAACAAAATTTGAACTTCAAAGTCTAGTAAAAACAGTATGTAACAACTCAAGAATAAAATACATAATCATTTTAAATGTATATTAACAGTACTTAAAAACAAACAAAAATGATACTGCTGATGAGTGTACTACTGTTTTAGGAGATATTGAAGAAAGGTTATTATACACAGTAATTTAATTTTTTTGTACACAACTATTAACTACTGCTAATTAAAAACGATTCTGAGCATAGTATTATTAGGTATATTTGTTTCCTTTGTTGCCAAGATATATAAATCAACACAAATTATATGATATAATTGGAGCAAAATTTCTGGTAGAAAAATTGTTCACACACAAAAAAAAGGTAATTAAAAGAATACATTCCTCATTTTCCTCTGAATCTAAAAGTAACAAAAAGACCTAATTTCATAAATATATAAACCTATCATTTAGGGAATATCGCAGATATTTTCTAAATTTTAAAACAGTGTATTTTTTATTAATGGAATTACCCAAAACTGAAAAATAGTCATGGTACATACATTTATAGTTTATCTAAACCTACTATTTACTAGATAAGGTAAATTATTAAACATGTTTGTTTTTTTAAATACTAGCTACCTAGTGTTGTGATAAATGTACATAAAAAAGATATCAACTATAATGAGAACCGATAAAATAGTAGTTTTAAATTCAATTTTTTATATGAAAAACTGAAATTGATATATTGGCAATATTTCAATATTGTTTTAATTTTACGGTTATAAAATAAAAAACAATATTGATATTAAAAAAAATAATGATTGCAGAATCCTAAATTATGTAATATTTTTGAATTATTAAATAAACCTATTTACCTGTAATTCAAGATCTTCTGTATTAACTGAAGCTAGATTTTTTAACTGATCAATCAACATGTTTAGAAGCGCTTGAAATCTATGGTTGAGCACATCAAGTTCATGAGACACAGCCAATTCGCCAACACTGGGATCCATGTTTTGATCTTTATGATAGTTGCTGGCATCAAGGCTTGGATGAATTTCGTCCACCAACCAGGCGCAGTAGTGTTGAAGTCGTAGGTCATATATCTATGTGCGGGTTAATTATACGCATAGTCTTTGTTATGGTCTGTTAAATGGTTAAAACAGCAAAATTTCGATTTTTTTTTTTAATGTTAAAAGCTCGTTACCTTAGCTTCTCGTATAAATCTGCCACCATCCACATTGACGTTCTCAATTGCTTTAGTACGTTCCTGCACCTTGTTATACAAAGCCTACGAGATGTATTAATATCAATAAATGTCAAACTCTGGTTTTGGATATTATATAGCACAACTCAGATAATATAGTCCAGTATATTAAACTCATGTTAAATTAATAATTAATATTATACAATATATATTAAATTATTATGTTTTGTTTTTATTATACATGCAAGTTTATGGTTGAATTAAAGTAATATTTAATACATTACTCACCATAAATATATATTTAATGATAACATATAATAACAGAATTCTATTTTAATAATGGTTCACTTACCTTTGTTGTTTCTGTAAAGTCTCGTGCTTGCATTTTAAGAGGTGCTACATTATTTAATTTTACATAGCTCTCATCAATGATTTGAACTTCAGACTGGTACGAATTTTTGTATTTGTTCAAAAGATCGTAAGCTGCTTCACAGCTTTTAAGTCTAAAGATACAAACATAAATTAAGAATGTTGATTGCTAGATCAACGAAAATAAAAAAAAAATGAGATATTTTAATAATTAAAAAATACATTTAATTTGTACTAATAAACAAAAATCTGATAAAATAAATAAAATATATTTTTGAGTATTATATACCTGTCGACTAATTGACTACAAATATTGTTCCATCTGCTTGTAATACGATTTACATCGCTGTCTAGTCTATCCAAATCATGATGAGCAGTACGCGGTAAATGGTGCCTAGATTTTTCTGTTAAACGCCTGGTATTATGTTTATCTTCAACCAGTTGATCAATGACTGGCTGCTGAAGGACTACATTTTTTTGTAGTGCAATCAGATCTTGATGTACCTTTGTAACAAAAACACACATAAATATATGTAATTAAAATCTGATACAAATCTAATGTACTTACTAATTTTAAAGCGGGCAATTCAGATGGCATCTCACCATAAGATGCTAATTTTATTTCAAAATCTGATATAACATTATTTGCTTCTTCTAGTCCTGACAAAGTAATTTCTGCACACTTCAATCTTTCAACATATAACTGAGATAAATTCCATAACTGATTCCATTGATTCAAGACCTTATCGTGTTTAGCTTGCAGGGCTGGTGTCTTGTTTGGTATGTTTTTTAATGTAGTTTGCATGGCTTCGACATCAGGACCCAGATTCTGAAGCACAAATAAATTATATTAGTATTATTAACATAATTGTTATTTAACAGGTAATCAATATATATATATGTGTGTGTGTGTGTGTGTGTGTATGTGTGTAAAATTACCTTTAATGATGTTTCAAAGTCTTTGTGTTGAATAACTAAATGTTCAAGTGTGTCCATATCCCTTGGTATAGGGGCACTCAATCTTGTATTTAATGTGTGTTCGTATTCGTCCAAAGAAATTTGAATAGATTTGACTTGTTCAGTAAACATTCGTGTTAGATTTTTACTATCTTCTTCAGCTTGTGATCGCCGTTCAAATTCATCAAACAACCGATTAACTTCGTCCATTTCTCTCTTGAGTCTTCTAAGTTGAGGATCAGCTGGATCACCTTCTCGTAACAATTTATTGGCATCTTCATTTAATGCCTTACGAATAGCGTTTCGTTGATCAGCACCCATTGCCAAAAACTACAAAAAAAAAAACATAGATAAAAATAAAATTTATATTATTTAATAATAATTTAATTATTTAATTACTTGAGCCAAGTCCCATCCTTTCACAACTTTAATAGTTGCAAATATCATATTTTGACGCATACGCAATTGTTTACGCTGCCATAATGCTGTTGAGCGGTCATATGCTCTGCGCAAGCGATCTACAGAATCTAAAGCTTCTTGATCTGGAGGAGGGATTAAGAATACTACACCAGGAACATTTGAATCGTCAGTCAGATTCATTCCTCTAGAAACCCTCCATTTAATTCGTCCGGAATTGTCATGGAGTAACCATTGAGATCCTTTTTCAACATTAATCTAAAAATAGATAAAATCAAAATGAACAAAATAGTTGCCAATAGGTATTATTTTCTAAACAAACCCCGTTTTGCTGGAAGTTACAAATGGCATTGACTGGTATAGGTCTAGTAATTGGAAGCCTGCGCTGTTTGAGTGGCACAACTTGTCTTGATCGGTCTTCGAGTGTCCCAATCACTTCACTAAAATTATTTAATTCTTCGCGGAGATCTTGCATACCTTTCAATAGTCGCTCTCCATCATCCAAACTAAATTCTGATTGGCTAAAAACAGAATTTAATAATTCATCGCGTTTGTTTAACCACTGTTCAGCTTCTTTGATATCAGAATAAAATTGGTGGTAATAAGTGGCATGTTTCAAATGAGTTTCTAAGCACAGAGTCAGTTGGAGCAACCACGTCCATTGGGTTTGTAAAGCTGAAATATAAGCTTCAATACACTTTGAGGCAAGATGACCTTGAAGAATTAATGCTTCCCCTCGATCTTGTACTGAACTTAGTTGAATTTCTCTTTTCTCGAGCTCTGACATTAAAGACTGTAATAATAATAATAATAATAATAACAAGAAATATTTTAATCCATTTAAATACAATTATAATGAGAGGAATAATTAGTCATGAACTAACCTCAACCCCTGATCCAAATGTATGCTTAAAAAATATATGCGGTCAATTTAAATCTTAATAGTCCTTCAGTAATTATATCTATCGTTGTAAATAATAATCATATCTTACCTCATAGTATTGTCGAATCGATGGAATGTTCAAATCTTTGTCACTCCAGTCGCGATTTAATTCAATTTCTTCTTTCTCATTGAGCCAAATAAGTTGATTTGTAGCCGATTGTAAGAAATCTTGCAATGTTTCTAGATCAGATAGGCGTTTGTTGGAGAAAGTAACTAATTCAGAATAAACTTTTTGTAGTGTGTTCAAGTGCTGCGAATATAGAGATAATTCGTCTCCATGGAAATTACTCTTGGCGTTTATGCAGTGTTCAACTTTGGTATGAAATTGGTCAATTGTTTTATGTTCGCGCTGATGTTGGTCTAAAAGCCCTTGAACACTAGGCAAGTCTGAACCATATTCAGCTTCTTGTAATTGTTTCTGTAAATACAATAAAAAAAAGTTATAATCACAATTAATGAAACATACACTTTTAACTGTCTTACCAATTTATTATTACACCAATCGATACACTCTTGTAATGAGCGGAAATGAGTATTTGTATCAACAAGTCTAGTTTCCAAGATGGTTCTTGTTTGTTTGGTAACTGTACGCTCTTCAACAATAGGAAATGACAAAGATGCTAAAGGGGTAAGTACTTTAGAGTGCAACAAAGAACGCAAGTTTACCCATCTTTGATGTAGTTTTTCAACCCTAAATAAAATGAAGGTAGAAAATTGGTCTAGAATTAAGGAAAATTACTACTAAATATTACCTCTTTTGTAATTCTGGTGCTTGTACATATCGTCCTTCTCTCAGAGCTTGTACATCAACAAACAATGACTGTATAGTATCTTCTGATAAACGTAACTCAGTTTCCAATTGATCAGCATTATGCTTAGCATCTAATGGATGTAATCTATCGGCTCGGCGTCCTTCTTCCACAATTCTAGTTTCCAACTCATCTAATTTAAGGTCTGTTCGTTTTGTTTCGCGGTGAACTTTCTCTGCTAATCTTTGTAAACGTTCAAGGCGTTTAATTTCTTCCTGAATAGCAGAATCTCGATCTTGATAAGACATCATTAAACGATTCCACGTACGATCAATAGCATCGGCTTGTAATTCGGGTTCAATATCATTTTCACCAACAGCGTCAAAATATTTCTGTAACAAAACATAAATGTTATATGAAATGTTTCAAAGAACAAAACGTAAAATGTTTTTACTTGAAGTTCCTTATATAAATGAACGAGATGTTGTTTATCACGATGGCGGGGTGGAAGTTCTTCATTGCGGAACCTTGTAGATTCAGAGGCTAATTTTTTCATTTCAATAAGTGTAGATGGAAAATTACGATCGGACATTACAGATAATTTCTCACGCATCCAACGATTCAGCGATGATGCAATTTCACGATATTCTCCGGAACGCTGTTGTGATTCCTAGAAAAAATAATAATAATAAAAGTTAAAATCAATTTTTTTTTAATATAAATTAACTTTTAAATTTTTACTAACAGAATCGTAAAGAGGGTGTAAACGTGGCGGTTCCGGAAATACTTCGTGCAATGACGATATATATGTAATAATTGATTTTTCGTCGATTTCGTGAGTGTCGACATCTAAAAACATAATATAAATACACGTCATGTAATAAATTTACAAAACGAACGTAAACATTCGATATGAGTATATAACATACCTTCGGGATCCAATAGTCTGGTGACTCCGTATTCTCGTTCAGCGATGTAAAACGCGGACTCCAATCGTTCCCGGACATTTTTGTTTTTGATATTGCGCCAATCTAGTAAATCAGGTCTATGGTGGCAAATACAAAAATAAAAAACTGTATAAATATTTTCCGTTTGATAAAAACACTATAGTTTTCATTTTAAGTCTATACCTGTTTCTGTGAATGATCGCGTTGAACGCCATGCCATCTCGCCACGAAGACGTGAAGTCCGACACTCGAACGCCCGGGTATTTCGACGTCGATTTGCGAGCCCATTTCAATAAAGCGTCGCGGGCCGATACGTTTGGCTCTTCGCCGACCACGATGTCGGATATCTAAAAGAATCGAGATGGGTATATTAAAAAGAGAGAAAAAATAAAAACGAAAAATATTATTGAAACGCGCCGCATAACGCGAGTCGTATTAAATGTCCACATAAGGTTTCTCGTCTCGCCGGAGGAGGTTCGAATTACTACAGCTGTATCTATGTACGTATGTAGTAATAATTTTTTTTTAGACGGAATAATAATACGGATTAAAAAACCGATTATATTAGGGTCAACAATGATAATAATACGACACAGCCGCGGCGTCGAAAACAAAATACAATTTGGCATACGTGTTTCCGACCGAGCCACCAGTCTTCTCCTTAAATGGGCAGCAGGTCCAATAAAACGGAGGCCGTTTGCAACGCGCGCACATTCTCGCCCATGCCGTTTGTTGTTATTATTATTATTATTATTATAGGTATTATATAGTAAGACAAATTATATATATATTTTTTTTTTCCATTATTGTACTTCGATTGAAATATTATTTTTCGAGCGAATGCGAATACGCGCATATTATGCCATAGTAGGTGATATCCATCATCGCACGTGCAAACTTTTCGAAGACGATTTTCAGAAGCACAAAACTTCGGTCCGTATAAAAGAGAAAGAGAGGTGATTTATGGGCGTGTGTGTGTGTGAGTGTGTAGTAAGTGTAAGTGTTGAAGAAAGGAATATCGAAAAAACCAGGTCACCGTCATTATGCACGTTTGAAGGAAATGTGCGCCATGCAAAAGAAACCATCCATGCGTGCCCTGATCGTACAGTTTTTATTATTATTACACTATTCTTCGCTGTATAGTAACATACGTTACGACAAACGACTAGATAGTGAAACGGCCGAAGTCTAAGCAAAGTATATTATATTCGAGTGTAAAAGTATTTAAATAGAAATATTTTCGAATAAGTTTTCGGTGTTCGAACGGGGTAAGTATGTACTAGGTATTTGGTTGAATGGGTTCAAAGTTTTAACACGACGACGTATATTCGTATAACCAACATCTGTGTTATACGAACGGCGTAACTACGCAACTATGGGACAATTCGTAAAAAAAGCGTTTAAAAGTATCTGTTTTGCGTATCCTCTAAACACAATTTTAAATACTATCACGATACTCGAAAATACTTTTTCAAAATAATTGTATTTTACGAGTCCGGTACAGCGTAACACATATACACGATGTTGTTTAACACATGTATGTATATAGACACCGGTCCCGTGGTACGTTTCGGATATTCGCTCGGTACAAACTATATACACACACAATGTGACGTAGGATTTGACAATTTTCTACAATATATAATTGCACGTGGTATTTTGAAATCCTTCAGATACGCCCTATAATACGTATACATACATAAATGGCATACAAAACAATATATCCATTATGGATACAATACGTATACATATTATACACGTAGCAGTCGTACGTTAGCCGCAGTTTTTTTTTCCGTTTAACGAGACCATGTTTGCCGGAATATAGATACACCAAACTCGCGGCGATAAAACGGCCGAAAATGCGCCAAAAACCCGATATGAACTCACGTTTAGCCTTTCCCTTAAAGTACCTCCTCGTTAACGCAGTCACTAAACCAACCTACAAATCCGTTCACTTCAATACGCACACATCGTAGTTCGTTCACCTGCTTCTTGTTTCCGGTACGTGCACTCAAACACACAGCCTGTGTACTAAATATATATATATATATGTACGTATGCGAGCAAATTCAAACCTAAATCACTCGGAGGATTCGATTTCAGTATATATATACAGATACGTCGGATATCGAAAAACGTTGTACTACTACGTAAATTTGAGCGAAAAAAACGTTATAAATCGAGCTATGTTGTACACCTTTACGTTGCTCAGAAATTGTCAACGGGGGATAGAAGGGAGGTATGTATAGTAAATAATAACGGTATGATTCGCGAATGAATCGTAGAATCTTTTTTTGTGTTGTACTATACTTAGCTAACATCCGACATCGAATAAGTAGATTTTTATTCGATAAATCGATAAAAAAATTTTTTTCTTTGGAACTCAGGGCTAAAATCTCACGATAAAATTATCCGTTTGGTTGTATTATCAAATCAATTGTAACCCCTAACCCACCTATCCTCCATCTGTAAACGTCGATGGGCCCCTAAGTATCCATCCGTGTCTCCGTTCCAATACATTACAGTATAGGTATATAATATTATTACTCGAATGTTTTTTTTTTCTAATATGATATATGACGATGCCACAAACCGATTCAGTTATTTGTTTTATACCTATTATATATATAAGGTAAGTAAAAACGTTAAAAACATTTTTCCCGTCGTTTTGTTTTTCAAAGGGGTCGGTTCTCCGAGAAAGGCCATATAAATTCATGTAACATTATGGTATCGAGAAAACCGTGAAGTACCAATTGAAATATTTTATATAACCAAATTGTTATTTTTTACCAAATTATTATAATTTACTCCATAATAACGGCTGGGTGGTGGTTTATAACGCGGTTTTTGTACAAATCAAATAATACCGTACGAAATCGAATAAATATCATAATAAATACTCGGTATATATATATATATATATACCCTAGTTAAAAGCTTTCTCGCCAAGGAAAGTCGTGCCGGTAGAATCCACCGAATGCTCGTACAGTTAAAATAATAATAAATGTATTTGTTTGTACGACGACGTGTACTATATTTATATTATATTATATCAAACGAAATATTTAAAAAAAAAAAAAAAAAAAAAGCATCATTCGTGAGATGTAAACATTTGGCTCGTCTGTGTGAAATTGTAAGTACGAAAAAAAGAAAGAAAAAAACCGAAAAGAAAACCTTTATTTATCAACTCGAAACAAGTATCCCACTACAACAGTAACAATATTTTTATTGCTGATAATTCTGTCGCCAATTATTACGCACTTTAAAGATAAAAAAACGAAAATGTATGCTAACAGGTACCAATAATAGTATATTATGTAAATAATTGTTGTGTATAAGATACACGACAAGTGCATAATATACATCACACGCACTGCTCTCCGAAACCGTATCAAACTTTGTAATAATAATAATAATAAAGTAATAAATGAAAAGTCGTTTCGACTATAATTCCGCACTAGACTTGGGAAAAGGCCAGAATGGTTGAAATTTCAAGCTATTTCGAGTTCAAAAGCGCCGCGGTTTCCTAATGAGACAGTATACAGTAAATCGCGGTCCGTCACGCATGTTACACAACAATGCGCACGAATAACCTGCAGTTTGTCGTAAACTACCTTTGCCTTCTTGGTCTTGGTGACCTGGTGCCTGGACGAGGATCTCTTGGACTCCTCGTAAGGTTGGTCGGACACCATCATCTGGCCGCTTTTCATCATGCTCTCGGCGGCCGACACCTCGACGCCGCGAGTCAGCACCGTGGTCTTGCGCATCACGCGCGTGGTGACCGAGTGCCTGCCCACGTCGGGGCGCCTGTCCACTTTTTGCGACTCGTGATTGGACCCGGTCACCTCGGTGGATATGTGCCGCTTGGTGTACACGGCCTGCAGGTCACGCACGTCGTCGTCGCCTTCCCGGGTGCCCTGCATGAACAGCCGGCTGCCGCCCGGCCGTCCGGCCGACGACGACGACGACACCTCCTTGGTAGCTTTGGTGAACCGGTACATAACGACGGCGGATTGGTTCCGGGGTCGGGGCGGTTATAATGTTGTCGTTTTTATTATTATTGTACGTCCGCGCGACGCATGGCGACGTTATCGGAACACGACTTGTAAACTGTATGGAAATATACACGAGCAAGTCATATACATATATATACGTATAATAATATACTCGGCTAAAGTTCGGACGATACTATGTGATGATAAGCGTTTCGCGACAATCGGCCGACGACGACGAACGGTAAACAAGAGATAACTGAACCGTGTTGGCCGTTGGACCGCAGTCTGCGGGCCGGGTAGGCGGCCCGGCGAGGAGAGGGAATACTATAATATGTGGTAGGTAAATACGTGAATGAGTAGGAGTGCGACACCGCACAGGTATTGGGCGCGTAGTAAGTGGAGGGGCCGCAGTCGTTTGCCTATATACCTGTCTGCCATAATAAAAAGCGCGCTTCAAGGTTAGCCGCGCAACCACGCGCCGCCGCCGCTGCGGTAACTCTTCGGCACAAGGGGGACCCATTGAATACTAATACGCGAGTTACGAATATAATAATAATAATATTACCCATTTTATATTGTATGCACATTATTACAATACTATATATTATTATTTCATTGGGAAAAAAAAAAAAAAAATTTAAAAAAACAATATTTCCCAATGCCGTTGATTTTTATAAATTAGGCCCCTTCGGGTAAGCAATACACTGGCCCACAACAACAGCTGCTGTTGCGCGGGTGCGTTACGAAAAAAACAACTGCAACGCCCGGCGCCCACGGACGTCCGCCGCGTCCCACACGATTGCTGCAGAGCCCGCTGACGCCGGACTCCGAAATCCTCGGCGAGTTGTGCGTGAACCACATATCCATATAAAGAGCTAGCGCGCGGCCGGGTGCCGCGAACGGGGATCCTTGGGTCTCCTCCGGCGTCCGTCACCGGAGCCTTGGCCGCGCCGCGCGCGCGCGTAGGATGTGTTATACGTGGGGATGTGGCGGAATTATTGCATAAACACGGCCTACCGCCGCGAGGAGCATATGGACGGCAATCGGACCGGATACCCGCGGACGCGTTTTTCTCGATCGATTTGAAATTGAAATAACACACAATGATAATCCGATTTTTGTTTCATTTCCGTGTTTCTCTGTTTTGCGGCGCCCTATACGTACGGGTGCCAATGGTAATTCCGTTTCATAATGTATTTTACACGTTTCTTACAGAATCGATTACCGGAGTAAATAGATAGTATTTATGAATAATATCGTGTTGTGTATCAAAAAGAATTTAACGCTGTTTATCAAGAGCAAATGTCGCTGGGAGATAAACCGTTGTGATAATGTCGACAATTTGTTTCAAATAAAATATTACCAGCGGGAATTTTCGTATTTTTTAAACGACTGGGTGAAAAAATCGGAGGATTTTTATTAATCGTAACAAAAATTGTTGGTCCACCCTAATACATATTATAAATTTCGAACGATTGTGATATTTACGTAAATAAAAATTGGTTGCAAGAGTCTGAAATTAAAATTCTAGAATCGAATCACGTATCCCCGACTATTTCCCCATGTAGATTTTCCGTGACTACTCCCGATTTTCTTGTAATTTCTTGACGATTAATATACAGATACACGTTATTTAAACATGTTGAGTATACGTGGAATAACTAGATAAATACACTAGGGGTGATAGTATTTTATTTTCACATCGATATTTCGGTATCATATTTTATACCAGTATGAGTCTTACCCCCTACGACCTACCGCATTATCTATTTGTCGATATTTTGGTATTCGGTATTATCGGTAAAAACGGTTTTTTTTTTTTTTTATTAATGTTTTAAATATGTTTATTATTACATTCTTTAAAAAAAAAAATGTATTATAATTGTATTATGATATGTGTATTGCATGACCGATTTCGAATTAAAAACTCATTATCAGGTAAATCACTACGTCAAAAGTAAAACGTGACTGAATATATGAAAAAATAAACGAAGGAATACATAGATAGAAAATATATACTAATTTATCGTTTACCATAGAAATAATTTTTTTGAATAGATTATTCGATATATAGTCGAAATTCACGGTATTTTGGTGTACTGTTTTAAAAAAATTACGGTATCCCGGTAATACCGTCATCTATAAAATATATTACATCCGTGACGGCTGTACGATTAACAACAGAAAAAAAAAACAAAATTGTCTCCGTTCCTCCGACTCTTTTCCTCCGTGAGATACTAATTAACTATGTCATAACTGATACACACAACATATATTAAACGTATAATAATATTTTACGCGTTTCAATATCTCGAGTATGTATACATGTGAAATATAATTTGTCACTCTTCGTGATAAATATATAGTGTGATAACTGACTTTAACCGCGGTAAATAGATAACGTTTAAAATTTAAAAATAAAATACACAGACTATAAATCTTTAATATATACTAGATAAAGAAATTCGAGCTTTTTTCGCAGAGCAAACGAATCGTTACAAAACAATGTATACATATAAATATACAAGGAGATTTATTTATCATGAACCAACAATTATCTCAGAGGATTTTAAGTGAATTTGATTTCTGTTTTTTTCTAATCATTATGAAATCATTTAACCTTTATTTTAAAACTATTTTTAATATTTTACCCCTACTCCATGTATCTCAAAAAAATATATAGTTTTGATTTTCAAATAGGACACCCCCTCCTTTTGAACAAATATTTGAATAGAGAATATTTTTCTAGACATTTTGAAATGCATAACACTACTATTAGATTTACCGTTTATGAGTTATAAAAGTTAAAAACTTAGTCCGGACAAGTGGGAAAGAGTAAATCAATTTTAAATGATAATGATTAGAAAAAACAGAAATCATATTCACTTAAAATCCTCTGAGATAATTGCTGGTTCATGATAAAAAAAATTATCCTGTATACATATCAATTTGAAAGATCATTTATTATCAATCAAACATTTTCAATTAAATATTGATCGATTCAAGATCGATATAATTTATAATATAAGTCCAAAGCGATTAAATACAGACAAATATTATAATATTTGTTAAAAATGTAATCAAATAATAAATTGAATGTCCATTCAATAAAATTACTTAAAAAAAAAAAAAAAAAAAAGATAAACCTTTTTCAATAAAATAAACCACGTTTATAAACAATAAAACGATAAGTACATACTTTCACTTGGCGAAATGTGTTTACGATAAGTAGCTAAAAAAAAAATTAGAAAAATAAAAAAAATATTTAAAAAAAAAGCCAATACTAGGGATAGGAGCGGCCACTGTTGTAGGTTAGAAGTTGGGAAGGTAGGATATAAAATTATTTCATTTATATCTGTAAGCAACGATAAACCATTGCATGAAGAAAGGCGATTCCGAGCGCAGTTTGGTAATACATAATTTGAAGTGCCGTAATTTTTTTTTGCAAATTTCGTTTAAATTTTATTTTTAAAACGCTTATTAAAAAAAAGAAAGGTCGTCCGATGATTTTGGAATTTTTAAAACATCTAGGTAAGTCTAATATAAGTATTATTACTAAGTTTCAAGACTCTACGCGTATTTATAACCGAATTAAAGCAAAAAAAACTCCCAAAAATTAAAATTCCTTAAAAACTCAAAAGTTTTGGCGATGACACCGTAAGAAAGTAAATCAAAAAAGAAACACAAGAGGTGTTTTGTGATTTTTCGATTAAATAATTTTTTTTGGTAGAAAACGTCGTCCGTGTTTTTATAAAATAGTAAAATCGTGAAATTATACGTTTTCCTATGTTTTTTCCCATTTAAGTTCTTTAATTTAAAAAGTGGAGTCGAAAATCAAAAAATGACATTTTTAAAGTACAATCTACACAACTAGAGCTTTCAGAAAAGTTGCTTTACGTAAAAATCGGAACAAGTTTACTAGGAAACAACGTGTCCACAGACTACAAGGAGAAAAAAAGGAAAAATAAACATCATTGTAAAACTAATAGCTTTATCGCTACGCTCGGAATCTGAAATGAATATATGTTATTGTAATATTATTATAAGCGTTAAGTAATCGGATTACTCAAAAATTCGGGGGGAATCCGCAGTTTTGAAATCCCAAATTCGGTTTATGAATATTATACGATTTCTTTAAAATGCATTCAAAAACTATTTAAATTAAACGGTAATATGATATTATTAAAAATAACAATAGTAACTCGATATCGCAATCCAGAAATATCGCGATAAATCAAAACCACTCAAAATCGGCATAACCAATGAAATATCATCAGTACTCCAAACAAGAGACATGTATAATATAGCGAAATTCAAAAGTGAAGGCGAAAAAAATTTGATGAGAACCGATATAAAAAAATAATTAAAAATGCGTAGTCAACAGCATACAATATTAAAATTGTTATTTTAAATAAATTTCAATCGATAACGAAAAGGAGGTATGTATATGTAATTACAGTTACAGTGATGTATAAACTGTTGCATAACCAACTCCCGATAAAACGAATCTCCAACTGGGTTAGGGGTGAAAATATATTTTAAGGAAATACGCTGTAAAACGTCCAACTATACGTTTTTATTTTAACCGCTTATCGAATACAAAGTTTTACACAAAAAATTAAAAACCGGTATTAAAGAATATTGATGGTACAAAAAATTCTGTATAAGTATATTTCGAATAAACAGATAATACAAGTCATTGAAGTCGCGTTCAACAGGTCAGTTGGCTGTAGAGATAATGTCGTGAACAATATAATATGCGTATTGTTTTAGAAATGATTTCTGTACAGGCAATTCGGAAATCGATTTTAATATTTACGTTCTTTGTACATAACAAACATAAATAATTGTAAAAGCGTACGTTGCCAAAAGTATATTATTGTAATGTGTGAACTGCAGAAATCAAGAAAAATAACTTATACACAAATTCAAAATTGATGGAAAAAAAACAACCCGAAACACGATTGACGATTACACGCACGTATTATTTTTCGAATTTATTATTTTTATACTGAATAAAATATCTATTTTTTTTTTTCGAGTAATTGTTTGAATTCGGTTTAAAACGTACAAATAAGCAAATGCGTCGGTAGCCGAACCGGTAGACCATCATAATAATTATTAACCATACATGATTTTCGGGTGTGCCTATGGTTTTTTTTTTTTGTTCTATGACACGTGACCAGCATTATGTAACAGTTTATGTTTATTAGTTATAATTTTGTATTATTATTATTGCTACTTATTTAAGCGGTATATCCTTATCATTGAACACCGCATATACTATCGCAGTACATATTATATAAGTATATATTATAAGTGTATATAATTTTACGACACCAACCTGGAAATGAAGTATGATGGTCCAAATCAGACCCAACGTGAGCTTCGGATTACCGTCTACAATATCTTCAGCCCGAATATTTACGAGTTTGATCTGAAATCATATTATACACAAATGAGATTCATGACTCGTATATTATAATACTACGGGTAAGCGGTATATTTACCTTTTTGAAACGCAAGTACTCGAGTGCCATTTGAACATTTTGTAGCATATGAAATCTGAGTTTGCCTCTTTCTCTTGGCTAAAAATAACATATTTTAACTATATTATTATACAATATTGGTGTTAAAGAAAGTAGTATTTACAGGAGTCTAAATTACGACGGGTGTCAAAATATTGAAAAAAAAAACACAATTATATAATATACATATATAAATGGTTTAAATACGTACGAAAAAACAATTATCACACACAATACATATTCATTGAAAACTATAGAATATGATAATAGTAAACTGTTTAGTAGACCTCTTTTTTTTTTTTTTTTACAAATTGTGTTACACAATTTTACCCAACAAAACAAAGACAAGGATATATTTCAGGCCTTGGCGCATCACTTTATACGGAATATCAAGTTCTAAGTAGCTGCTGGCCGTAATTATCATTGTCCGGTTTACCGGGAACACCTTTCTTGGATGTGCAATAGCATTTTCCTTCAATTAAGTTCTAACAACATTATATATAGGTAGGTAGTACAATAGTATTGTATAATATATAGTATTATATAGACAGCCTACCCCTCGTCGCGTTATCAAACACAAAAGATAATGATTATTAAAAACTTGCGAGCGATAGAAATTTTCCACAAAAAAATGGGAACCGCAATCGTGTTTAGGTACAATCAAAAGTTTTATTCAATACCCAACTCGTATAGATATACGATATAAACATCGAGTATGATGATGGTCTAATGATCTCCTGACACGTTACAAATTCCATCGCGACACACCCCGTTCAAACCTTGAAAGTCACTTTTCCAACAACAAAATAATATACATATATATAGGTAACTTACCTAATATCTATTATCTAAACTAAATACAATTTTTTTTTTTGTTGAATGTATAAGTAATTTAGAAGAAAAAAATATCAACCTACGTTAACAATAATTTTGCAATACATATACAATTGTGTTTAGTTCATTATAATACGTTGTATGGCTTACCAATTGATCTCCGGACAACACTTCTAGTAACGATATCAGATTGAGGCCGTCTTGTAAATCGATGAACAAATCGCCGACATGTCGATTCGCCTGTAAAAAAATATTTTTTGTAATTATACAGAGTATTGTAAATATTATATCTTTGGTTCTGATGAAGAAGGACTCAAGTCGATTTTTCGAATTTTTTTTTATAATAGTGTCAAATTAAATTTGTTCCTCTTTTCCGAGACCAAAGATAATAATATAGTTGTGTAAATTTGTTAAAAGGGGCGCAACCTACAGCATATATTTTCAAGAGGATTATGGATTTCAAAGAAATTTCTGGACACATTTTTGGGATAATAAAATTAATAAATAGGTGAAAAGTTAACGGCGTACCTATACGCCTATTCGAAATCAACGAGGAAATGTATGAAATTATATACAAAATAGACATATATTGTAAATGTATACACATACATATTACAAAATAAATCTCAAATTTCGGGATTTGGGGGTTGGGTAAAACTTCTAAATCCTACAGCCTGGTTGTGCCACTGGTACAAATAAATAATAATATATTATTGAGTGTTTATATAAGCAATTTATTTATTAAAAAAAAAAAATAATAATAAAAATAAGAACTTTAATGTATAGATAATAGCTAAAACGACATTACACATTATAGTTTAATAAATGTACTTGCACAGAAACGTGATAACTACAAACACACACAGAATACGCAGTGACAAAAAATATCAATTTTCTACACACGTAAATGTTAAGTACTTAATACGTATATACTATATTATATAAAAAAAAAATAATAAAAAATTATCGCACTCCAAAGAAAATACATATTATATATTATATTATTTGGAAACGCTCGACGAGATAAACTTACACAAGAACAACTAGAACGAGAACACGCCTGCAAACACGTGTATGTCTGAAACATACAATTTTTTTTTCATTTATGCACTCGTAAACTCTAATGCATATTAGAGTTATTTAACATATATTATACGAAAAAAAACGTATACGGGAAGAAAATCTTTTCGATTATATCGAATTAATAAATTATTGTTATCTTTACGTTATAATATTAATATTTTGATTTTTTTGTCAAAAACAATCCTACCTTCGAGTATTTCCAATGCTGCATCGCACGTATTCAGAAAAAAATAATTCAATCAAAAAAACATATAAAATGCAACTAATAAAACACAATATCGACAATTGTAGTTATATCGATTATGAATATTTCAAAATATTACAATTAAATTAACTAAACAATAATTATCATTGGTACATAGTGTGATATAGTACTTCCGCTAAAGTAGGTGTATGCAATTAAAATTTTTCGAATACCAATATAAGAGTATTTCTTATTTTTTTTTCCAGTAACGGAAATAACATATACCCACAGTATATGCCAATCCTAAAACATAATTTCGCCAACCTGAAATATTATTATCCAATACCTACGAATAATAATAATAATAAAAGGTGTATGATATTTAAATGTTTCCGTTTTGTGTTGGCGGATACGTCGTTAACTAGATAATAATATTATATATTACAGTACGAAATATAAGTTGGCGTAGATATTTTTTTGGTATATATTATGTTTTTTTTTTATACCTTGACCCGAAAATTATGAAATAACGCAAGTAAAAGCTAAGTATAATAATAACATAACGAAACGATTGATTGTAAACACATTTGTCTTATAAATTAAATTACTACTGTCAGAAACCATATAATATTTCTTTGAGGTATGTCTATATTAGTACTGAAACATATTTTCAATTATTTGTATTTTTTTTTTTTTTCGTTCAATTATAATTTATATAGTATTTATACGTAACACAATATTGTAGACAATTTTTAAGTACGCGTATTTCGGAGCTCTTGACGTTTCTCTTACAACATCGCATTGGCCTATTCAATACTGATGTTTCAACAATTAGTATTCTTTTTATTTTTTAAATTAAAAAACCGAAATTGACTGACAAACGATGTAAAAATTTATAATACCTAATAATTCTAAATAGCAGAAAAAATAGTATAGTCATGCAAAATATATGCGCATACTTGCACACAGAAAACCGTTTAAATTTTTAAATGGTATAGATTATTAGTTTTTATGTCCCGTACCACTACTCATATAATTTAGCTGGTATATATATACATGTGTGTATGTGTGTATCGAGTATAATATTATTATTGTATTTATATACGTATCGATATACATTTATTAAGTACTTAAAAAAATGCCTCTATACCCTAAACTAAACTTAAAATAACAAACAAGTGACTAACAGAAATATTTGTACATCCACGTGTGTGTGTGTAATCGCTTTCGTTTGTTTTGTGGGAAAGATAAGACTCTTTTGTAACCGAAAACGATGCAAATATTACACCACTTTGGAATAATCCAGATAAATAAATAATAATATACAAATACTGAAATTGGTAATAAATGTTTAATATGACTACGATAATATTTGTACAAACTTTAAAAATGTCAACACCGATTTTTACGTATAAACAAATCGTAACAATAATCGAGTAAAATACAGATAACTGAATATTTTGTAATATATATTTACGCCTATAACCCTCCAGAGAATTCTACTGAACTATGTGAATTTATCGGAAAGTCGTCGAGTACCAATAATAAATATTTTAGATTCCGTAGGATATAATGGAACACGGTCAAGTAACTGTAAAATTGTTCCTACATATAAGATTAATTTGAACGAATAAGAACTGATAACAAATCGATCAGTAAAATAAACGTTTGATTTGATGAAAATGATTAGTCGATAACACCGAATTTCAGAACAAGATTCAACGATATAATATTAAAGTTATCAATATTTCGCTTAAACATCGCTTGATTTCGGAAGACACCAATATGTTTACCAACGAGTTGCATAATATATATTGATTAATAATAAATATTTATAATTATAAAAATAGAATATTTTGGGAGCGCTTACTTTTTTCAAATGTTTGTTCACCCATTTCGTAAACGTTTTCTTTTGTATGGCGTCTCTTTCATCTGGAAAAAAAATGCAAACAAAACTTTAGCGTTATAAATAATAAGTACCTAGCTTGGTATAACCCTATTTTTCTCCCGGTAAAACTATAGGTTTTCATATTTCATATTTTAATATATATAGTGATGTTTGCGCAAGTAAAAACCATTCATTTTTAATGGGTCATATGTAACAAGTTTGAAAGTTTGAATTCTTACTATAAAATGTATAATATGTGTAGGTATAAATTATAATGAATATAGGCTTTTGAAAAAATCACAAATAAAATCTATAGGTATACCCAATATTTCATAATAATATAAAATATATATATATATACTACATTTATATACACAACAAAAAAAATGATACAGCTGATGGGTGTACTATTGTTTTAAGATGTAAGTTAGAAGTGTATATAAGATTTATATCTGTACGCAAGGATAAACCTTTGTTAACGAATAACGATTCTAAACCTCTGTATTATTAGTCGTATTTTTGTTCTTGTAGCCGAGAAATTAATGAAAATTGTACAAATAATTGCAAATTTTTCCCATATATTATGAAAACTACAAAGAAAATCTAACAATGACCAAATTTTTAACAATTCACCAAAGAGATTAAAAACGCTACAATGAATAAATATTCTATGAAATAAAGTTTTTGATTGAAGTGACATCTATGAAGGAAAAGTTGCTAACAGACAAAAAAACAACCAATACATTTCTCACTCCGTTGAGAATCTAATACAAATATGTATACCTATAATATGTATTTTAAATTTACATACAGTATAACATTTCAATCTGTGTGTTCTATAATAACCATAATACAATATTATACACATATTAGATATGCAATACCGTGTAATTATTGTATCTGAGAGCGTTCCGGTTACACGACGTAATCGGATTTACAAGAATTGCTTTATCGCTCGTCGAGACTTTTTATCCGTGGCTTATTTATAACGTTCAAAAACGTTATTTTTTTAGCATAGTGTACAAAAGTTCCATATTTTACAGTAATTTTACATTGTATATTATCAAATTATTTCATATTTAAGTATTCTAAAATGTTCATAAGCGTATAATAAATATTATTATGTGAGCCCATTTTGTAGGTATTTTAAACAATAATATTATATTCATTTCTATATACAACTAAAACAATTTCGATATAAAATCCATCACTATTTTCAAAAATCGGTTTTTTTTAAACATACCTAGAGATACCAATAGAGAAGAATGATTATGGAGAAAAAAAAGGACATAAATAAATTTTGTTCTTACATATTATATTAACCATGAAAAAAGAAGCTCATTATTATGAGTAATAAATTATTTACATTTTCATATTGGCAAATTGTCAACCATATGAAACAGAAAAATTCAAATTATTGACATAATAATTTGGCACAGACAATATTATTTCATATATGTGCGTATAAATTTCAACGAACTACGTGACATGTCTCGTGACAACTTTCAACTGGTTTATATAAATTATAACTATAATTATTGTACAGAGTATCAATCAAAAAAAAAAATTATATATATGTACGCATATATTTAGTATTGTTATTAAAGTTTGTATGACCGTATCATAATGTATATAGAACAGTGAATCTGTATAATTATGAAACTGGGTATATGATAGGCGAGGAGAAAATTAAAAATAACCATTTTTTAATATTAATTATAGCGAATAGAGTATTCGGCACTGAATTGTTAAGAAGAGAAAGGTCAGTAGGATAAAAGAAAAAACTATACAAAGATTAAAAAATATATATATTTCGGATATTATTATTTTATTTTAATTATTACTTGCTGCGCCTGAAAATGATTTTTTTACGGATTACATTTCGGCATATAACAGGTTTAAATAATTGTTTAAGCTCAAACATATAAATCAATTTTAATAATATCTATTAAAAACGAAAAATACGTAAATGACTTGTATAATTTTTCAAATTTAATTTCTAAAGTAAAATCTCGTCGACACAATATTACTACGACTTCTATAATACAAAAAATAAATATATAAATATATGACATTTCGGTTCGAACAGATACCTTTAACAGCTATAGATAAAAGAAAAAAAAACATTAAGAATCTAAAATTTTACATTGAGGACAAAAAAAAAATACTAAAACGAATGTAATAAAAACCACAATTGGCCTTAAAATACAACTCCACAATATGCCATTGACTTTAATTAAAGATACGAAGTATATATGTAACTTTAATAGTCTATCGTTTCAAACAATACTATATATAGAGAATTTTAATGGCCCGAGAAATATTTTAATAATTGTTTAAATAAAACTTCACAATAGATAATACTATATATGATGTATGTAAAAAACTTTAACTTGATAATTATCTTAGGATTATAATATTATACCAAGGGGGGGGGGAGAAAAAGAGTGTTTTAAACGGTAAAACACACTCCTCGGCCGTGTTTAAGCCAAAAATGTATTGTCATATACGTATATTATATTATATTATATTATAATTGATGTTTCGGGTTATTCTTGAAAAATATGTAGTTAGATGATTCTATACGATCAAATATTATTATAATTTAGTCATGTGATTTTATGACTGCGTGAACCCCCTCCCTCAAGTTGTATTTCAGTATATAGTATTATAACATTTAGCCTTTTAAGCAAAATCTTTTAAAAATTCTCCGATAACGCACCTGTGCACGCGCATTTTCAAATGGAACACGGGGTATATAATTCCTTATTTTTGAATAGGATATAATATTATATGGGCAGGCACTATGTTTGAGTTCTTCAGAAAGTAATAAAATTAGATACCTATAGGAACCTATGCATAAAACAAGTCAATACGATATATTATAAATTATAATATATAATTGAACAACTGAAAACTCGATATAAATCATATGAAACTTTTAAAGCGATTATAATGCATTCAATTTAAGCACGGCGGCGTTGCCCGTGACAGATTAAATGCCCGTAAATAATAAACATAATATTTTTGTTCTCCGAAACACCGAGGTAACCTAGAAAAAAAATTACGCAATTTTTGTATTTAAATTACCACATTTACGTGCGAACCTTACTTTGGGGGAGGAATTTCCAAAAATCTCTTCTTATTGAACGTTTATTCGGTATATTATAATATGACGAAAATATAATAAAAGACTTATGTGCAAAATTACAAGTTTCTAGATCCAGTCGTTCTTTAGATACAATAATTAACCTAATTATTTGATTAATGATGAGTGAGTGAATGATATTTGGCTAATATAATTACACATTATATATGATTTTTTAAGATTAAACAATTCTCCACCGTGCAATATATATATAACGATTTATTATACAATTTTAAATATTAAAAATGAAATTGAAAAAATGATTAAAAAAATATCAATTTTTATTAAAATATGAAAAAAAAAATGACCTTTAAGAAATTGAGTCGTTAATAATTCATTCATAAGTTTATTTACATAAAATAAACATTATTTATACTACATATTATAACTATTACTAATAAATTCAAGAAAATTCATTCAATATTGTAATATATACATATTCATTAAAAATAATTATATTACCAACTAACATTTTTTATCGGCCGAATGGCAATGAAAAAATTCAGGTGCGATTTATATTTCTTATACATCTAAATAATACATGACAGGTCGTGTATATATATAAATCGATCGATAATATTTTACAATATATATCCACACTCGATGATGCATCGATCATAGTACGTTTTTAATTTTCTTTTTTTAATGTAAATATTATTCCTGATAAAAAAACGTTTAAAAAAAAAATATATCTTTTGAAATTATATTTATTCAAGCAGACATTAAGTAATATACTAATTAACTAAAAACAATTGTAGCACAAGATATCTGCTATTGGCATCTCTTAAGATCTCATCATTAAGAGCGTATAACTATTGTTCTGTACAAATGTTCTGATGCATATTTCAAACTATATACACAATGTCTTCAACGGAATACGTTTACGAATTTTCATAAAATAAATAATAATATTTTCACGTCAACAAAAAACAAAACAGTTAAAGTCAGGTTAGGTTAACAATGAAAAAAATCTGAGGTCGAAATCCCAGAATGTATATAATTTTATGGACATGGGATTGGATAAAACTTATCTTTTTCGCATTAAAAAATCCAACATAAACACTAAATGGTATTTATAATAATTATTCATAATAAATAATTTTGCCCTCCCTAGCAAGTTAGATTTTTACTAATCGTCGGCATAATTCGCAAATCCAAAAATGAGTTTTTGTACTCATGATATTTGCAATTAAAATAAATAATACCGCGTCCTTTAAAAGCCAGTTGACTCAACACATAATAATTTATCAATCTATGAATGTGTTGATAAAAATACAACGAAATTGTCACGTCGAAGAAAAAGACTTATCTTATAATTAAAAAAAAACTGTCAATTCGGAGTTTGAACTTTTGCAACGAAAACGGTTTTTGCTTTTCCAAACAGTTGCAATTTTGGAGTTAAGAATGACTTCGGTCAATTTTTGGCATTTTTCTTTTTTTAGAATTGGCTGATATTACTGTTTTTCCGATATTCGATATATTTTTCTGAAAATCGATATAATAATCACACGACATATGAAAAGATCGTAGATTTCTGTTGGAAAAATATTATTGATATCATTGGTAAATTATAATATAATAATAATTTAATACTTTAATACCAATTCCAAAGTGTATTATTACTGTTTATCAGTTTATAATGTACCTTCAAATATACCTTGGCACTATAATAGTTATAACCAAAAATTGATATGATACGCAACTTGCATTGTATACATGATATCGGTTTGACAATCGATTCAGGAAAATAACTGATACCCGATATCGGCCCGGTCCTCTATTTTAATATATGTATAATTTTGTCTTGCGCAATTTTTTTCTCTTTATCTTTCAGTTTAAATTGCACAAGTGTGTGTATTTTCAAAATTAGCGTACGCAATGTTTATCGTCGGGTGTGTACGCATTTGCTTAATTTAATTCACAAATTCGACTTGACCAGTTAACTTTTCGAAGACCATATTACATTATAATAATAAAAATAATGGTTCCATCATCGGGTGTACACACGGGCAAGCAGAGAGACCGACAATATATTATAACGGCCCGCGGGGTGATTGCAGCAGTGGGTAGGGGATTGACCTTTCCGCCACCGTATTCATAACGCGTTAGCCATAAAAAAAAAAATATTTTAAAAAAAAAACGTAATAATAAAATAATGTATATTACATTTTTATTGTTACGCTATCGGTCGCGTCATCGTCACCTCCAGCAGCAGTAACAAACGGCAGCTGTTCGCCGACGAGCACATTATTCAAGACGGCGACCAACAACACACGATGCTTCTGCACGTACGAACATAAACATAATATAATATTATGTATGTATTATATATATACAGGGTGATTTGTTTTTCATCACGATCCTATAATGGCCGCTCATACGAAGATTTTAAGTATACATTTGATTTTACAGATTTTTTTTTCGTGGCATTAAATACGTTTCCAATTGCGTGTTGTTATGACATCTTCTAGGTGATGACACCACGAAACAATAAAGGGAAGGCGTTTTTCTGTACCGCGGATGCAATAAAACTATAAAGTCGTAATATAGTAAATATTATAAAAGTGAAAAATGTATAACAAATAATAAATTAAACACACAACCTCAACCATATTTTTAACGTGGCGAACGATAATAGATTTCATCAGCAGAAATATTCGCATTTTTTTATCAAGATTATCCGCGTTTAAAAAAAAAAATTCGTAGTAAATACTATTTTTGAAAAAAATGTAACCTATAACCGGATGTCTTAAACTCAAGCAGAGAACCGCAATCATGGAAACGCGTAATACTTTTTTGTCGGTGGATTACACGCGAGACAGACGGAGAAAACAAGAATGCTAGTGACGATGTTCCTCGGTAAACACTCTTTTAAGTAATAGGAAACAGTATATAGATAATTACATTTCATATCCGCGTTTATTGATTGAACTTTATATGTTACAATCGAATTGACTAGAAATCATCGCGTACCAATAAACGCCACCACCGGTTAGCAATTGAATAAAAAAAACCAAACCACCCTGTATAAAGTGCGTGTTTATTGTATACCTACGCAATGTATATAATACTTGCTGTATGTCACATAGCGCGGCAACTGACGTAACCGTTTACCTGGTATTTTAGACAGCCGCCCGGCCGTCACCACCGCGCGATGATTCAACGCCAAAGAACTATATACGAATATAACCGGCCGACTCGCGAGTTTCATACGCAATTAGCAGAGTAGTGAGTACAGTGAAAATAAAAATAATATATTAAAAAACACTGCCTGTACCTGTAGCATAATAATATGATACACCGTCAGTCATATTTCTCTAGGTCAATATTCCAAGGCCAGGTCGGCGGCATCCAAAAGAAGTTTATTCGGGGCAGCCGAACTAGATGTGCCGCCCGGAAACCAAGTAATGACGAATATAATTGTAGCGATAGTCGCGTGTGCGGTAGATACGTGTCATGGGAAATTAATTAATCTCCGGACGGTATACACGGCATTTATATAATAGAATAAACCGTTGGGTTTGAAGTCGTTAAAAAAAAAAATAAAACAGAGAAAAAAAAGTAATATTTAGAAGCTATAGAGAAAACCGTAGGGTTCGGGTTTAACGGATTTTTATTTCGAAAACGGAATTGAACACGTTAATACCTTGTATATAAGCAGGTTTTGACGGAGACAATTTCAAATATAAAAAAATACCACGTTTTTGTTCGCCGATATTTAAAATCACTTCTAACGTAACCTAGTAAACATGTTGACCAATCAAAAGCCGTCAAACCCAATCCTTACAGTTTTGTCGGGCATTGTGGTCTAAACGGTCATAATATATTCATCCGTAAAAACGGCAATACCCGAAGTACTGTACCACATCCCATTATTAAATGGGCAGTCAGGTTAGCGGGAAAAATCTTACCATTAAGGTGGTCAATAAAATGTAAAAATATATTTAAAAAAAAATAAAATAAAATTTGTATTATAATTGTACACTAAATTATTATTATGAACAATTTTGGTAACAACACACTTATACTCGTACTTATATAGTTTAGTAATACTATATAATAATTGCATTCAGTTACAATAGTATTCTTCTGATTTTCATATTATTATGATAAAATATTATTTATTATGTTAAAACCATAAGGTGCCACCGCGTATAAACAGCATCGGTACAAAAAAATAACAATAATAATACATTTTGTTAAAAAAAAATTTATTTCCAAAAAATAATAGCGATACAGAAACCATCATATTTATAATATTTACGAAATAATAAATTGTCTTAGATGGTACTTATATTTCAAAAAGTTCTAACGTTGTATTGTTAGATTTATTAGAAAAGATATAGAATATAATAGCTGATGTAATCTCTTGTAACTCTGCAATGAAAAAATTATATTAATGGTTAGGTTCGTTTGCAATCGATCACTAGCTGTAAATAATATCAATGGCGAATCGATGATTCACACGCACGATTCAATTGATGATTATATTGTTAACCAAAACTATAAAAAATATCCAGTTCATTAAGTAGGAGGACACTGCACACCCTTTCGCATTATTATGCTACATACTTTATTATGTTAACGTTAGCCAATCGAATATTATTATTATACGTTGTAAAATTCGATAAATACGTATTGGTAGTTGCAGCTTTTGTTATTACAGGACCGGCTTACAACGCCCATATAATATACATAATGCTATAATATACTGTATATATATATATATATATATATTGTTTATTTTAATTTATGGAATCGTAATACCTGCAGCTATAACGACATTTTAAAAATAATAACAATGCTATCGCGTAGGTATCCAAATTAATCATAATATCATCACGTATTCATTTTTTTTTCTCCATATAAATCCTATTTATATGGAACTATTTACTTACGTTTATACGCAATTATTATAATACGAATTAAATGAAATGTGCTCTAAATTAATCCGGACGTAACGTACGTGTAAATCGATTTAACAGTTAGTGCGAGATAACAATAAAAGAAAATACGTGCAAATGGCATGTAATTCGAACCAATATCTTTTGCGTCAACTTCCCGGAAAATTGTTCACGTAAATAGAAAACATTCGCATTATCTACAATTCGAAATCAATAGTGATAATAATAATAGCACCAATATAGTGCGTATAAAACAATAAATATGTGTGTTAAACGAATCTAGGTAAAAATATCCATTTTGAAATATCCAGACGAAAGAAATATAAAGGTCAAAAATATATCCAAAGAAAAAATATCAAAGTATACATGTATAATTAATAAATATTCATGTTGTTATTCATATACATATACATATACATTCAAAGTAATTCTTGATTACTCAGTTACAATTTGGTTAATAACACAATATTTCAAAATCACATTCGTCAGTAAAAATATATATATTTTTCGAGTATATATTATAATAATAATGAAAAAAGTTAAAATAATAATAACTATAGTAATAAAAAGATGGTTTAAAAATCTCTTATTATCTTCGAATATTGTATTATTAAAAGTAAATTGTAACTGAGTAGTCAAGAATTACTTTATATGTATATAAATAACATTATGATTATTTATTTAATTATTATACATTTATACCTTCATATTTTTTCCTCCGATATTTTTTGATCCTTGATATTTTTTCCTCAGATATTATAGATCCGGATATTTTTACCAGTTTCCAGGAATCTTAAACGATCGAGTACAAATTCTTTATTCCATTTTATGGCAGTATATCGTATTCAGCTCAAGAAATATTTCGTTTCATTCTGTATACATCTTCAACAATAACAATCTACGTGGCTTATATATATATATATATATAATACAAAGCTACAGAGGTACTATAATATGGTGATAATTCACATTTATATTATATAAAAAAACATTTAAAACAAAAAAAATGCTTTGTAATTGTAAAATATATATATAATTGCATTATATCTATCTAAAATAATTACTTATGGAGAGGTGCACTAGACTGTCATGATGCGACGATTCGGTTCAATTGTTCAAAAACGCGATACAGACGACGACACAATATTTTATACCAGATAATCAAAAATCTTCAGACGTAATAAATTATCACAATGAAAATAACCGATGATTGTATACACAAATAATAATTATTATATTTCTATCGATTTAATTTAGAATATGTATAAATGATACCGTAAACTACACATTATTCATATAAAGTAGAGAACAAAACTGAACGTTAAGAAATGCAAAAATTTACCCATCTCAAATATACAGTATATATTATATAGCCATTGTTAAAAAGAAATGTATTATTAAAACTATACATTTTGTACAATTACAAAAATAAAATCATTGAACGATTATCTATTAAAATAATCGTCTGAAATAAAACCGGATTAATGACGATTTTTTTTTTTATTAAATCCTCTTTAACCTACGCGAATTATAATTAGCGGTGACGGTGGTGTTGTGCGTATAACCTCATCTATACAATTTTAATTTCAAAACCAGATAATATATTAATATAAAATCCGTAGTTTTTTATTAATGGATGGGTATTTGTTGTTGACATTATTTTTTACAAACCTTCAGTATTTGTGTACACAAAATATATACTTAAAAGAAATAGGAATTTTTTATAAGAGTAATTATTATTGAAGATTCCGCAAACAAGAATAACTTGGGTATATTTTTTTAATCAGTAAATCTTTATTTAACACTTTGCATATAACTCTACCATATAATACAAACTTTGTACTACTTTACTACTCAGGCTTTGTATTCTAGGCAGTTATATGCTAAGTGTTTAACAAAGATTATTTGATTAAAATCTATATCTATCCAAGCTATTCTTATATTGGTGGAATATTGAATAGTGATTACCCGTGTAAATCGATATTACAGATTGTCTGCGTATATACACAACTGGACTTGTATAACAAGCAAATGTCCTTAAAAGAACCATAAAGGTAATCTAATTTTTGTATAAATTAGTTTCTTTTTCAAACAACATCATTAAAATACATATATAAGCTACAATATTAGCTGAAAAAAAAATTAAATTTTGTCACATTTACGCATGTTTATTTGCTATCATAGAAAGTCGAATATTCATTAATATTCATTATTGGTAATGAAAAAAATACGAATAATAAAAGATTACTAAATAGATAGCATAACATGATAACACATATTTCCACAGCCCACCAACGAATTTTAAAGAACAACTGGTATTTTAAAATTCTAACTACACACCTATATGTTTTAAATAATAAAATATATATTTTTAATAATATTAAAAATTTAAGATAAAATTTGAAATTACTACACCAAAATGGTAAATAATAAATATTAATGAATATTGAATAAAACATATTATATGGTAAACGTACTAAATACTTAGGTAAATAAAAAAAAAACCGTTTAAATTTAAAGAGCCGTTCGGCGTTTATTATATAAAATAATACTGCGTACACGAGGTAAATATTAAATATATTTAATGTATATAAAATATATGCATATCATTTTTAACCAAATTTTCGAACCTTTAAAATACCGCAAAAATAAAAAATGTATAATTACAACAATTATATTACATTATAATAGTAATTAATACAAGTGTTTAGGAAAATATAAATGTAAGTGTTTCATAAATGGTAATACGTACGTATGCTCCACTTTGTATTATTCTGAGCTAAACAAAAATGTTCGACTTTGATTGAGTTTAAAAAATTACAAAAACTGTTCAAAATAAATAAAATAGAATTAAGAATACTCGAATTTATTATTTTAGTCTAACCTGTACAATGGGCGACACAGGAAATTACGTTACTTAGAGCCGTTCTCAACATAAACGTTTTCGTTTATCTGACTTTTGAACTGAGGTTTATAGCTGATGAACTGATAACCAACCACGATAGCCCTCGAATATATTCTTCTATTAAAATGTTTCTATGGACAGTGTTTAAACTCAAATTTTAATCTAAAATCTTTATTTTCTAAGTAATGTAATTTTAGTATAATATTACGTCACCGACCGCTAGTTAGACCTATATTGTAGAATAAAAATAAAAAGACGGCCATATTTCGCACTGGCTGTAGGTGAGAAGTTGGAAGACAGAATATAGAGGAGAATTTAATTTATATCTGTAATCAACGATAAACCATTGCTAACAACAACAATTCGGAGGGAAGTTTATTCTATACGTACATGTACATACATTTTCCAGTTTTTCCCAAATTTTTTCCAAATTATTATGAAAGCCGTTTTAGGAAAATCAAAACATGATCTATTTAAAGTACCAAATAGATACAATTTATTTTCAGAATAGGTGCTACACTTAATATATTAGAGTAAGATTTCTGGTAGAAAAGTTGCTCTTAGTATAAAAAATGAACATCATTGTAAAACCAAAACATTCCTCGCTAATATATAAATAAATAATAACTGAATGACGAATGTGATGTGCAATATAATTTCCACACACACAAACATCTGTAGGTACTAATTTATAATTTGTATAATAATATACACACCGTATCATTACACGGAACATAATATATGTTAAAATATTAATAAAATTGTTTATTCGAGTTAATAAATTATACATTAGGTAGCAGTGGCATATATTTTATTTAAACGACTTAAATTATACGTTTCTTAAAAATGTCTGAATTGGAAATTCGGGATTTCAAAATGTATAAATTACAAATACTATTTAAATACAGTAAACTGGTATACCTAATGATACGTCGTACGATATATTTTATGAACATATAACGGACCTATATGGTCAATTATTATATCGTGTACCTATCTTTTATTTTCATATATATTTACATAATAATAGGTATATCGCGGCATCTTAAATAACGAAATATATATTCTTTATTATAATCACTACGATTAAAACTAAATAACTGTCAATAAAAGTATGAGGACAAACGTGTTATTCGTCGTTAAATCATCTCAACTTTGATAATATAATAGGCTCGCTGCATTATTGATTGTTGTTTACAACTTGGTTCCAATATCGCCGAAACGTTTTGTCTACTGTACACCGTTTTACCAACGGATAACCAAAAGCCGAAGACAGTAAACGTTGTTTTTTATTTGTTTTCTGATTGTGGCAATCTGCAGGTTGTTGCGAAGTGCATTCAATATCAAACAATTGTAGTAAATAATAACACCAAAACCGTTTGTTCGCTATAAAATAGTAACCAGATTACTCAAAATTGCATCGCTAAAACACGCCTAATATTATCACTATAGTAACTGAAATAAGCATTGCATTATACACTATACACTTATATTATTGTTTTGTTTAAATTCTCAGCGGAGCGAAAAGAAGCTATTAGTTTAATTTTACAAGATGCGTTTTCTCTCTTTCTCACTCAGTAAACACTTTTTCGGTTAGTAAAAATACTCCGGTTTATCACACCATACATAACTTAAAAATACGAAATTTCCGACCGATAATACTTTTACGTAGACAGTTGTCCTAAATTCTCGATATTTTTTGTACAAAATTAACAAAAAGACAACGATGGCCATAAATCGGTTTTGTTTTTATTGATTTCGTTATTATAGGGGAAACAACAACAGGGAAAAACCTCAATTAATACTATAATTACCTTTCCATTTTATCAAACTCAACTTAAAATAGTTATCGACTGAAATGATTTATCATTGATTTTAGTTTAGATATAAACAAAATTGTTCTGCATCAAATATATTCACGATTTCTCATCAACAACTATAGTGTTGCAAAGTATATCCGGCATTCTTTTTATTTTGAAATTCAAAATTTATTTAATTAAAAGTTACTTATTATAATTGTATTTTCCAATAAAACAATTCGTTAAAATTCTAAATAAATTATGAGTCAAAATATCGAAAAAAATTGTAATTCATCCAAAATCAAAATATATTATAACACTAATTATGAAATCGCTAGAATATATTAGTGTATTTTAGTGGTATACTCGTATATAACTAAATTATTATATAAAATATAATGCAGGTCATTATTGATTTTATAATACTTGTTTTTAAATATCTGTTGAGCAATCTAGATTGATGAAATTATCATCGAAATTACATTATTTATGGCCAAAAGTATATTAAATAAAAAAAAAAAAAAAAATATTTGGTATTTTATATTATAAAAGAGAATAACTAGTAGAGACACTATAGACACTCAGCACCCTAAGGTTATAAACAAAGTAGAGACCCCCTCCTAGAATTGTCCTAAATAATCTCAAAGATGCCCAAATTCCTACCATACTCATATCTAAGTTTTAGACGTTGAAAGTAGACGTTGAATGACGATAACTAATATTAATAGAATATTATATAGTGTGAAAAATAAAACTAACCTACTTTTTGTAAGTAAAAATTGTCCTTCGGATGGCTAATTACTTGTGTAGGGAGCCCTAAAGTCTCAATTTTTTAACTTGTCCGGTGATTATGCCAATGAAAATACCTATTTTAATTTAAAATACAAACAAAATTCAGATACAATGAAAAAAAAAAAAAACCGTTTCACTTTAAAAATACTTATAAATTATCATCTACTTTGTACGCTCGTATTACTATTATTGTTTGTAATATTATGAATTTATGACAAATGACGCAATATGTGTGTAAAAAATGAAAATTCACCAAACGATAAAAATAATATTTCAGCAGCACGAGACTTTTAGGTGCCTATAATTTTCGCTATCGCACAAACTTTATTATTTTATAGTATTTAATCTTCGGTTAAATTACACGCGGATTAAAAATGTAAATACAAAGGTATACGTCATAAACGACATGATTATTTAAATTAACATAATAATATAATAAAGAATAATATGGGTCATCGGTTGTTCTCATAAATATAAACTTATTAGTATAGGTATATAAAATATTGTTGTTACAAATTCGATCATGGCCGTAAAGAAAAAAAAATGGGTGATACCAAATGCACTTTTAATGTTACAGCGAAAAACGTCCTTCAAAATGAATATCATAATAGCTGTTTTGTAACGTTTTATATAGAATAGGTAACTACTTGTACTCCGAAAAAAAAGGGTTTACATAGGGCTACTATTCTATACAGTATGATAAAAAAAGCTATTATACTTAATATTTAATAAAAAAAATTCTAAAAAATGAACAATACATGACAATATTTATAAATACTTGTGGTATCGACGTAATAGACATTAGTTTTAATAAAATGATCGACGGACAATATATTTTACAATATTGGTATTTTACGATATCTATTATTATCATGGGTGGTAAAAAAAACTTGACGAATGAAGTAGACGCGAGGAAACCTATATATAGATGCAAAATTGAACATTTCAACTTTCATTGCTTATTGTCGCTTGATAATCAATATATTGTCAAAACATTATATATTTTAATAGATAATATAATCATAATCATTATTTATTTTATGTCTGTAAACAAGCCGAAGCCCAAAAACACAATAATAGGTATACAACAATGTAAACAAAACTAAAACTTAACAAATTATAATAGTATAATATAGTAGAGTATATATTATAAAAATATTTTAAGAAATTATAAATAATAATTTAGAAATAAAATGGATAGGGTAAATGCTTCATAAAAAATTCCGAATTCAAACAATAATCATGCAGCATACGATTTTAAAAGAAGAAAAAAAGTTGATACTGCTGATGATGGTGTACGGTAAACCATTGCAAATGGAAAACTATTCTGAACAGAGTACAATTACATACCTACAATTAGTCGTATTTTTCTCTTGTCACCAAGGTCATCCAAAAATCTACAAAAATTACACATTTAATTTCCATTTTGTATTATTTATTTAACTACAATAAAAATCAAAAAATGACATCATTGTACCAACCATTGTTCTTTTACATTTTTCGATTTGAGCAACATTACCGATAAAAAAAACACATTAAAGTAAAACCAATACATTTTTCGCTTCTCTCAAAATCTAAAACGTACTAAAAACTATTACTAAAATTGCACAGTATATAAAAGTCCTGATATGCACGTATAGTTTATCCTCCAACTAATGTTTACAAAAAACGAAAAATATACAAAAATTAAAGAAATGTAGATACCTATACACACATACACACACACACACACACATTATTGCATATTATATTGCCTGTTGTTTCTTGTATCTCAGCGTATATGATATATAGATATATATATTATTATTATATTATTCTAAAGCCTATAAAACAATAATAAAAAAATATCATGTTCCCTTCTTTAGCGCCTTACTACATCTGCAGTTTGACGCATAGGTACACTGCAATAAGCACTAGATTGTTTCCCGTTTAAAATTATGCACATAATATGCACCAAGATATATATATAGCTGAGTATTACGGAGTGTAAGTAAACGATATCAACTGTACGACACACCCATATGAATAATAGGAGGATATTTCCACCGGCTTGACCGGTATTACGCGCGGCTCTAAACGAAAGTTATTGTAAATGACCACGAGGTTTTCCCACTATAGTAATATAAAAAAAAAAAAAAAAAAAAAAATGAAATAATAATAGGTAATAGACAGATATAGTATTACAACAATATATAAAATTGTAATATTTAATCAACTAAAAAGTTCGTTTATGTGCCGTGTAGGTATATAATATATCATATCTCTCCCCTTCCCACTGAGTTAAAAGATAGTATATATTATATATATTGTATATATTACATCTACCTAATAATTATGCACAGTGGTTAGACAAATTAATAATATGCATTCTATGCGCAGGATAATATTATTATAGGTGCACCGTAATCAAATAATATAATAAAATTAAACGATTAAATAAACGATGTTTTTTTTTTCCATAAGCTATTAAATACCTGACTGAGATATTGAATTATATTATTATTATTTAATTATAAAACCGGAATAAAATGCCAGACACACTTTAAGCCACGGGTTCGAAAGGTTTAGAATTCAATTTATAAGTAATATATAGACCATTTAAAGTGGAAAACAATTCTGAGTAAGCTCGATAAACTGGTAACATGTATAATATTATATAATACTTCTTTTATTTCTACTTTTAGGCAAGGTGACCTAGTTTTCAATTTTTGTAGGAAAACTGTTAAGATTTTGTTTTCAAATTGAGTATATACCGCAGCTGGAAAAATCCGCGTTTTTTTTTTTCAAGTACGATACTACGATAAATAATTTGGAGCATTTTTAAACTAACCGAAAAAGTGTTTGCGGGGAAAAATACACATCTTAGTATAGAAGATTCTTCTTTGTTGCATTGAGAATTTCAAATATAAACGATGTAGATACGTGCGAGATTCCACCATAATAAGAGCGAAAATTTGATAAATTACCTACGAAGTAGTAATTTTGTCCGAACAAATACTAATTATTTTCCCAACAAGAATTTTCATGCAAGTATATAATACTAATTATTAAACAATAATAAATGATTAACAGTTGTATTACATTGCACGTTGAACTATTATTATTATGTTGTATCGACTGACTGACCTTATTATACAGTGACTTTTGACAAGTGGGTACTCGTGCGTATTATATTGAGAATCATAATATTTAATATACGATACGATACTATATCAATAACAAATTTGTGTGCAATTCACTAATAATGTGAGTTTTATGTTTTCAGACTAAATAAATTATAACATATAAGTACATTACTCAGCTTCAAACTCAGAGAGAGGGAGAGGGGGTTAAGAGAATTCAGTCCCCTCCCCCATCGCATTAACCGTATTAAAATATTGAAAAAAAAAAGTTTATATCAACTTTATTCAGCATTGAAAATGCATTACTAATCAAACAATAATTATTACAAAGTTACACTATAACTCATTTAAGTACTAATAATTATTATTGTAGTTGGTAAATATTAATATTATGTACTTTGCAAAATAACCACAAGAAAAATAAGGCTTTTTTCAAGGCTTATTTAAACCAGTTGAAATATCACGCAAAATAGCTACACCACTCGTGGGTATTACATACTATTTCGAATTATTATAGAAGGAAATTACAAGATAACGGAAATATCTGATCAAAATAAAATGTATAAAGGTAAGTATCGCATATTATATTTGTAATATAGTATCGTGAAGTCTACCGTACAATGAAAATGTATAGCTTTAAGCGTATCAAAATGTAAACCGCTTACAAAACGAAATTTAAATGAAAATAATAGTATAAATCGAGGTACTTCTATAAGTCTATATGACTCGAAGGACTAAAAAAATAACCGTCTTGTGTACAGTGAAATCTAAAATCATCATAATATCGTATGGTATACATTATAATATGTAAACATATTTAAGCTTTGTTCCGTTTTATTACCAATTAAATCGTTTTATCACTGCAATAAGCTACCGAAAAATGCAGGCATGGATATTAAATAAAAATACACATACATATTATACTTAAATAAATGCAATTAATTATATTGTTTTATTAACAACTCCGAGATCGAGTTAAAACATCTATATATATATATATAGTTTGTTTTATAAAAAGTATTATTTTAAAAATATTTACATAATATATACATACAATAAATTGCTGACACTGTGGATGGGTGTGCTGTTTTAGGAAAGCATATAATATAGTTATTTAAATAATAAATGTACGCAACGACAAACAATAACCAACGAAAAAAGGATTCTGAGTTTAATAATATTAGTCGTATTATTGCCCATGTTGCCGAGGTAACTCAGAAATCAACTAGAATTATGTATACAAATACCAGTTTTCGCCATCCATTAAGAAGACTACAAGGAAAATAAAAAAGGACTTCCAAATGCACCAATTATAGATCACTATACAGGAAAATTTTTCATTGAAACAATATTTCTAGTAGAAAAGTTGTTTACAGACTCAAAAAGAAAAATATTATAGTAAAACCAACACATTTCTCGAGCGGTATAAAATCTAATATAATGCAACTAAACATTTTTTTCATCCATATCTCGACTGTGATAAATAAAAGTTCTACTACAAATATATTATTGATGATGATTGAAAATTAAACACGGTTATATTATAATTATATTATGCTGTTGTACAGATTGTAAGTATGCTATCGTTTTCATACAATACCCATACATTGATTTGGTACGATTTGACAAACGCGATAAAACTTTTTTTCCAATACATACATTTTTTTTTTTCTAAGCCCGCTGAAAAAAAGAGCTTGTATCTAAGGGTCGTCGTGATATTTATTGAAATTATAATATCGAACGGAACAAAAATGCCATTGAGCATATTTGTCGTGTATCACATATTAATAACGTACTGAATCAACCCGTGTATAATAATATAAATAATTAATACCATTATCTCGGTTATTGCAGTACACTAATAAAATGTTACATAATTATATGATACGGCGTGGCGGCACAGAATCGACTTGACGATTTTAATAATAACGAGTGTAAATATAATTGAAAAAAAACAAAACAAAAAAACAATGAAAAAAAAAACGATTGATCACGATTCACTATGACGATCGTCGAGACGATTCGAGTATATACGTCTCCGTTTTCGTATCGCTGCACTAAATAATTGATAGGTAGGTATCGTCGGGAGGTAAGTATATATTGATTAAATGCTACGACGATGACGATGATGATGACCGGGCTTCACCAACGGCTTCATAATCATTTTTTTTTCTTTCTAGTAGGTATTCTTATTTTTGGCCATTATTATTTCGATCTGTTCCTTATTTGGCAATGCATTAATATGCTGCATTATTTTAATAATATACACACCAACGACGGCGGCGGCGGCAAAAACCACCGGTATATATACCCTGCCCACACCGCATTCGCCTACTCTCGATCCACACCCCGGGGTTTGTCATTCCGGATTAGGTATACTCGCATAATACCTAGGTATACATTATGTACCGTAAATAAAACAAGAAATTCAAAAGTGCGAGGAAATCGCGTTGTTCGGTATTTTTCCCCCCTTCGGGATAAATATCGTATTTTTTATTAGATCTTATTATATATTATTATTTTTTTTTTTACACCTACCGGAGAACAATGACAATCATATCATACTAGTGGCCATTATTCTATTATTATGTTATGATCGCACTGTACATAATATTATACACGCGTTATGTAATAATAATAATAATAATAGTAGACCTACTATTCGTCCTATTGAAAATTAATAATTATATAACAATAAGCAATGTTATATTTATTATTTATCTGGATGTGCAAACATATTGTAATGTTATATCATTATTAACCGATTATACACTTTTAACCGCTAATTTAAAAAAATAATAAACGTATATATGAGGCGAGTATTTAAAATCGTATCTGTAAATCTGTATACTATGTAATTACAAACAGAACTGCTACTAAATGCTCACTTGATATATAAATTGAATACAATGGCAGTTGAAAAGCTCAAGTTAATTTTTGTTGAACTTTCAAACTTTTCTTGTTATTTATTTTTATCGTTAAATAATGAACACAGCTAGTTTTAAGTTTTCATTTTGTTTACTGAACTTTTTCAATTTATTTTCACTAACATCCAGACATCCCGTTGAGTTAACGTATTTAAAACGAACGATTTATTTCGAAATTCAATCCTGATTGACTGTTCTCGGTCACTACAATATGTTACTAAGTTCATAATATCAGAGTTTCTATTAATATTTATAATGTGATAGTTAATTTTTAAATAAATTAAAAATACGTAAATGCTATACGTAAATATATAAATATTATGTATTAATTATTATTAAACACTTTGAACTGAATCATATGAACGCAATTCTACATTTCAACTTTATACTTATTTTAACAAGTTAAATTGATTTGTTTATTTACCTCAAATTAATCGAGTTAGTTATTTGCATTAACTTGCACCTTCGATTACATATTACATATAATTTTTAACATTACTTAACCTCATTATTTTCCGGAACATTTTTAACTCAACTAAATCATTGTTATTGAGGATAACTCGTCGTAGCATTTAATTGTGTATACGAGTAATTTTCGTTCGGACGTCATCACGTCCTGTAATTCCGTATTCGCGGTCGTATACCGTAAAACTTTTTTTTATAGACCTCCTAAATATATTTTTGTACCGTATACGTAAATTGAAATAAAAAAATTCCCGGTATATCGGATACAGCGCCAAAACGAGCGTCAATTCACACACAACATGGTGACTAATTCCCCCTTTTTTTTCTTAGACGTATAATCTTCTAGTATCAACATCGTTCCGAAACAAAAACCCAACGATTTGTCTATACTAACAGTGTTTAAAAACCTTAAATAGAAAAAAAAATCACTTATCCGTCACGATATATTCCGTTATACATTTTCCCGGATTTTTTTTAGATTTTATCCTACACCAGCTGAGTAAATAAAGTAAATAATATAATACTGCGTATATTGTACATTGATATGAATTGAATTGTTTTTTTCAATTTCATTCCTTGAGAAGTCAAAATTATATTTCAATAAACACGATATACGAAAAGAAAAATGAATAACACTAATATAATATTATAATATGCTTTAAAATGTAATAGGTATTTTTATAAAACTAAAAAAAAAAAATTAATCTACAATACTTAAACAAGCGACAAATAATAAACACGAAATAATATAACTCTGGGGGGGGTGTTTTTAACCAATTTTACAATATTTTCATATTGAGAACAGGAGTAATTTACACGTAAATCAAAATTATTATAATTTTTGAAATTTAAATTCAAACACATTTTACATAAATTCCCTTACTTTTTTATATTTCCCTTGGTTACAATGAAAATAAGTTTTACATGGGTGATACCGAAGGTTTTTTTTCAATGCAACTTTTATTTTAAATTTTCCGACAAGTGTAATTAAATTGAACTTTTATAACATTTTTACAAAATATTAGCACCAAGACTCCAAAATGTGTTTTTAATTTTAAAACGTTTTTTTTATTTTGCGATTTTTAACGGCATTAAATCACAATAATTTTACTATGCTAATATATCTGATTTATACCAAAAACGAGTTTCATGACTACACGATTTTCTATTCAACAATTTATTTTGGGGTTTTGATGTTTTCAATTTCATACAATTTTGGAACATAATTAAAATTCAGTACATTTTCAATGCGTTTTAAACGTGATTTGTATAGTTTTTTTTTCTAGTGAATGTTTTAAGCGCACACATCGGCGTGTATTTCAGAATGTTGGGTTAGGGCGTATAAATGTCTGCCTTACACGTTGCGGGTACCTGCAACTTTTTTTATAAACGTGCATCGAAAATTCGAATGATTCAACGGTAACTATAGAACACCACACCGTATTGGTGATTAGCGCAGACGAGCGACGCGGATCCAGTGTTGGGATTTAATGTCGTACACGGTGTACCGGGCAACGGACATACGAGATGATTCGACGCCACCGAGAGGACGTATCCGGCCGTCCGCCCGCGCACGCAGCGTGATCCACGCGCCTATACAGACCTTGGCCGGCCGCGAGGCGCCGCCACTGCGGCCGCCGGTCGCCCCGGCGGTGCTGCAACGGCCCGGCGTAAAGAAATGTGTCGCGCGCGTGGCGTCGAGGGCCGCTAGGCGACTGCTATACCCGGCGTACAGGTATACTGCCTATATTATCGTACAACTTACTGTGCGCTACACTCTACACAATATGCAATGAACACCGCTACGGCGTAGGTTCGCGGTTGACCTCGTTAATTCGCGGCGCTAAAAGTTTGTAAGAAAATATAGGGCTGCGCGTAATGATAATGTAGAGGAAAAAATAATGCATATAGGTATAATATAAAACGTTTACGTTGTTATAACTTGTAAAATATTGCTATGACAAACCTTTAAATTTGCACAGGTTCTCCTCGTAACCGCGTTTCGACTTGCGGAACGTCGCGGTCGTGCCGTCCCCGTTGGCCGTCGGCTCGTCCGGGTCGAACCCCAGACGGTCCTTGTAGTACGACATCCCCTACGACACCGCCAAGGAATGACGGCGGAGAGGAGGAGGACGCGAACGACAATCGGGAAAGGTAGATGAGATAAGAAGTAGCGTTTAGCCGGGTTGCCGGAGTTTGCGGCGGCCCCTTTCTTTTTTCTATTTCTCTCAACCGCTACACCGCGGTAACGTCCTTTTATAAAAACAACAAAACACAACAATTTGAACACGCGCTCGACGGCGTTGTAACGGTCGCAAACAATAATAATAATAATAATAACAATGCGTTTAATACATTATATTATAATATTATTCGATTTGCTCGTTCCGGCCGCGGTATAATAACGAACACGACGACGGGATATTATATCATTAACACCGGCGTGCGGTGATTGCTGTTGACACACTCGCTATAGGTCGACCGCGCGCGCGCGCACACGCAAAAACAATACGCAAACAACACACGCACAGCGAACACCTGAAACAATATAATCAGGACAACAGGCCGCCGACCACTGGTCACATACACATGGTGCACGCGCGTATACACTATTATACGACACACGTACATACGCACGCCCCCTTTTAATACGTCGTCGCGCCAAGCACACGCATCGACGCGTCGCGTCACAGCGTCCTAATATGCGGCGGACACGTTATACCTGTACAATACAACACGCTATTATACGCTTGTGCGCCGGGCGGCGGGGATGACTTTCCCCTCCTACCCCGTCCCCACCGCCGGGCCCGCCGGTTCGCGGGCGGCACGGTAATCCGTGCCCCGAATGGAATTCGCGCGCACCGGTCCCGCGGTCGTAGTCGCAGCCGCCGCCGCACACACCGCGGGACAACCCGGTGGGCGACGACAGTCCGTGGGACGCGGGATTGGCGTCGGCCGCCTCGCCTTACATGGAACTGCATTACACCCGATGGTTTTCCACCACACGCACGGGTCATCGACGATACTAATATTGTAGAATCAGAAAAAAAAAACAGACTTCGGAGGGGACGGCCCCGTAATAATAATGTTAACGCGCGTGGGCAGACAGACGCGCGACGAGACCTAATGCCGTAATATTATATAAGTAGCGTTTTTGCCCGTTTTGATACCTACACTCTCGATGGGTGCAAAACCTTCGAGCCGGCATCCGCCAATAAAAATCGTCGTGGTAGTCGAAAAGCGAAAACCATTGAACGGTGATGCATCTATATCATCGTGTGTGTTAATAAATACGTTCTTTTTTCCGTATCGTCCGTGGGTTGTCGCAGAAATTTAAAAAAAATAAATAACGCCAATCTACAAAAATATATCCGCCCGCGGTAAAGGAGAGGCGCGCAATACTTTAATTACACGGTTCGTCTATGGTTAATTCCGATTTGAAACGTGTCCGATGAAATTATAGGTACGATGGAAACAACGTTTCAATCAAGTTTTAATTAATATCGTAACACGCAGTTCCGCGGATGGAATAATCAAAGAAAAACAGTCATTACTTTTTCCTACAATATGCACATAAACTGATAAAATACTAATAATTTTAAAATTATAATTTAAATAATATTATTTATGCGTACACCTATAAATCGTACAATACATCTACGAACTGTTCGATTTTCAAAAATAAAAATTACAAATAAAGGGCTCAGTGCAACAACAAGGCAAGTTCGAAATTAATTTTTGAGGAAAACAATAAACGTTACATAATTTGATGCAACAATAATTAAAGTCCGTTTACTATAAATACGGAAAAAATAGTGATAAGGGCTTGTCTGTTTCAATTTTAGGCAAACAGACGATGAGTATTTTCTTTTTACTAAACTATTTCAAAAACTAGATGTTTCTTGTCGTTGCACCAGAAACCTATGTATAGGATAGTTCATACACATTTCAAGAAAAATTCGGTTTCAACTTAAAAAACCAGAGATCGTAACGACGTATTCGATCGAGGAAACAAACATTGAACGAAACGTTCCATAGTTTATTCAAACTATCGAAAACGATCGATAAACTGCTATAAATTATTTGGAAGTGTCCATCGCTGTAATAAAGAATTTTAAAAAGGCTTAAAAAATGTTTAAGTACTCAAAAACGATTTTGAATTGATCACCAACACTGTCACAAAATAATAAATAGTATAGTTGTACGATTCACGAATATATCATTTCTTTACCGAAATTATAATGAATACATCACTACTATAGCCGGGGAGGGGGGGGTAGACTAATACATAAACCGATACTCGATATTGATAGTATCAGTTTTATCGGTATTTTTTGTGAAAATCTATATTTTCGAAGAAAAATGTCTATGATGTTTCTAGAACTCAATTCAAAAGGATTTTAAAAAATTGCGTATTCGCACAATATATTGTTTAATTTTAATGGTTTTTGATTGATTTCGGACATCGGGTATCGGTAGCATATTATATCGGAAAATCGGATGTAAAAAATGGCATCGGTCCATCCCTAACTATTACAGACAATTTTGTATCGAAAATAAACTTGTAATAGGTAAGTTGCTGAAGAGACTATTATTTTTCAAAACAATGACTTTAGTCAACATTATAACTACACTTATATAGGTATACAAGAAAATATTTCAAATAGAAATTTCCCAGGGTATATATTATATTCATCGTCATTACGTAAGACGTATTGTATGTAACAATATAACTACATGATTTTAGTTGTAATTATGTTACATTTATCGAAGAATAGGTATAAGCGGTACAGTGTTTTCCTAAAGGCCAAATTTGTAAAGGTCATACTATACTACTATACATGAAACAACTATTATTATAAGTAGGTAGTGTGTAGACCGCTGAGTGATTTCATATGTACAGACATATTATTAACTTCCTTATGTTTTCTATTACTTTATTTTATTATTATGTAAGAACATATAAATAAATATATTTATAACAAAAAAAAATGGTGTGTAAATAACGGCGTAATAAACGAGAACAGCTTTGGTCTAATTCAATATTCCGTCAGATTGACAATAATTAACCTCCATGTGTAATATAATGTACCGAATAAACGGATGAATGACAAATAGAGACCGAAGACGATCAAGAACATCAAGAAAGATGATTTCTGATGCGAGACAGACAAACCGCAGAGAATTGAAGAGAGGCTAGCGTGCCTCAGGTGTTAGAACGGAGAGAATATTGAGAAATTGCAAAACCAGCCGTAGGTTCGAAAACCGATTATTTGACAAAATTAACAATACCTATAGGTACCGGGCATTAATAAAAATACAAATTCGTATACTACACGTGTAACTATTGCGTATTAAATATTGGAAAAAAACAAGACAAAAATTATTAATTTCCAAATCGAGAGGAGAGGAGAGGAGAGAAACACGTTAAATATGAATTATGCAAATAATTAACTGTATAATATATATATTTTTTTTTAAATATTGTAATTATTGCAAACACGTGTAGGGTATAACATACTGCATAAGTTAATATCAATAAAAAACGAATAAACTAAAATATTTTATTACACGGAATTAAATAACTAATACAGACGTGAACAAAAACATCCTGTAGAAAGTTATTAAGCGATAAAAATTAAATGAAAATCAGCACACCAAAGGTGGGCAATAATACAAAATTAATAATCATTATATTTTACAGAAATAGATTTCTATATTTCAATATAACGTGTGCATCAACTTTAGTACTGTTTTTTTTTTCCGTTTTAGTACATAATAATTTCAATAACGTATAATTAACCAAAATGCTAAATTGTTATATAATTATATATTTCACTTATATTTGGATATAGGTGGCTTAATTTAATAATGTATAGTTTGTTCAATAATACACAACAAGATATTATAGTCTGACTGAATTACAAGAACTAAAGTATAATTATTATAGTTGAACGATTTATTTATTTATTTTTTAAGGATAGTTATTAATTGTTATTAATGCATATAAAATTAATACAAGTCTATACAATTAAATATTATATCGTATATTTTCATAATAACGTTGTAATTCGTGTTTATATATTTTAATGTCCTTTCTGTTTAGTTGTTTGGTATACTCGTAAGTCGTCGAGCGTTAAAATCATTTTTACTAAACTATATAATATATCTGTGATTTGATACAAGAAGAGTCAGTCAAAAAAATAAAATAAAAATAAAACTTATTGCGATAATTATCGAATTTTTGATGGATTTTCGGAAATACGCTTATTTTATTTAACTTTCAATTTTTTTTTTTCTGACATTGGCCTTAGTACTAATACTGAGGAAATTATACATTGTTTGATTTTATCGTAGATTTAAAAGAAAAAGATATAGTTTTTTATCTATAGATTTTATAAAGCAAAGGTAAGATAATAATACGGTACCTAAAGATTTTGTAAAGTTCGCACGTCCAGGAGTAAACCAGTATTTTTTAGCAATATACAGGTATATATTTTATTTATTTAAAACCGAAAATAAAAAATATTTATAAAAGTTCGGATTTAAATACTTAAGTTATTGATATTTTCCTCTCAGTTCTTTTTCACTTCAAGTTTAATATTTCGACTGATTCTTAGCAATTATATAGTTGAATTTATTTGCAATAAAATATATTAATTTATCGTTTTATTGTGGATACGAATTACCTACGCCATGCAGTTTAAACATTTTAAGTATAAATAGCAAAACTTTCCAAACGCGTACGACAATGTACAATAATAACTAGGTAATTTAAAATTAATATATTTTTATTTCGTGCAGTGTCTATATTATTGATAGATATGGACAAGATTTATTATTCGGAGTTCTGCTGATAATGAAACGTCAAGTCGTCGCGCGATAAGTTCATCATAATATAGGTTCGCGATCTAATAATATACGGTGAAACAACAAAGAAAAAATGAATTTAAATTAAAAACTCCACTATGATTTTTCAATGCAATTATAAAAATAAGAACATATAATATAATGGCATCATTAAGATTCCGAAGTTCTCAAATTTAAAGCAGATAGATTTAAAGCTAGAAATCCGTTATGCAATGGAGAGTTTAAAAATCGAACATTTAAAATGCATATTTTTACACATTTCGTCGATTTTAGGAGAAAAGTGCATATTAATTCATCGATATTCATACTCATACTATAATGCAAAATAGATATTTATCGAAAAAAAAAAAATAGATTTATTTTTAACTTTATATTAGAGTCAATCAATAATATTATCGACTGGCACCTATGCTTATTTCCTGGTGAATATGCAACAGTGCTCACATAAGCGATTCTGCATAACACATTTATTTTGTAACTAGAAATCAATGATAAGAGACAACGGTTGAACCGCCAAAACGAAATGATAACACCAGAAACCTTGAACGGGTTCGACCATAAATAACAAAAATATTTTAATATCTATAGATTTGCCCATGTTATTTGATCATATTATTAACTACTTCGCGAAAAAAAAAATTTCAAAATAATTATCAAAAATAAAAATAACAATGCACGGATATATAATTATACGGCCCACGGTGAGGGGCGTAGGGCATTCCCTCCCCATCTCTAAGCACGCCACTGCGTTTATTTTGGTATTTAATCCGATAATACTGGAAATGTATATTTTTTTTAAACCTTCAGTTCAACAAAATGTCAAAATGTCAACTTGTACCAAAACTTTAAAAAAAAATTATTATTTTTTTGTGTGCATATTTTGCCATATAAACCTCCTATAACTTCCAAGTCCTAATCATTATTTTTTCACTAGAATCGCATTATAAATTCTATGATATAATATATAGTTCTTGTACAAATAATTTGAAGTCAATATACTGTAAAAATAACTGACTTCTTTTAAACTCAGTTATTTATGACGATGAAATAAATATTATTTATGATACAATAATACATATATATTAAATTGTTAGATATTATCTTGACAGGAGGTGACAAGTAATAAAATATTACGTTTAAAGCCGATAAATAATATTATACCTATTCGAGGAATACGCATATTTCGAATTCAAATTATTGAAAATTAAAAAAATAACTATAATACAACCATACAACTAGCAATATGTATATGTATATGTATAATACTAGTTTATGTATGAAAAAAGTGTAAGTACACATAAAAATAAGATAAAATAAATACAAATCCGGACGTATTTTGCACTGGGTATGCCTGCACTATATAGTAGGAGGAAAATTTAAATATTTAACGATACAGAGTAATTTTATTTATATGCCTACTGAAATCAACGATTTTATAAAAAAAACTGTAGGAAAACTGGACATTTTTTTTTACAAATGAAGTCTCTCTGGTTTAAAATCCGCATCTTTTAAAGTAAACATTAAAAAAAAAATCGTTCCATTTTTACAAACCGGAAAAAAGTATTTTCTGAGAAAAGAAGGTAATGGGAGAAGTTTTTTTACGGGAAAACATTTTCAAGTATTTCGAGTAAAGTACCACAGGGCGTAAATTCATTAAAGGTACTACGTGAAAATAACCAGGGTATTTAAAGTGTTGAAAAAAAATGGTAATAATAAATTATATATATAGATAAACTATAGCTTGTTCGGCACATTCAGAATCCAAAACTCAATTCTATATATGTATAAAAAATAAAACGTTGAACCATCGTAAAACGAATTTCTATTACAAATAGTATAGTATACCCTGCAGAATGAAACACGCAAAATTTGGAACCTTCAATAACCGTTATACCTATATATTAAAATTACTGAACATTTATATTTTCTAATTCAACACGCGCGTGAGAAATTAATTTTTACGTCACGAACTTAAAAAATTATAAACAAATAAAAATACCTAATTCGCAATGAATTTAATTGCAATCGGCACAATATATTATTATGTATTGGGGACACAACAACAAATTATCCCATCGCGGTGTAGTCGTGTAAAGATTAAAAGTAAATTTTATAATCATGGATACGACGTATTCGCCGCGATGTATATAATATCTTGTTGATGTTATAGACGGATAAAAGACATTATCGTTTAAAAATGCATTCAAACATCAATTTAAATAACAAATTACTGACGTTTTTTTTGTAAAATATACGTCTATAACCTAAGCAAAACCGTTAAAGAAAATATAATTGCTTTAGATATTTACACATTTTAACCGTAGGAACAATAAATTGACGTTTTGTCGTATATGTGAAACATAATATTATTTTATACCCCATAAATTACGCAAAATTATTGAATTAAATTTATTACACGTTCCAGTAATTTTCTAAACGTAGTATACATCACTGTAATTAATATGAAATTGTTTTTTACTATGACATGGTTTTTATAAAATGTCATATATAATATTATATTCCTACAGTTTTAATGTCATCGGCTGTACAGTAATCAGATAATAATCTGTCATTAAGTCATTTACTAGACCTAGCTGTCCTCGATTCGATAATCATTAAAATGGATATAACACGAAACATTGTCAAGGTTTTAATGTAGGTATAATCCAAATATTCCTAATTTTTTTTTTTTATTTTACTATGGAGACAGCAGACTTCGTCGAAATTCGTGCATCATAAGAAAAATGTCTTTGGTTCAACAAGGTCGAACGTAACAAAATTATACATTATTTATTTATATACTCGTATAATATGGAAGACCTTATTGTAATATCGTTTACGTATATTACATTAATTTTGTCATTTTCGTACGATATTAAAAAAAACAGATAAAAATAACAATTTTATTAAATAACCGTGTATAAAATATTGTATTTTGATAAATAAATAAAAACATTGCATATTATTATGAAAGGTTTCGTATGCATTTTGTCAATAAAAACCCGCGTAAGAACAATAAAGACAACAAATAGACAAAACAACAAGGTTTGTGAACTATTTGTTACAAACTGATGATATAGGATATGTAAATAAAAAAAAAACCAAGTTTAACCTACATTAAAAATAATATACGCCATTCTGTATTACAATGGTCAGTATTCTAAAAACCGAAAAATTGATAACAATACTAATTAATAATATCACACGCTAAAAATTGTAAAAGCTAAAAATTACAATGCTATCAGATAATAATTATAATATATATTACAATATAATGTATGCAAACTGTTTTTAATCAGACCAAAATCAGACCTTCGATTTATCGATCCGATTACGGGTTATTTGTCGAATCGATAAATAAGATAAAAGTCGTTTCTGAAACAGTTGACTATATTTTTATCTAACCGATTATTGTTATTATATTATTATGTTATCAAATCGATAACCGGTTATAATCGTCGTCGTTGGTCGTTTGAGCAACGGCCGGAATATTATATTACACTCCACAGTGTCATAAAGAAAAATCAAGTGGCGTTAGTTGTGGTAAAATATTTTACGAATTGAAATGAAAAGTTATAATCTGGTGTAGGCCCATATCGCACTATAGACAAATACTGAAATCAAATCATGAAATCGTCATTTAACAAATAAAAATGTTTTACTAGTAGAACGAATAGGCAAAAAAACACAATTAATATGCGTAGATTAGGTTACTTCAGACAACCACGACTACAGACGGGAATGCAGAGCGAAATTGGAAAAGTTAAAATTTAGAAAATTAAAACTCGGAGAGTCAAAATTCTCTCAGGCAAAACTTGAATTTTGTAATATACACAATAATGTAATCGTAATGCTCGTAATGAAAACGGCGACCATAATGTATATTACAAATTACAAATTTTGCCTTTCTAAGGTTTGCTATTGACCCTTTAATATATTTCCAAATGTTGCATTTCGAAAGTTTAAATTTACAAGTTGTTTAGCTGTCCCTAGAGACTACAAACCACGGATAACATGGACAAAAAACATCAACGAATAGACCGGGTCAAAAACGGTGGAACTCGTGTATTATATATATGCAGAGTGTCCTACAGTGTTATGCTTACGCTTATAACATTCTATTTTTTTTTTTTCAATCGGGTTTTGCGCGAGGGAGACCCATATGTTATTAGAGACAAATTAAATTTATGTTTTCATTCCTGAAAATAACTTTATTTTTCCGCTTTTAAAAAAAAATTTTCAATATAGCCATATTGTAAAATACACTATTCTAAAAATGTTAATGTATAATGCATTCGTATACGATTAATGGATTCTTAGTTAAAGTGGCTTTAATTTCTAGGAAATTGTTTTCGCGTCTAATTTCTATAGATTAAGGCCACTATAACTAAGAAACTGACACGAATGTATGGATAACATTACAATATTTAGATAATAATACTTTTTACAAAATAACTATTTGGAAAACTTTTTAAGTGATAAAATAAAGTTATTTTTTTCAGTAGTTAAAGGATGAAAATAAAAATGTAATTTTTCTCTACATAAGCCTAGTACAAAATCCGATTGAAAAAATGGATATTGACAGAATTATTGGCATAGGGATAACACTGTAAACATTCTGTATACACAGTCTTCCGTGAAATACCGATTTTCCGGAAAAATGTCCTGCGTAAAAACTATTTGGAATCGTATATTGTAAAACGTTATACGTTGTGCTTATTATTTTCACGTTTATTTTTGGAGGTAAAACCACTACTCGTTTTTGATTTTTAAACCGCAACTACATTAAACAATCTATAAATAGACGAAGTTTTAGTTCAATTTTGCCTTGACGTTTTTTTTTAATTTCCGTCAACCCGTCGACGAGATATTCGGCTATTATATTTTCGTAGGAGGCGAGTATAGTGCGGGGAACATCGTTTGTGCGGCGTGGCGTTTGAATAGTGCTTCGCATGATGTCTCGTCAACGGATTGACGGAAATTAAAAAAACGTGTTTGAATAAAACCTTAATCGGCTTACGGGGTTCTATAACCCCTCCCCCCCCCAAAAAAAAAGCGAGGGCGAACAGACAGAAGACAATTCAACATTTCAGAATAAATTTTGGAATAGAATTAAATGTTTCGGGAAAAAAAAAAGAAGAAAAAAGTCTTCACAATGTAATCAAGTCATTTTTTTTTTTTTTTAATGCAAGAACTTGGCGAAATATTTTCACCGCGCCGGAAATTCGAAAGACTCTCCCCCATCCCCCACATGTATATGAATAAAACACGATATACGACCCCTAAACGACACGACATTATATACAAAAACGATAATGACTCGGCACAATACGTTTGGACGACGTATAACAATATAATACTATGTGCATATACATTGTATACTTGTATATTATACAAGTATATACGTACGCAAACTGCGGCTATCGGCCATCCATTTAGTCACGTCGGAAATAAATCACAATCGCATTTTGTTTTTTTACATAAATAATCGCGTAAAAACGTAATCCGCGATGGACACTCGCAATACCCCCTCCGCCGACAGTGAATAATAATAATAATAATAATACGTCGATAATGTTCATTTCCGATTGCGCGGCGTCGCAGCAACACATCATCGCGCGCCGCGGCCATACGGTTCGGCGGAATCGTCAAAACCGACCGATTTGTGCTTACGACGTGTTTGTTAATATTTCCCGTAACAAACGGACAATGGACGTGTCACGGCGTGCGTGCGTGCGTGCGTAGTACCGCTGCGAAAACGCGAAACGCCGTTGTTATTATTATTCGACCGGTAGGTGGGAGGTTTTTGTTTTTTTTTTTTCGAACGATCACGCGTGATAATTGCGATTGCCGGAAAACTAATAACAGCATTATAACACATTACAGGCGTGTTGCGCGTGAGAAAACCTGTCGGGCGATATTAATAATTTTCGGCGGGCACGGGGACGGCGGTGGGTTTTAAGGGTCGATAACTATAGCGGGCGAGCACCGGCCCGGGTCCACGTCGGGTTTTCTTCAACGCCGCTATTTGTCCGGGAGTGTTCGAGTGAGAAACGCCTGTACTATAAATACGGCGTCTCCGGAATACGAAAGAAATCGTTACAAATCGGGTTTTCAACCGATGTACCGGTCGAATTCAACTGCAGCACAACTCGTGGTTGTCGATTTCGAACATCGGATCGGGTAGAGGCTTTACGGCGGTATAGTAGCAAACATCGTGTGCCGGAAAAAAAAATTGTATCTACTAACCCCTAATGAAAACCTCGCGAAATTACCAACTTAAACGTCGAAATCCATAATCCGGATTATCGAACTTCGGCACCCCCATTACCGAAATTGTATTTATATTTTTGTCGACTACGCCACTGCAGGACTGTGGGCCACTACTGTACTACTGATATTCACCGGTGATTCACTACCGGACCGGAATCACCCTAACAATAGTGCGGTGTCCCGCCTTCACTCCCCCACAGCCGGCGCACCCCTCCGACTAACGACGACGAAAATACACACGCGGCCGCCGTCGTATACGCCAAAGTAAACACGAAAATGCGCCGCGGCGCGTGTCGTCGTCCCCGGACCGAGTCGGCCCCGCACGTATGGGATATCCCGGGGCGCGAATAACGAGGCGGCGGCGTTCCGCCGCGATGACGCGCACGCCCGGCAACGGTATTGCAACGTCCGAGTGTATGTAAAATGTGTATTATAAAAATCTTGAAATTATTATTCATATCGCAGAGGATCGGTTTCTTCGCGATCCGCCGCCGCGAAGACGTGACTTTGAAAAATATACATTTGTAACGGCGCGCACCGCCGTATACACGGAGAACCGGTGCTCGTATAATACGTACGGCGATTCCGCTCCGGGCGGTACCGGGTTTACCGGCCGCGCCGCCGCCGCCGCCGCCACACGAGCACCAGCGCACCTATCTATATAATAATATGTCTAACCGACTTTAACCGGGACACATTGTTTTCGCGTGAGTATTTATTTTATCGTCCGTGAAAAATCGCAACGATCGCTTTCCGGAATTCCCCGGCGTGAAATCGCAGTCGAAAGTGTACTGCGGACGCGACGATGGGCGCGCACGCAGTACATAACTCTGAGGCCGGGTGAACACGCCGTGCCCGCTACAATATTATTACCGTTAACACACTATGCGATTCCGTGTGCGTTCAACAACGCGGGCGCCGCGCAAAGGCCTACCCCCCTCGCGCGAAAAACCGTTTACGACACGGCGGCGACAATGACGACGACCGGCGGTTTATGCAAATATTTGTCATCGTGAATCCGGTAATCGGGGGGGAAAAAACCCGTCCTCGTTTCGTGCTTGTTTGCGTTTTCACTTTTACGCGCAAACAACACCGTTGACCGTTACCGCGGAGCCCCGTTCGAAAGCGCTTCGCCGGCGACATCGCGCGGGTCGTCGGGACGCCGGTATTCAATGCGAAACCCGACTAATTCGATAATAACGAGCGATTTGACTGCCACTACAGTGCCGCGGTCGCGGACAAACGCGATCGCGAATCGATTTCTGCGGCGAAACCGTATACGATACCGACGGACGAAACGTCGCGCGGGAGGGGGGGGATACAAATCGCATAGGTGAACGAGCGCGGAAACCGAAAAAGCGAGTGTGCAACACAACAACAACAGTATTGTAATGTCGTCGCGACATTGCTCGATGTCGCGGTCGTCATCATAACAAAACCGGTAGGTACCAAAAGTACGATAGATAAACGGCACTTACATAGTGATAGTTATTTATATTTATTGTTATTTTTTTTTTTTTTTGTTTTCTGTGGTAATTTCGCAGCACTGCTGCCGCCGGATCGTGGTGCTGCTGCTGGCGGTGCTGGCGCCGGTGCAGAATTATGATAGTAAGACGCCGCGGCGAACAATAGATATTTTGTTTGTTAACTGTACAACGAACACCACTGCCGCAACCGCATACGGGGGAAACTAACGAAATGGCTGTACGCACGTAGCTGTGTATAATATTATTGCGCGAGACTAACGAAACGTAAAAAAAAATAAAACCGACAAAATAATCGTAAACGGCGGATAATTTTACTATTATAATTATATTATTATTGTTGTTGTTTGGATAATGCGAGCGAGCGCGCGCGCGCGCAAAATGCAAGTGTAACGGAACGACAAACAACAACAGTAAGACGACGACGACGACGACGACGAACGCCGAAACGACGACGCGGCACACGACTGCGGGTCCGCTTACGGGTTACGGGTTACCTAGCTACACGGTTTTTAGACGGACAGACACACACGCGCGCCAGCCACCACCACGTCCAATACCGTTGACGGCATTAAATACATACGTACGCACGCACACACGCACACAAACACACACACACACATACACACTAAACACGGTACACACAGACGCACGAACACGCGAACACGCAAGTGTCGAACAGATGGGAGGAATGCGAATGGACGTGGCGTGTGTCCGCGCGGGGCGGAGGGGGTCGTGACGAAAAAAAAACCGACAACGGCGGTGGCGGCATGGTAAATAATACGTGTACAATAACAATAATAACAACACGATAATGTTATTACATATTTAATTTTTCAATACGCGCGCCGCCATCTGTCGAAGAAATAATGACACGGAAAGGTGTTGTTTATATTATGCGGGCTCTCCGATCGCGCACCGGTTCCGAGGCGCGCCGCAGCCGCCAAATAGGTACCTGCGTAATAAAACGGACAAACTGCGGCGTTCCAGTTATGCAACCGCATCGACACACCGTCGCCTTCGCGCTTCGCCGCGCCACGACCGACGGAGAAGACGACCGAGATAACCGGCTTTGACTTACGAGTTTGATTGTGACACGCTCTAAACCCGATCGATTTACCAAATAGACCGCCGCCACCGCCCGTTTATCCGGTAAATTTAAGTCCGTTGAAATAATAGGATTTGCGGTCACGGAGTAATTCAATACGCGCGCCAACGTAGTCGGTTATGATAATATTTAGTACATCATATACAGAGTTACGGAGTATTTTAAACACTTGTTTAAAACGTTTTAAACGAACAGAACAGAATTTTAGCCGACGCGTATGCTATCCAAACTGTATTTGAGCGGACAGTACGTATCGGCTATAATAATTAAGGATCAGATTAAATATTTGTCGGCTTAAATACGGATAAAATCGGATAATGACACTTTATTTATCAAACTGAAATTAAAAAAAAAAAAAAACTTTTCCAGTATTATCAGATTAAATATCTATTATGTACGTTGGCATGAACACGTTGAAATATTCACTTGTCCCCCAAAATCGACGAAATATGCAAAATATAAATACCAGTCAAAGAAACTAAGAATCATACAGACAATGTGTGAGACCGAGTCAGGCAGAGATTTAGGACCGAGTTATAGGACCGATCCTAAATATAGTTGGAAAAAGAGGCGGGAGAGAGGAATAAAATAATAATACATTTTATCCAAACTCGTCTGGTTTTGTGGCGAAGTGGGTACTTCAAAATTTCGCAATACATAGTTTGCTCCGATTTTCTAAGTATAGTATTGTTGAAATTACGCGTTCAACACTCGGTGTACCTAATATTTCAAATATTAAACGTGTTTATTGCCTATATACGATAATATCAATATTGTAACACATAAGCGCGGTTACACGAATAACACTCGTATACAATAATTTCACGATTAGCCAATATTCTCTATACATACATAGCAGAGAAATCGAGTGTAGTAAATGATGTTCGTATAAAACATTTATTGTCGAATAAATTCTGGTACGTTGTTCGGTTGTCGTGTTCAAAAGCAATAACGAAAAAAAAACATTACAAATCAAAGTTAAACACGTTTAATAATACTATGGTATACTAGTATGTTAATATATATATTATTTAGCAATGATGGGAAATCAATATACCTAAACAGTATACAAGAAAGTCTTCAAGGCGCTAGAGACATAAGTGTCTATGTGTATACATTTTTAATAATTAAATATGCGTATAAAAAATTTTAATTGGTGATGACAGAAATTGAGGGGGGGAGAGAGTACATCAGGTATACCGTGGTAAATGGGGATGGGAAACGGGGAAGGGTAGGGGATTACAATCACGGGCATTTAATTTGACAATGGTGAGGCCGTGTAGGGTACAGCTAATGCAATATTATAAATGCTATATTATTAGTCGCTACACGTTTTTTCAATTTAAAAATTAATGTAGTATAATATTATATTATTATTATTTAAAATATATCCGTTTATATATCCATTAATCATGTGATTATGATAATTCAATTTGAGATAATAATTCGAATAAAGAATTAAACGATCAAGATTAAAGTATACAAGTGTACTACTCGTACGTATATTATACTGAAATACAATTGAAAATATGTTTCTTTATGAAAAAAAAAAAAATGTAAACAAATGTTTATAAGCCGCTTATCTATTGTACGTAGGTATACCTCTGTACCATACAAATATTAGATCCCCAAAAAAGGTGTTGGCGAAATTATTGCTTGTAACGTCACACTATCATTATGATAATATAAGAACAATAGACAGAATTATCGAAAGCAAAACAATAGCTTATTTACGCATGCGGTATTATAAAGCTACAATCTTCTCTTCTTACCTATACATTGAAAAATATTAATATGCCCGAAACGATTACACGACCAAGCAAAATTGTGATAGAAAAATCACGGTCCGTCGACGGTCTTAATTATTGTTTCTTTTAATTTAATTCGAATGTCACACTTTCAGAAAATTAAAATTATAAACTATGCATATACAACACGTAATACACTATGTCGGTCCAAAAACACGTACCGGTGAATTTACCAAGGCGGGTATATACTCATATATTAGGTATTATAAATGTGTGCACACACCATACTCAGTTAAACTATAGATAGAATTGAAAAATAATGAAATCAGAATTTGTTGTGAATTTGTTTTACGAATGTTATTGATCGGCAATAGTATTGTAGCATAACGGTAATTATTTTGTATTTGATATTGTTAAGTAATTTCTGACCGCGCATTTGTTTTATACGTTCTTGTAATTTAAGGACGTATATATATATATATATATATATACTTATATTATAAATACAATAATACACAGTCGACACTCGTTTTTCTCCGGTTTTTTTAATATTAGGTCATTTATAAGCCCGCGGGTTAAATGGGTAAAATTCAAACGCATATATAAATGCCCAAAGGCCTATAAACTATAATATTTCTGCTATAACGAACAAAATAATATGGTAGGTATTGATAATACGAATATGTGTATATTTAAAAATAAAACGGCGTCTGAATTAGGTGGCGCCTGAAGCGACGACCTCCGGGTAGGTTACGTTACTACAAAACACGCCGAAATAAATTATAATTGGCGCCTAATAATTGAAAAACGAAACCGTTTAATGATTATAATATTTCACAAAATATATTACTGTGCACAATTTCGAGGAACGGCAGTAGCTATTTCTTAAGGAGCTATACTACGTTTTGTAATTTGCATACAAGGTACTTAATTTAGATTAAAATTTACGACCATACCAATATACATATATATATATAAATATTATACAATGATTTACTCGAATGTATCACTTATAGAACTTGTAGTACATTTTAACCTTGGCCAATGATTAATTGAACTTACAAGATATTATATATATGATATACGTGATATTACAAACTCGTAAAAATCATTAAAAAGTTCCATTTAACGAGTAATTTTCCGAATTATTAATCAAAGATGAGACGTAAAAAATATATTACTTTGTGGTAGGCAATAGGTAAACAAAATAAATGTATAAAACCTATCATAAAATCCGGATTTAAAAAAAAAATTCTATATTTAATGAAGATGTAAAAAACCAAGGATTAAATAATCAAATTTAAAGGGCCTGACATCTGTGCGTATGCAATCATCGTTGATTATAAGTGAAATGGATTTAATATGTGTTTATATACGGCAGGTACCTATATTTTTAATGAAATAAGTGAATTATGCATGTATTAGTATGGTCAAAATATCGTCGTTACAAGTGCGGTTAATTAGGTTTAATTATTTTTTTTAAGTAAATACGTAGTTACCAAACATAATAATATAATCGATTTAAATTTGGAAAAAACGGGCATAATTCACACGATGGATGGGCCACTGTTGTAGGTAAAAAGTTGGGAATTTAGTGTACGCATTAAATGTACATATGTATTAATTTATCTATATGCAACGATTGACCATTGCTAACGAAAAACGATTCTGAGCAGAGATTGGTTATACATATTTTAAAAAGCCGTAATATATATACGATTTAAATTAAAATTTGATATTAAAATTATTAAAAAAAAAAAAAAAATACTGAACCTCTTGTTAAATTTTCGAGAATTTCTGTTTGGTCTAACAATTGCATACACAGAGTACCTACCGAATAAAAACTACGTAAAAAAGTTGCAAAACTAAAATGTCTATACAAATAGCTCAAAAAAAACTCAAATGTTTTGAAAATTTGACCACGTCTAGAAAAAGCAAATAATAGTTTTATGTTCAAATATCAAGTCCCTCCATTCACCAAGTAGATAAAATTCTCTTTCAGAAAAAGTGCTATACTTGATACATCGGAGCAAGATTTCTGGTAGAATATTTTTATATTGTATACATTAAAAAAATAATAATAATAAAATAAATAAACATTGTAAAATATCTAAAACCTAATTTTGTATAAAATACTACTACAATTTTCTATACAATTCAAAAAGTTTTTTTAATTGTGTTTCTGCGTAGGACAATTTTCTACCAAATTTATCTTTAATATAATAATATACTACAAATATGTAAGTATTTTATTTTGAATTCCAATAAGTCGTTAATGAATGACTTACGATAAGGAAGTGTCCTACTTCTAGAGAATTTATTTTAAGAAAATTTAACTAGTCGACATTGCAAAATAAAATCAAAGATATATATATCCTGAATCCAATTTCCAACAAAATGTATAATTATCCAAATAATTTATACATATTTTATAAAAATGTGCAGTACAGTGTACCTTAATCAAGAATTGTTTGTTAGATATGATAGGTGCCATTAATAAAAATTTTCTCGGCACATATCCAGCTATTTTAAATTTTAGAATAATATAGTCGAACAAAACCATGCAGACAAATGTAGAGTAATTAAATAATTTATATATATATAAATATTTAATTTGTATATACTCAATCGTTGATAATAAAAAACGATTCTGAGCGAAGTAGAATAAATATGTTTTGAAATTCCACGA